AAATTCATGAAAAATCACAAATATTCAAATAATTCCTGGACCAGGGTAGAATGATTCAAAAGTAAAAGTGCCCAGTAACTTTTTTGTTGGAAATTGTCCAAATTTTCAGAAAAAAAATATGCCAAAGTGATTGGAGCCACCCAAAGAGAGCATAGTGGGGAAACATAAAAAAAAAACACAAAACAAGAAATCTACTCGAGTTCGAACAGGACTTTCATTTCCTAAACTATGTGAAAAGCTTCCTAAAGATGTCAACTAATGCCTGATAAAGTTTTGTAATGGGTCTTAAAGTTTAACGCAATGTAGACAACAATGTGTGGCGAAAAACATGCAAAAAAGGTCTGAAAATGGCTGTTTTTGGTGATTTTAGGCATTTTGGGCCTATTTTTGACCTTTTTTGCATGTTTTTCGCCACACATTGTTGTCTACATTGCGTTAAACTTTAAGACCCATTACAAAACTTTATCAGGCATTAGTTGACATCTTTAGGAAGCTTTTCACATAGTTTAGGAAATGAAAGTCCTGTTCGAACTCGAGTAGATTTCTTGTTTTGTGTTTTTTTTTATGTTTCCCCACTATGCTCTCTTTGGGTGGCTCCAATCACTTTGGCATATTTTTTTTCTGAAAATTTGGACAATTTCCAACAAAAAAGTTGCTGGGCACTTTTACTTTTGAATCATTCTACCCTGATCCAGGAATTATTTGAATATTTGTGATTTTTCATGAATTTCAAAAAAACCCTAAAATGGCCAACTTCGGGCCCCTGAAAAAGAGTGATAGATGGTCCCAAAAATTCTAATAAAATTTGGGGACATTTCTGACATCGGGAACAGCAAGTTTTTCATATTTGCAGAAAAAAAATTTTTTTGGCCATTCGATTTCACAGAGAATCGGCCATATATCAAGGCACAATTATTAAGTACGTGCTAGAGCTCTTAATTTATTTATTGCGTAAAATTCATGCTATGGCTTTTTCTAATGAAACATTTTTTTTTTAGTTAGTTTTTCGCAAATTGTACGTTATTTTAATCTTTATTATAATACTGCAGCAATTTAACATAAAGCATGTGAAGTTTATCATATGAGAAATTTACATTTTTTTCAGCAGTGTTTTGAATAAATGCACTAAATCGTAATTTGGGAGTTTTTAACTTAACGGGTTACATAGCTTCGTGTGACGGAAATTATTATTTTTTTTTTGAAAACTCATATTTTAAAAACGAAAAGTTCTATTTATTTGAAATTTTTAGATAACGAAGTTTATTCATTAGAAAAGCTGTACAAAAAATTTTCATATAAAAATATTGAAAATTGTTAATTTTCCATCAGTTTTCCACGGTCATACTGTTGTCCTGCGGTAGGCAGGATTTTTCTTGACAGAATCATCTGAAACCAAAAATTCGACATATTTCTTAAAGGTTATACCCTTGGCTAGTGATTGGTCGAAGGAAAAGAAAAAAAATGAAATTTGATGAATTGACAAGAGTTTGAATGCATTTTTGCCCTGATTTTTAAGCATTTTTCAAATTTTGACCATTTTTCACTTCAAAATGTTATTTAAAATAACAACGAGACGACCGATCAAAAATCCCTTCGATCAATCACGAGTCAGTACCCTAGAGAGGATTTGTGAAACATTTCAGCTCAATCGGTCGACTCACTCTCGAGAAATTATTCCTACCGCACGAGAAAACAAAGTTGTGAGAAAAGCGCGTTTAAAGTTTCTGTACTGTGATTTGAACGATTTGAATGATTTGAATTGTATATTATAGCGACTTACATCAAATCTTCGATTCCGGATACATATAATGATTCCTTAGCTTCACCTGCGATTTCTAGAGCAATTTTTCGATGTTGTCGATAAATAATTCTAGCCTCTCGAGTAGTATTCAAAGCTCTTAGCTCTTATACATGCGCACGGTTTTGTAAAAAAGTATTATTTTGACCCACATTTATAATATGATGGTGGAGTGAGCTGGAAACATACATTAATACATACACACATTTACATACACATATAATGATAGTAAGGTGAGCTGAAAACACACATGCATACATTTGTATACACAAGAAATATGTAAAAAATAATTATAAAAAAATAAAAATTTCGGAAATAAATAGCCGCCAGAATGAATTGTCGAAATTAAATTGTGGGGGTTTAGTAGTAACAAGATTAGTTGTAAAAGATTATTAATCCGCCGTCTTGAGGACGGATTTCGAAAAATTGCATAAAAAATGCACACAAATGATTAGAAAAGTGGTGAGATATAACGATGCGACGCAATAAAAAAAAATACTGACCACGCATGAATACAAATTTAACGGATTTTTTTAACATCTGTTATCAAAATTTGAAAAATTATTGAAAATTTTAAAAGTGCATAAAAATTGCATATAAATGCATTAAGTTGCGAGGTAACACCATACGACGCGATTAAAAAAATTAATAATGACCCAGTATCAATAGATAAAAAAATCCGTTGTCCAAAGATGGTAATTTATCAAATTTCGAAAAATTGCATAAAAAGTGCACAAGAATGCACTTTTTGCATACAAAAAACTTATCAGTCCCAAGGAATATACCCCTAAAATTTCAAAGCAATTGTATAAAAAGATTTCAAGTTATCGTATGACCGCGAACACACGAAAATTATTATGACTAACAATATAAAACTTACCATCGGTGCTGATAACTCCTACCAACTAATTAAACAATTAGTGTACAAGCTTCAAGATAAACCAAGCTTAAAAATAAAGTGTAATCTCTGCTTCCGTTCGTTGAGGGACTTATTGCGCATAATTTATTTAATCGCATAATTCTCTTTAACTTGGTTTACATATAGACTTGGTAAATTTCCATCACTTTCATCGGCAGTCTCACACAGGTTATTAAATAATTTTTAAAAGTATTCATTAATTAGGTGAAAATTAATTTATGAATTTATGCAACAGTAAATCTTTATATCTGATCTTTATATTTGATGTTAGATGAAATCATACAGAGAAGTAATTTCAAAATTATATTGTGCATCTGAAATATTATAAAGTACTATTTTGTTATTACAAATTAGTATATTTCAGCTGCCTTTTATTGCTCTTATTTCTTTTATTGCATTTGTGTTTTTTAATTTTTTTTAATTTTAAATATAACATTCGTTATTAATTAAACTTTTGGCAATATTAAATAAATTGTTGTGTGGTCATTGAACAATCAGGGATAAATAAAATTGTAGGGTTAATTATTTTTGGACATGATTTTAATTCAATTTTTTGAATAATTTACGTGTAAGCCCCTTATTTTTCGAGTCTGTTTATTTTGGCAGAGAACATTTTAGATCGTAATTGTATCACGAAAAACTATATTATGACTAGTATAGTTGCTAGACGCTACACTTGAGCATTAATTTTTGCGGTACTTTATATTAAAAGCTAAAAAATATTCGAAAACGGCCTTCAGTCTCAAAAAGTGTAAAGAACTTTTTTTATAACTTTCCGTCCAAAAGAGTACTTAGTAATGCTGAATACTTTTTTCGAATAAAATAATTTATGGTGGCCCAAGTACACATTCAAACGATAAATCTGTTTCAGTAATAGAAGGTCATTGTACGCTCAATAATATTACTTAAAATATGCATTGCTTAAACTAGAGAAAATTCACAAGAAAACTAAAAAAATTGTCCTAATGTATAATTGGTCGGAGATACAGCATTTGAAAATTAACGAAATTTCAATGAAAATTTTTGCAGCGATAATTTTATTGCGAAGTTCAGTTATTATTATCCTACTTTCATTATTTATTGTTATTTTTTTATTAATTTATGCTTTTCTTTTATTCAACACCCGGTAAATTTTCATTAACATTAAAAAAAATTCATTTTCATTTTTTCGAAGTTGATAATATTAATAAAATGAATTGTTATAAGTTGGTAGATAAACGTGATAAAGATAATTAAATATTTTTCTCAATCTTGATTTGCACTATATCCGTTTGGTATAGCATATATTCCTTCATAATTTCACAAGATAATTTCATATCAGTCAATTTTAAAATGGCACTTAAAATTCTTTTGTTATCGACAATTTATAAGTTTGGATATCAATCGATTATTCATTTCGGATATGAGATATAATTCGATATTTATCAACTTACTAGGTTTTATTGAAATTTCTTTCCTTTTCAAATAATGTTATTAATTTTATATTATAACTATAAAATACTTTGAAATATGTGTGGGAATAAAATTCAACAGTCGAACTATTCTCTAAAACCATTGAACAACTACTAAAATAACTTTTATACAATTTTGAAATAAAAAATTGCACTTATTTTTTATTTGAAACCGCATTTTTTATAATTTAACAACATTATTGATTTAAGAACTTAAAATATGCTGAATAGTATTTTTCAATATATATGAATAATATTATTATCAAAAATGTGTAGCACAAATATATTTTTAATCTTTCTAATCGGATATCTATAATCGCGTCGGTTTATCTGATTTTCAAGATTTCAAGCGTAACGCAACACTCAAAAAAAACAGTCAAAACATTATATTCGAGTAAGTCGTCTAAGAAACATCGAAAGTTATTGTTTTTTGACAAGAATCAAGTATCGTATGAGTAAGTAAAAAATATTAACATAATATTAAATCATGAAAAATATGAATATAAATAACCGTTTCATATGTTATTTTGTTTTATTTTGCAGAATTAAGTGAAATAAATTTGAACAAAATGACGAAATATAAATTTATTTTATTGTTTTTCATACTACTGATTTGCGTTTCTAATGCTGAACAAAAATTTTTTCAAAAAATACATCAAAATAAAATTAAAAGAGAAATTTCAAGAAGGGAATTTTCAGAACTTGAGAGTCCTGAAGTCGATAGTTCGGATCCTAAATGGCTAAGAAATGTGATTTCATTTGATGAACATTTTGTTTATAATCTAAATTACTGTGTAAAGAGCTGGTGAGAATGAAAAAATGTATGTTACAGATGAATTATGATCAATGGATTTCGGATATGAAAAATGCTTTTGAACATGGCAATTATTCCAAATGGGCAAGTAGCGTTAACAAACAGATGAATGTCGAAGAAATGGTACAAGAAGTTAACGATTTATATAAATCATCTGCTTCTTGTATTGGCTGTAAATTTTTAGTTAATATGGCTCGCATCATGATGCAAAAAGGCAAAAGTAATGATCAAATTCTGGATATTGGAACGAAAATTTGTAATGTGTTTAAAATTCAAACGCCCAGAGTTTGTGAAGGTGTTATGAAAATTATTGGCGTAAGTTTGTAATTTGATGAATGCACTATGGGAAATCATATACTGAATTGAAGCCTTATCATCATTATAGGTCGATGTAGTGGACGTTGTACGTCATTCAAATTTGAAGGGATCACAAATCTGCAGATTTTTTTTAGGTCAGCCATGTGTCAATGGGTATGCAGCACAACACGATTGGAATATAACAATATTTCCAGCTAAAGAACCAAAAATCAGACATCCACTCACTAAACCATCTGAAAAAGTACCACCATTAAAAATCCTTCAAATTTCTGATACGCATTTCGACCCTCTTTATGAAGTGGGATCAAATGCTGACTGTGGAGAGCCTCTTTGTTGTAGAGCCTCTAGTGGTACCCCTAATTCCACAAAATCAGCTGCTGGAAAATGGGGTGACTACAGGAAATGTGACACACCTTTGATATTGTTGGAAAACGCAATTAAGCACATAGTTAAAACTCATAAAGATATTGATGCAATTTATTGGACCGGCGATTTACCTCCACATGACGTATGGGTTCAAACTCGAGAAGATAATATTGCTAATCTTAAATTTACCTCTAAATTGATGGCAAAATATTTCAAAGGCATTCCTATTTTTCCATCAGTTGGAAATCATGAAAGTGTCCCGGTAGATGGGTTTGTAGCTGTGTTTAAATATCTATATTATTTTTGTATGTCTTTTATATAATACGCAATGAACTAACTTTCAAAATAATATAATTTAGATTCGCTCCGCCACATGCACCACCGCATAAAAACATGTCTTGGTTGTATGATCAGTTAGCAGTAGAATGGAGCCGTTGGTTACCAACTAAAACTCATGAAACAATAAGAAAAGGAGCATTTTATTCGACATTATTAAAAAAAGGCTTTCGTGTTATTTCTGTAAATGGAAATTATTGCAGCAGAATGAATTTTTATCTTCTCTGGAATAGTACTGATCCACTCGACCAGTTGGCTTGGCTCTCTAAAGAACTACAATCAGCTGAAGACAAGGGCGAAAAAGTACACATCATTGGGCACATACCTCCGGGTGGTAAAGAATGTCTTAAATCTTGGTCAAGTAGCTACTATGATATTATTAATAGGTTCGTATGATAAGGAATTATTTCATAACTTGACCTTAACAATTCTATCGATTTTAGTTTAAATTATAGACAGTTACCTAGCTTAGCTTACCTGAAGTTATCGAGCTTATGATTTTAAGAATCACCACCTAAATTTTGGTACGGAAATTTGAATTTTAAGTCAGTCAAACTAAAGATTGAGTGCAAGCAAGTATGTGGTATTTAATAGCAGAAGAAAATTTTGATTGTTTTTTCCTCGACCGTTTTGTTAGCTAACTGGTATCCTATGTTGAAAAATCGTTGACTGATCCCTTCTGAAATTTTTACTGCTTATTGATGGCATGTGTAAATATGGGTGGAACCTCTCACATGTTAAGAATTTCGAGTTTAAGTATATTTATGGAGCAAAAAATCGCAAAAAAAAAACGTATGGTATATATATATAATATATGGCCGATTCTCTGTCAACTCAAACGGTCTAAATTTTGTTTCTATATCTAACACGATAAACATGTTAGACAAGCCAGGAATATCCAAAAAATTTTAAATGATTGGGGCCTTCTATGACCCTTTTTCAGAGGCTCGAAGTTGGCAATTTTTGCATTTTCCCGAAATGATCAAATATCGCAAATATTTCATTAACTTCTAGCTCGGTGAAGAGTGACTCAAACGATAAAGTGCGTGGGAACTTTTTTGTTGAAAATTGTCCAAATTTTCAGAAAAAACAGGTTTCAAAGTTATCTGAGCACTCTGAAAGCTTGTACAATAGAAATAATTAGAAAAAAAATGAAAAACTCGAAATCGAATCAAGTATGATCCAGACGTTCCTTTCCAAAACTACTTACGCCCTATAGATGCTATTAAATATCAAAAAACATGCAAAAGATGCAAAAAAAGGCCTGTACAGCAGAATATAACCTTAGATCCTCAGATGGTACACATGCTAGACAAACTCAAACCTTAATAGTAGTTAAATATAGCCTTCAAGACCACAAAAGTACCTTTAATTTGGTAAACATGCCTTTTAAACATACCATATTAAAGGTAATTTTGTGTTCTTCATTTAATACATACATACATCATTTAATAGAATTTGTTTTTCATTAGCATTCAATGTGCTATTTGAACTAATATGTATTTACTTTTGAATATCATTGTTAGATATGAAGGAACAATTATGGCTCAATTTTTTGGCCACACTCACTGGGATGAGTTTGAAATATTTTATGATTTGGAAAATTTGAAGAGACCAGTAAATATTGGATACATCGCTCCATCTATAACACCTTGGGAGAACGTTAATCCAGCTTATCGTATTTATTATGTCGAAGGTGATCACCCGAAAACCAATAGGGTACGTTTTTATTCGAACAGCAAAATTTATTGCGTAAATGTTCAACTACATATTTGTGTAGGCTATCATTGATCACGAAACTTGGAAAATAAATCTTGACGAGGCAAACAGAAATGACAATCCTGTGTGGTACAAAGCATACAGCGCCAAAAAAGCTTATAATATGAAAGCTCTTTCACCAAAAGATTGGGATGATCTCTTGACTCGAATGGATTCTAATGATGAACTTTTTGATACTTTTTATATGTAAGAAAAAGTTATTTATTAACTTATAATTTCATGATAATCGAATTATAGCATTATGCTCATTTTGCAGGAATCATTATCGCAATTCACCAGTTAGGCCCAATTGTAATAATGATTGTCGGAAAGAAATTTTATGTAATTTGAGAAGTGCGAGAAGTGAAAGTCGAACAGATTTTTGCAGTTAGTATTAAAAACTTACGAGAACATATTGGAGAAATATATTCAGGTGATTAAAAAAAACAAAGAAAATTAGATAGTCAGGAGAGTCAAGATTTTGTGAATAAATAATGTTTTCCATTTTTCTAGCTAAATATAAACGAAACCTACATTTTTTTCATTGGCGATAAAAAGATTTAGCACTTCAGGACGTTAAAGTGACAATGTATTATAAATTCATATTTTTATAAATTGTTAAATCACTCATAATTAAGATTTTCTTTTTTTTAAAGAAACGTTAAGAATTTTTTTTTAACGTGACAAGAGTAAAAGATTAATTTTTTTTTTTGAGATCCTCTATAATTATTTCTTCACATCCATTTTCATATACTTATGTGCCAAACTATATTGCAAAAATCGTGCTTTGAATGAAGTATATGGCCTCGTTTGAATTAAAATTTTTTATTTTCTAAAATTTGTAAATATCGTTACAAAGATGAAATTAAAATATGCAATATGAATAATGATTAAAAAAAGAAGATTTCGTCGTACTCTCGTACGTGAAAAAGAGAATTACTCGTCACTGTGCTTCTGTCTGGTGTGCGGCGCGAAATACAAAAACTTATACCCATGTAGCAGGGACGGAGTGGATTTATGACGCTTCGAAGTTGAAAATGGAATTAATACAGCACATAGTTAATGAACTTAGGCTGGTTCAAGCAAAAGAGTCAAATTTATAACAATGAATTTCACTGTTTTTGGGAAAAAAGAAAATTCGCATTGGAACAATTTACGCACTGCTTTTAAATTTCGATCAAAAACTTTATTGAAATCTCAAAACTTAAGGGGGCTCAACACATTATGCAAAAGATCATCTAACATGATAAAACTTATATCAATCGATTTGTTCAATCTTCAAAATGAGATTCCAAAACAAAAAAATGTGGTTGACGAACTAACTTTCGAGATAAATAAGTTTGAAAATCGCGATTTTAACACGGGCTCTTATGGGACGCGGTCTTTTATTGTTCATAACTAATTTAAAAGATCAACCATCTTAATAAAAAATATATTTTCTGAAAGAGAAAGTTTCAAGCTTTCGATTGATATGTTAAAAATAACCCCTTAACGAAGTAACTAATGAGTAATTAAACAAAATCATTGATTTCGAATAGTACGAGTAGTTGTCTGCCTAATGCGAGAAAGAGACAGACAGATGTCTCGAGAAAGAGACAGACAGATGCTGCGCTGTACTATTGTTATGATTGGTGTAGAGCCTCCTTAATTGAGAATTCATGTGAAAAACTGAAACAAAATAAAAGAAAAGTTTTCTTGAATTGTCTAGTCATGCATTTTGTCTGGGCAACTGTGAGAAATTTCATGCAATTACACGTTTATAAAAGTGTAATATGAACTCTTTTAGAAGATGTATGTCAGTGAAAAAGGTAATTTATTCATCTTACACTTTTCAAAAAAGTTGAATTCATGAAAGTTATTTTTTTAAAAAAGTGTAAATGATTTAATTTATACTTTTCATCGATGTACCTCTTCTGAGAGATTTTGAAGAAAGAAGAGTATTTTGCGCATACGACACTTTGGTAAGAATAGAATTAACACGTTTGGGCTTAAAGGGACATTAATATTGGAAGTGGAAAAAAATAATCGATTATTTTTACATAAACGTTAATTCTTTACAATCATAAAAATACTCTGTTAATATTTTAGAACGAAATGTGTAAAGGAAAAGTTATGTACAATTATGCGAAGCGGATAGGTGCTCGATATGTAACAAAACAAAAAAAAACTTTGAACGTTTTTCTCGAAACCACTTTTTTCAAATGGTATCAACAATTTGAGAGAAAATTATAAGTCCGATCCTCATGTTTCGAATATCTTTTAAAAATTCTCTAGAAACCTCTAAAAAGTTTGAAAATATCATCCCTAATTTTTTACGGGGTTGGATCCACCTCTAAAATTGCTTGTTTTTTCAATTTTTCAGAAAAACTCAGGCCAAAATCGTAAAAAATCTAAACTTTTTAGAGGTTTGTCCTGTAGAAAAAGTTGTAACGATCAAAAATACATATGAAACGCGAGGATCGAACTTATATTGTTTTCTCTCAATCGTTGGTACCAGTTGAAACGAAGATTTCAGCTACTTCTTTCTACATCAGACAAAATGTGTCTCAAGTCCCATAAAAATGTTTTCTTTGTAGTTTAATATGCCAGGAACAATACCCAAAAAGTTCGGAATTAATCAAATTCATAGATCTAGAGAAAAAAAAATTTTTTAATTAATTTTTTTTATTATTTGCAATGGGAATGTTCCCTTCGCGTAAAATATGTTGTGTTTTGACAGTATTATTCTAACATCACATATATAATAAAAATGTTCAATCGGTATAATTCATAAACGATGTAGATTTTTTCCGTGGAAGTCTTTATCGGACAATAAAATGACTCGATATCAGTTAAGTTGTCATGATACAGATCATTTGTCGCTTCGAATGTCGTGAGGTGTAAGATTACAATCTAGTTGTATTTGACATCTTGTAAGACCATTGTGCGCGTAGAAGCTCATCGATAATTAACACCATTTCCAAGAAACTCAATTTTTTATGAATTTAAATTCATAACATGAACTTCAAATAATGTTTGTAACACCAGTTATACATAAAAAAATCGTTTGGTCATGCTTCACACTCGAATTATGAAAAAGAATCACACACGAGTTCTGCTATAGTACATTACGTAACTGAGGCAGGGGGTTGTCTATCTTGCAAGATTGACAACCGACTCAGTTACGCATTAGTAGATTACGCAACGGGGGCGCACACTAAAAGTTGCGTACACTAATTTTCGTTATAACGTGCGGAAAGTCGATTTTAAGATCGCCAGCCGCGCGCGAAAGTCGCACTTTCCGCACGCAGTGATGAAAAGTATTTTATCACAGCGTGCGGGAAGTTTGATTTCCCGCACGCTCAGCCGTGCGGGAAGTACGTAATTCCCGAGCAATACTGTAATAACGATACTTCTCGAAATTACATACTTCCCGCACGGCTGAGCGTGAGGGAAATAAAAACTTCCCGCAACTCGTGATAAAAAATAGTATACGTCACTCGTGCGAGAATCACCCACTTCGCGCACGAGTGACGTAATGTACTATTTCATCATCGGGTGTAAGAAGTCGATTTTAAGATTTTCCCTCATGGCGCGGTGTGCAGGAAGTAGCACGCAGTGATGAAAAGCTCATTTCGTTACTAGCACATAAACGCCATTCACGTTCGAGTCTCGTCGAGCTTGTTTCGGCATTATCGCTGAGTGAGCTTCATGCTCGAGTGCTGCTGAGCTTATATCGTGTCAAAATACTGAGGGAGATTTCGACTTTACCGGGAATTAAATCGCGCTCAAGTTTTCTTCAATGTATTTCGCCACTCAATCACAATTACTGAATATATTCAACAAAATGTAAAACAAAAAATTAATAAAAATTGAATATAATAAGAGGTGACTCTCCCAATATTCAATCAAAATTCTATTTAATAAATGTCACATTGGACTGGAACTTGAAAAAAAAAGTCATCTATGTATCAAAAAAATAGTCTGTGCAAAATTTCAGCCCTTTAAAATCGAGTTACGCCATGCCGCTAATCGATTTTAGGTTTTTAATTTTATTTAAATTATTTTTATAGCTCATTTTTAGCAAACTTTACATAACATAACACGGGCAACTCGTGTCCGGTCTGCCCTCTTGCAGTGGAGGATGACGAGCACGTCTTCTTCCATTGCCCACCATTAACGGTAGAAAGAGAGCAACTCCACCACCTCACTAATGGGCCCTTGGAGCCCGAGACTATAGTTGGGTTCATGCTTGCTGCAGTACGCAGCTGGGAAGCAGTGTCCTCCTTCGCCAACACAGTCATAGCAAGACTCTGAGAAACGATGAGAGGGCGAGAAGAAGATTACCGGACGATGCGGTACAATGAAGACGAAACATAGACTTACTAACACCAGGATGAGCTCGAACAGCCCTATGGCCTCTCCCCGCTAAATAATTCCTAGCGATGGTCCCGCGAGAAAAGAACAGGAGCAGGAGAAGAAAGGATAGGTTTTAGTAGGTATTAGTAGAGAGGCACACATTAGCCCATTTAACAACAGTACACAAACATCAGTACATTACTCGAGCCTGACATATCCTTGCGATACCGAAAGGTCGCATGTTGAATGGATTTCTTTCCTCGTTAAAAAACACACTCACACATACACATACATACAGACATCAGTCACAAATTCTGTCTAGCTTACAAATATGTAATCGGAATTTACAAGATACAAAAATTGACGAAAGTTGATTTTTGACCCATCACAGAGCTTCCTCGATGAGGAAGCATTATTTAAGAAACTATCATCTGTTTTATACTAAAAAACGTGTATTTTCATCAATTGAAACAATCTGTACTTTTTTTAAAAGCTAAAAATTTGTTTTAACTGAAAATTTCGCATTTTTTATGACGCAAATTTTTGCATGCCCCGCAATAAAATTATTGCAACAATAATTTTCATTGAAATTTTGTCAATTTTCTATGCTTTTATCTGCGTCAACTTTCATCGCATCGGAACGATTTTTTTAGTTGATATAGATATTTGTTCTGGTTTTAAGCTATATATATTTTTAGTAGGTTTGAGTCAAAATTGAGTTACCGCAGTCACACTTAAGCGTAACACCTCAAATGACAGACAAAAATGGATCGTTTAAACGTGTACCTGGGATACAATCTTTTTTTTAATTCAAATTTAACATACATCATTGCAAAGTACTCTTTTTGAAGAGTAATTTGAAAAAAAGGAGGTCTCTACAAGTTTTTTTAGCATGGTTTTGAAGATAATGTTTTAAGTACTCAAAATGCCTTGTCTAACGGAAATCTCATCTGATCAAATTGTTGATTTTGTATAAATTGAGTCAGAACAATGTATCTTGTACGTGCGGGGGTATAGGGCACTTGCTTGTGAGTACTGTAAAAAAATGCGAGTTCTTGTAGTCCCAAATATTATTATTTGTCTGGCTAACATCGCTCTAATTTAATTTTAAGTTAAAAAATGACTTTAGTCCAGGTACGCGGTTAAACGATCCATAGCATTATACTAAATTTAATGTTAAAAAGAGCCTAAGAATTTAAAAACAGACGCACTAACTGCATGTTGTAAATTTGAAGAATTGAAATATTTTTATTCATGCTCGAAAAATTGTGAAAGAAAAATACGTTTGAGATGAGTATACAGTATTATCCAGCGCAGCGGCATAAGAATTAGTAATTTCTAAGTGTTGGTATGAAAACAAATTTAGTTCTTTCCTTGTGTTTCGAACCTTTTTATTTTGTATTTTAACTCGTATATTGAGCCCCTTGATGCTGTACATGAATGCCAAATTCCCCTGCCATCAGCCTACAACTAGGTGCCTGTATAAAGATCCAGGATGGTTCTAACCGGGAGAGGCTGTTTCTAATCTGGATATTTATTACTTATTACTCAATCAGTAGGGTGCTGGACTTAAATTTAGATGATCACTGTTTCAAGTCCGATCCTGGGTAAAGAAAAATTCATTTTTCATTTTTTTTAAGTCCAAAATTGTTTATAATTTCTCACAATTGCTCAGAACATCCATCTTTTTTATCGAAAAAGAGGAATAATTTAAATAACACAAAGATGCTGAATTAAAAATTTTCACTCACTTTTGCAGTATTCATCGAAACTCATTTATTGAAAAAAATTGAATCTGACTTTCGAATCATTAGCGCGCTTTTGAATTGCGTAAAAGCCCCATAAAACTCAATTTACCAAGTCTTAGTACGACGTATGATGTACTGTGGAGTAGACTTACACAACTTTGCCCATTCTCGACTGTAGAAACTCTCTTCGTGACTAAAAGTCGTATGATTTAGAGTTTTGACAGGCATAATTTGTTTGTTAATTTTATTTGAACAAATCAAGTTTAATTAAAGTGATTTATTGAAATTATAATTTTTAGCAATGATTATGGATAAAGTTTTGCTATTTTTTGTAGTGTTTAGCTTAGATTCAGCTCGAGCCACTGAAAATCATTACGCCTATGCCGTAGTGGAGGTGTGTATATAAAATTATAAGCCCGCTCACACCCTCACGCACACTTACTTTCTCATAACATTTATCATACGTTCAACGAGCCGCTGATTATTATTTTCAATTTATACTTATTTACGCATATCAATGACTTCAATGTCAAAACTTTTGTGTTTTCTGTTTCGTTTTTTTCCAATTCTTTGATTAAAAATGCTGCATTTTAATTATAAATATAAGATGTTTATTTCTCCACCGATAATTAGATATTAAATGTATCGGTAAAGTTTACTTACGACAAAAAAGTCATACATATTACTTTAATTTTTATATGAGTATGAAAAAAATTTTGTCACGTACTTATTATATCGTTTATACTTCAATTATTGGTTTTCATACCATTAAAAAAATTCTGAAAGAATAGTGCAGTAAGTTTTTTAAAACAATCCATGAACGAGACTTTAATAAGAAGAAAAAATTTATATTCCTACGAATTAAATGTGTTAGTCGCATATAATTAATCCCATAAAAAAATCTTAACACAGAGCTGCAGAGGATGTCAATTGAACAGGCTGCCTGACATTAAAAGTTTCATTTTTGAAGATCTTCCGAAATAGTATCCTTTTTACATACAGCATTAAACTTCAACAAATATTGTATTATATCGATTTTCCTGAACAACATTCAATTAAACTCAGTGAAGGTGTTGAATTCAAGCATATACAAGGAGTACCACCGGAGCTCGTACTTTACAATAATGAAGAAAAGGTTGGAAAAAATAATTTAAATTTTTTATTTACAATTGCTATACGTACATTTTTTATAGGAAATGGAACGATTTCAATTGGCACAATTGTCGCGAAAAGAATGCAACGATCTTCTCATTTCAAAGGGTTTCAAGAAGTCTGTACCGGCCGTGAAGGATGAGATTTGAAAAAATTGAGCCTTATAAATGCAACCGAGTTCAATTTTTCTCGGAATAATTCATAATTTAAAAAAAATTAAATTTGTTTCAATTGTTATCGAAACGAAACTTTTACTTTGCACTCTCTTTGATGGTTAAAAATATTCATCGTATATACATTATAAAGTAAAAACATTAACATTATAATAACACAAATTTGAAAAAATTTATAGTAATAATGACCACTTGATATTATTACAGGTAAAAATATCGTTAATAGACTATTTATAAATTAAATTTGTGATACACGTACATAATATCATATGTAAATTATATAATGATGCACGCATTTTGTCCTTTCTTTCTTCTCTAAGTACCTTGAAATAGCGCATTTTCGAATTATATTTAACAATTAATTGAAGTTACTTACTATTTATAATTGTAAGTATAATCACATTTATGATTATTTTTTTAATTATTGCAACAAAAAATTGATTATCATCAGGTTACTATAGTACAGTTTCTATTTGTCTACAAAAACCTGTTTTTATTTCCATTTAACCAAATACCTGTTTATGTGCTAAGGTCCAAATATTTTACAAAATTTCTTAAGCTTTTATTGAGTGTCATTCGCATGAAATTAAGTAGAGTTTTATAGTTCTCTGACCAAATTAATTTTTGTCAGAAAAATAAGAATTATGCGATTGCATTCAAATTTGAAAGTACGTTCGATAAATGTTATCACGCAAATAATTGTTCATCGCATTCATTTTTTTGGTGAAAAAAAATGATTGTAATAGTATTATTAGCCGTAATGAGAGGGTGAGCGTAGCAATTTTTGATTTATCTAAAATTTGTAAAAACTCGCCCTCCTAAATGGAGCTGCAATCTGTGATAAAACCACTAGTAAGCCCGAGTATTTAACGATACAATTTGTTTCTCCACGATCAATGTCTATGTGAGCTCTTATACTTATGTTGAATATGTTATTTGAAAGTGGAAATATCAATAATATGGTTATACAACGAAAACAAATTCTAAATTGTTAGATTTAACTATAAAATGCTTATAATTTCATACAGGAAACAATATTTCACAATGTTTTTCAATATTATAGTGAAAGAATATCAAACATAACTTGTCAAAATTGAATTACATACGTACTACTTAATAGTATCAGCTTCGTTATAATAAATCAAAGAGTTATCGAATCCAATGTTTAAATAAAATTTTTCAAACCAATTATTCCAACGACCAATTCCAACAAACCAATTTTGAAACCATTATCTAGGATATTCTCGAAAAAACGATGTGAACGTTTAAAATACCTCAAAATGAAGACATCTCATATAGTTTTTGAAAATTCTCTCGTATTAACCTTGGCTTCGGTATCTCCTTGAGCTTGCTTGTTGATTTTAAAAAATGCTTAACCAAAGATTATACATGGAAATCGACGTATTTGAATTATTTAAGGTCGAAAACTTAAAAAAGTCAATTTTCAATTAGGCCAGTTTTCCATGTCTTCTAGTCTTATGCCTACCATTGTAAATGTATTGAAATTATCGCGGCGTGGATAGCATACGTAGTTATAAAAATCCAAGGTGTCAAATGCGTAGGACATAATTCACCTTATATCATCGCAATAACTTTGAAAAAAAATCGTCAACGTTTCCCTGCTCATATATATCGTCTAAGGGAGATGAAATTATATAAATTACATTCATTGAGTAATTTTTAACTGAACTTTACTATTTAAATAATGTTAAAACTAGTCCAAAAATTTAGATGACTTGATTAAAGGTGAATATTGGATTTTGGCCGGGTATTAATAGGGACACGCTACCTTGGATTATTGATTGCTAACAAAAGTATCGACTTCAACGCCGTGATAGTTTTAATAAATTAATTTTTCTATGAATTAAATCCTTGTCAACTACTATAAAAACTATTAAAACAAATCTCGATGTCCGTTGGATTGTAATTACTTAAATTATAAAATAATATAGGTAAAATCAGCTGTAAATAATGTTATAAAAACCAGGAGTTGATAAAGCTGCCCATGAAAGAGCTTGAATTTGTTAAAATTACAAAAAGTCAAATTTTGTTCATTGTTCAAAATCGTTCGTATTTATTCATGAATTCGTATCAATTTACAAGCGTAAAATTTGGTTAAAGTAGTAGGCATTAAAAATAGATTATCGTAATATATCATGAATATGCATGTTTTTTTATACTTTCTATTTTCACAAAAACATATTTTCTATTTATAACAACAATCTTATGAATAAATTGTAATAAATATGAAATGATATTTATAACTAATAAAGTTAGTTGTAAATCCTAGTATTAAAATACGATGATTATAATTTTTAATTATATTTGTTGCACAAACATATGCTTTTTCTCATCGTATATGGTCAATTCAACTAACACGAAAAAATTGCGGAAAAAAAAATCATGGTAAATTAGTGTATGTAATAAGCTAAATGCATCATATTTTCAATGATTATATTCATTGATTCAATCAAAACTAATTACTTTCGTTAAAAACTGTGTCAGAATTTAAAGTAACTTCAATGTTTTAGCGATCAAGTTTGCATGTACTTTACAAGACCTATGTTTTTATTAACTAATAAAAATCAACCTGATTTTAAAATATTTAATTAAAAACTTTACATTAATTACTGATTTAAGTAAGCTAAATCAAAAATTAAGTTTTAAATATAAGACTAATGTTACAACCACTCTGATTCCGTATTTAAAAATTACTCATATTATTATTTACTATAAATAACCACTTTTCCCAATATCATAAAAAATCATATCTATTTTTCTTCTTCAACTACATTTTATAATTGATATTAGTAATCACTGAAATTCTATTAAAGAAAAATAAAATTTTATTATAAAATAAGTCTAAATTTAATTTAATTATGTACATTTTTAATGTTTCCCTATATTAGAAAAATTTTAGTTAATTTATGTTTGACACTTGGCCAAAGTTCTTCAATTTATACATTCTATGTAATGTTCATAATTTTTACAAATTATTATATTTTATATACATAAAAATATGCATTTTTTAAGAACTGATTTTGATTTTTACATAAAAGATACTAGGTGCCAGTAGCAGAATTTCTTGAGTTAGTTACCAACTTGTACATATACTTGAAAGTTTGCTAATTTAATTGAAGAAAACTTTAGTAATAGCATACTAACAAGTTCATGATGAAAATCACTTAAAATATTTCATTTTTGTATGATCGAAAATCAATAAAGACAATATTATTCATACAGGTTATATCATTGATATGCAATATTAATTAAATAACTCAGTACACACTGTAGTTATATAAAAATAAAAGTCCTTCTATTAAAAGTTGTCAGAATATACACAAAAAAAATATAGATTTTACAAAATTTTGATGAACTGACTTAGCAGTCTAGGATTTTGATTAAACTTCAGTTATGCCAAAAGTAACCAGAAAATGAAAGCAACAGCTAACCAGATAAATAATTTTGAAAGAAATGTATCATCATCTAAATGAGGGGTTCCATGTGGTGCTGGACTTGGCCGTGTTTCAGGAAAATTGAAGGTTGATGTGAAAAATCCAAATGGAAATGCACCAATGCCAAATGACATATGAAAACCTCCATCTCCGAATCCAAAACCAGGAAAACCTACATTGGCTTCAGGTTCACTTCTTTGGCCCATTGGGCGCGGTGGAACATTATTTCTGAAAAAAAAAATTCCTTATTAGAGTTCAAAATAGAGTTCAATTACAAGATTTTGTTGAATATTTTACCTTGGATCTTCTTGTTTTGAAGTACCTCTTCCATAAAGTGGTATGACTTTTTCTTTGCTGATTGCCGCTTTACACACAGGACATACTTGCCTTGTAATACGTGTTTCTAACCACTGATGCAGACAAGGCCAGCTGAAACAAAGTTATTTCAATTAAGTTACAAAAAATATAAATATTAAATAATATATAATATTGAGAGAATCAGCTTCTTTTTTATCATTAAAAACATAATTTAGATTAGATGATACAGCAAACATACCAAAATAAGTGACCACACATACTAACAACAGCATCTTTGGCAGTATCTAAACAAATATTGCATTCAAATAATCTATCGTCTTTTTCTTTCTCTTCTGCATTTGATCCAAGTGGATTCGATGGTCCAGGTTGGTTTTCCGTAAGCACCATAGTGGATAACTATTTTCCTAATATCTGAAGTGTAACAAAACAAGTAGTCAGTTTAAATAACATATTACAATAAAAAAAGATTAAACACGTTTGGAAGTTTCGAGAATACCCGACGCGCGTACGGTACCGCATAGCGCATAAATATGAGTAAAAGATGAAGATTTATTTAAAAAAAAATGAGATCGAATTTTTCAACGGCTAAATTGGGAATCATTATGATATCCAATTGCATTATTTCATCTATACACAGCATCGGGCACGTTCCGAACTTTAAACAATTCTTTTGATTGTTTGAATAGCCGTAAACAAGTACTATCGTTGCCTGAATAGCAGCACAGTCTGCGATTATATTATCAATGTCGTCACCCGACCATTCGCACATCAACAGGATATAGACAATAATCTTGCATAAAGTATAGATAGGTCTAAGTCTAAGCCTGTGCGAACTGGTAACGATATGTGCATTCTTATAAAGAAGTAAAATCGAATGAATCGAGAAATTGAAAAATGAAAGAGTAAAAGAGAGATGATCGCTCGTTGACAAAAACGATATGTAATAGGCAGGAAATAAAATGACTTGAAAGATTCTTGTATAAAATTAATCATTCGTGATTTGCAGCCATGATCATAACACTAGACAATTCTAACGCATACAATACCAACTACAGCAGCTGCAGGCTCACCTTTTATCAAAAAATGTTATCAACTCCACGTTCGTTTTTAGTATTAATACTTTTCTACACATACGGTTGTAACGATTGTGGCATAGTTTGTTGTATTTTATACGAGTGACAGCAGAGTAAAAGAGTGAGACAGGGAGTAATAGCAAGAGAAAAAGAGATAGAGAGAAAAGGGAGAGAACTATATAATACGGGTATGGCGATATAAATCAGCACTTTGGCAATATTTGCAATGCAGTAAAACTGATTGATATTTAATTCATTATCATTACGTTTATTAAAATGCTAAGAGTTGGTACGCTTTAATTAAGATAATATGCGCATTGGAACACTCGTCACAGCAGAAGACGCGATTACAATGTACGCACTCATGACAGCCCCATCATAACTCATATAGCCCATCGATCGAACTTGAGTATTAAACACATACACAAGATTTCAGGCTTTAATGTTAAGATCTAAGTATGAAGGTCGTTATTAAATAATTAGGTTATAAACTTTAAAGGCTCGATGCAACAATCGGACAACTTGTACTCACTTGACGTCGATGACTTATTTCTCGAACAACACTCTTTGAAGATTTCTCACAACTTGTACGGCATATGGGTAGGGAAAAAACTAAACTCGTGTGCATTGGCTATACTGAAAACTGCGAATCACGAGATGTCACTTGTCGCAGATAACTTTTCATGTATACGACTTTGTATCTTTGTAGACTACAGATATATATATATAAATTTGAGAGGGGGGGGGGGGGCTACATTAAAACTACATATTCTTAAGCGTAATTATTAGTTAGCGTATATATAAACCGCTATCAGCAGCTCGAAGTTGTTTGGACTTACGTGGCTTTTCTTGCTCCGATTCGCGCGTGGTCAATAAGCTCGATGATCCAATGACGTTTGTCCGCGAGTACGCGCGTTCCGTTGCCAGTAATGTTGTTGTTGTAGATATTGTTGTTGTTGTTAATGCACGTCATGCAGGTCAGGTTACAGGTAGCTGATATGCAGGCCCACTTATAGCGCTGACTTATACCTATATTAACTATTGGGATTTGAAAGAGGGCGGGGCTTAGGTTATGACGGTACATGACGCGTCATTTCTATATATTTTGAATTTTGGCGGGCACGTCTGCAATGGGAGCAAATTCACTTAGAAAGACGGGACTAAACTCTAAAGTATGAACATCTTTATACCAGTAGAGGCCGACAATCACAATTTCCAATATGCTAAAGCCTGTATATAGTATTCTGGCAATGTATAGATAAAATCAAGTCCAATAAAAATTCATTACTATTAATATGCTAAAGCACTTCATTGCATATGTTGTATCCTAAGGATGCAGTTTTCATTTCCCCTTATCCTCCTGACCATTAAATCATCAATTCCCAGTTACAGAGCCGCTCAAATAATGTACATACAATTTAACTGCAATTGCCCGAGAGTCGAGACTGTGCAAAAATGACAAAAGCCACACTGAGTGGGCGCAGAATCATCATCTCACACGAATGGCCTGACTTTGACTTCAAACATACTCTTACAATACATGTAGCCATTAGTGCTCACGGCTTAATTAAATGTTGCGATTTCGAAATCTTGTAATACAAGATAAGGCAAAAAAATGATATGAAAAATTCATTTGTACTAATCATTATAGCAATGACTTCTCTTCCATTTTTCACTAATTTAATATGATCATCATAAATGTTCAAAATACACTGAAAAAAATCGTCGGTGCGAATCCATCAAAAGTGGACAGCTGGATCAGAAAAAGATATTTTACTGCCGAAACAAAATTATTGGACGATATTTGGCAGCTAAATTTTGCAAAATTATTTTGCTGTGGCAGTAAATATCTTTTATGCAATAGTACGACGAAAAATGTCTTTTTTCGCACATTTTTTAGTGCGCAAAAAGCGTTTTTGGACACTTGTGTGCGGTAAAATGCCTCATTTCGACACTGGTGTGCGGTAAAACGTCTCATTTAAATGAAAGTATTTTTCGTCTCCTATTGCATAAAATTTTGTATGCAACACCCCAGCTTTTTGGGCACTTGTTACATAATAGTTATTTATGTAACAAGTGCCCAAAAGGCGTTTTTGGGCACGAGTGTGCGGAAAAAGACACGAGTGCCGGCTACGCCGGCACGAGTGGGTGTTTTTTGCACACACTGTGCGCAAAAAGCTGGGCACGTGTTGCATACAAAATTTTATGCAATAGTAGGTGAAAAATACGTTCATTTAAATGAGGCGTTTTACCGCACACCTGTGTCCAAAATGAGGCATTTTACCGCACACCAGTGTCGAAATGAGGCATTTTACCGCACACAAGTGTCCAAAAACGCTTTTTGCGCACTAAAAAATGTGCGAAAAAAGACAGTTTTCGTCATACTATTGCATAAATAACTATTTTTCACCACAGCATGCGGGAAGTGCTATTTCCCTACCGGAATAGCGGTAAAATCTTCAAATCGACTTCCTGCACTCGATGATGAAAAAAACTATACGTAACTGAGGCCGTTGTCAATCTTACACTCGTGTCAATGCAACCCACGCTACGCTCGGGCTGCAAACTGACAATCTTGCAAGATGGACAACCCCCCGCTTTAGTTACGTAATGTACTAGTATGCAACACGTGCCCAGCTTTTTGCGCACCGTGTGCGGAAAAATACCCACTCGGGCCGCCATGGCCTGCACTCGTGTCCTTTTCTGCACACGTGTGCCCAAAAACACCTTTTAGGCACTTGTTGCATAAATAACTATTTCTGATTCAGCTGTCCACTTTTGATGGATTCGCACCGACGATTTTTTTCAGTGTATGATTTTTGAAATTAAAAAATATATATATTATATACCATTATGAAAAATATTAACATTTCATAACAGTAGGGAATACATAAATATACACTCTAAAGATTTCGTAATATGATATTCGAGCAAAGATTACCCACATTTTCATTGTGCAAATATATAACTGACATAATTTAGTTTATAAACTTAATTACGTCTTTTATAAGACGTATTATTTCAACAGTAATTTTAATTTCAAACTTTATAAACTAACGTTGTGTACACTGTATCAGTAAGCTTCAAATAACTGATATTAATTTTTACTAAAATCTTCAATGAATTATTTGAATTTCATGGAAATAAATAAAGTAATTGCACCATCCGACAAAGTGAACATTTCTCGCCGTATTTTATAAATTAATTCAAATTCGGAAATTTTCTTAAAACATTAATAAACTTTAATGCAGTTTTGTGCCCTAATAAAATGCTTAAAAATGTGCACAGATTATTTACCGGTCAAAAACCCCAATATATAGATTGGAAGTATGCATCCTTCCTTCAATTTCCTTGGTTACGCAAACAATACAATGAATTAAGAAGTATGCAAGGATATAAAATCTTACTTTTATTTAAAAATGTAGGTTATACAATTCTATTACCTCTGTGTTTATTTTGTGAAACAGAAGTTGTTTTGTGTTTCTGCAGTTATGAGCTAGAACTATAAGTCGATGAAAATCATATCTAAAATATCAGTGCATCGAAATGAAGTAAAACCAATATGTAAGTAAATCTCGTGAAATTTTAATATATTTCTATTCAAAAATAATTGTTTTTTAGAACAAACTTGTGTAACTTTTTTTGGAACTTACAAGTATTTTAGAAATCTGAAAAAATATAGTGTCCATTGAATACGGGTTAGAGCCTTTAAAGATTTGAAAAAGTATGAATTAGTAAAAGTAAGAATTTATCTTGAGATTGTACAAGGTTTGGGTAATTAGGCAAGCCATTACGTAGCATTTTTTTTTCAAAAGTACAGTTTCAGTAATCAGAGTTTAAAAATTAAAAATAGGATGAGTTGAATTTCAAAATTCATAAAGGACGCCATAAATTGCATGTTTTATTTGAATTCGTGTTTATGTCAAATTAGAAATTATTTTAAGAACAAGAAAAAATTTAAAATTTTACATCAACATTACCAGGAACGTGCAATGGAGAACTGAATCACTGAAATCTTCTTTGTTGTCAGATCCTTAGAGATTTAGCTGAATGTAATAAGTATATCATTGTGTCAATAGCTCAAGTGAATTCAATCGTTAAATTAACCATACTCATCGTCTAATTTATAAAAAAAGTGTGTATTTTGATTGAATAATATAACAAATAGACAATAAATAGTTAATTTAACGATTGAATTCACTTGAGTTTTTTTGTCGCAATGATAAATTCATTTAATTCAAATAAATCTCTAAGATTCATTCTTTCAGTAAAATATACTCCTCAATAGACACAACCGACATTTTCTGAGTAACAGCACAACTCTAATTTCAATAAATATTATAAACATTGCATCAAATATTGATTTCCAACAAACTAATGCGTGTGAACAATAAAGTTGATTTTCTCGAGGTATTCTCACGAGCTTTTCGAATGTATTAAAAATTCATTCATATGCTATACCAAAAAAAGAAATTATTATTTCCATTAAAAACTATTTTGTAACATGAACTTAATCATTGGTTAGTTCAACTAAACCATCATGTTGTTGATTCAATTACATTTATTTCTATAATAAATTATATATTCATTTGCGCAAAAAAATTTTTTCTCAGTGTAGATTTAAATTACTATGCAATACTTATTTTACGATGGTCGTTTGTATCTGAAAATTGTTAAAAATAAAACATTGAAGTTTTTCTGTCTTAGTATTACATTAATATAATACATGACTAATTGTAACTAACGACCACGAAAAATATACACCTCGAATTTATTGTTCCAAGAGTATTTTAATCATTTATACGAGGTGATTATATTGAAGAAGGCGTAAAGATCACGAGTTTCATTTTCAAAAAAGTGTTGTTTTAAATCATTTAATCATTCCTTGTCTTATCCATATTATCGTATTTTAGTTTGAAATACTTTTTTTTATAAAAATCCAATTTCATTGTTACTTTAACAAACAGTATATTGTATCCATTGTACTATCTGAAGTTTGGTCGATCATAGATTAGTTATTTGCCTGTTAGTACAATTATCTGTTCTTAGTACCTAAACCGTATTTTGATACGGTCCGCCTAAACCGTACTTGGATACGGTTTAGGTACTATTACTGTTGTAACGGATATAATTTTATCCGTTATAACAGTTTTTCATAATATTGAATTTTCATAATCATTTACGCAGATGATAAATAAACGAATAAAGCAAGAAGACGATAATAAAGCAATAAAATGCGAAAAAAAACAGCAATATCCATTGCACCATCCATCATGTCATCACAATACAACAGATCGGTTTCAATGGCATTTCGGGGGGGCCGTCTGAATCGTCGTAGTTCAAGGGTTTCGAGGTATCAACCGACTCCGGTAAAGTGTCGAGGCAAATTTTCCCAGATATCAATTGATATGTGAAAATATAAATTAATCGGCTGTTGCAGATTACTCGACCAGGCGGGGCAGCGACGACTTTGCTGCAAAAACGCGACCGACTGCGGGTGTTCGACAGCGGCGACGACGTCACTCCCCGAAATCTGGTGCATCCGCTGCACGCGACGATCGGTCAGCTGGGCGAGCGCCGGACGGCTTTCGATCCCGTCGTCGCCGATCCCTACGACAAATCTTCCAAAGTCGAGACGCAGCGCCCGAGCTTCGCCACATTATCGTCCTTCTCGTCCGCCTACACGATCGACGATGCGAACGCTAAAACGGATAAGGTCGAAGAAGACCTCGGCCCTCGAAGCCCGACGCGGCCACTCGTTTTACAAGATGTCGTCGTAGCTCTCGATGCTCCGTCGCAGTATCACTTGTCCAGGTATGCAAACGAGCGGCTAATTCACTTGCATCTAGTTGATGTAAGCAGCTATCCTTTGCTTAATTTTGCAGATTAGAAGAGGAAGAGCTCGATCTAGAGGATGAAATTTCCATACTGCTCAAGGAAACGGACACGATGTTTCTTTTCGAGCTACCTCAGTTAATTGAGTACGCCGATACACCGGAAGCTCAAGTCCTATTGCGAGAAAACGAGAAATACCAATGCATAAGGGAAGGAAAAGGTCGTAAGACTGTCAACGCGGAAACTCAAACGTATGAAAAGTACTACAAGACCATCGGGACTCATGCCAAGCGCAAAAGTCGTCGCGATTGCGGGACATTCGTCAACGACTGGGTTATGTATGACACCTTTAATCAAATAAACGATATCCACCCGAGTAAATCCGATGAAACAGTCGAATCAAAAAAGACAAATGAGGTACTTGTACAGTTAGCATTACTTTTTTTGTCATTTTCTCAGTTGATTTCTAGATCTCTTCTCTAAAATATATATTTCAGATAAATCGGTTCAAATTTCCAGCCCCGAAAATAGATAAAAAAGAAGCAGCTAAACGAGCATATGCTTATAGATACATGGATGAGCTCGAACAGCAAATGGCCGAACTGATGAATACGGAGACATTTCAAGACGTTGTTCGGACGGCCTTGCGAATTTTGGCAAGCAAAACCTACGACGTTGCTCAAAAAAACTTCCTCGGCCTCATCGAGTCGGATCCGTGCGATCCAGATTTCGAGCTCGTTTACGGCCTGGAGTTACTCTGGGAGCACGAGAACGAGCTTATCAACGGTAAAACGGTTGCAGCTTTCAAGTGGAACCCGTTGAAAGATACAATATTGGCGGTTGGTTACGGATCGGCGAATCGCGATCAGAAGGTTTGCATTTTCACGTAAACAAGGCGTGTCCTTGGAAATGGTACATTTTAAGCCAGTGTCATTTTCGATAGCAGCAAAAATCGCAACCCTCGGAAGGCCTCATACTCATTTGGTCGATAAAAAATCCAAGCCTGCCAGATCGAAGTTTTCAATTCAATAGCCCCGTAAGCGATTTGGATTGGAGCAAGGCCGATCCAAACTTGCTCGCCGTCGGCTTCTACGACGGCATGATTCGCATAATCGACGTGAGCGAAAAGGAACTGACCGTCGTTCGCGAGGCTGGCAGAAAGTATTCGCCGACGTTCGAACCGCATTGGCAGGTGATACAGATGCGCGATTCTTGCCTGATTTTTCTTACCAAAAGTTAAATTTATAGCACTGCTTGCTATAAAACTCGTGTCTAACGTATCAATATCTCGAGTCTAACGTATCGTAATATGCTTTTACGACATTATGAATTATCAGGTCCGATGGTGGACAACGAAGGACAATCGATTTTTGAAGGATAATGCCGAAGAGCAAATTTTCGCCGGCAATCAAGACGGTCGAATTCTGTACTACTGTTATTCGGAAGAGGCTGATTTCGTTCCACACCAAATCATCCGGCTGCAGTGTATCGAAGGTCAATATTATATATCGACTAGAACACAGAGTGGACGAAGACAATTACTGTACCCTGTGAGCAGGTCACGTTCAAGGAATTCGACGTACCAACTACAGTCGTGGCACAGAGGTACCGATCAATCGGCACACGGGCATCAGAGTTCTGCGACTGCACCCCAAGAGCCCGAACGAGTTCTACGTCGGCACCGAGGAGGGGGCCATCGTGCGCTGCTCCATCGATCAGCCGGACTTTTACCTGGATCACTTTCTCGCTCACGACGGAGCCTGCTACACCATGCAGTACTCGCCGTTCTGCGAAAAGATCTTTCTGACCTGCGGCGCCGATTGGTTCTGTCGCATCTGGGCCGAGGGGGTGACCGAGCCGCTGATGGAATTCAGCACGCGCATGACCAGTGTCAGCGCGGCCACTTGGTGTCCGAAAATTTCCACGATATTCGCCACTGCAAGCCTGAACGAGGTCTCGGTCCTTGTCAATTTTTTTCTTCCGATAAACAAAACAAAAACACCAGCCCCAAGTCCGTTGGTTGTGTTGCAGGTCTGCATTTGGGACATAAAACGGAAATCGCATCGTCCGGCTTCGGTGACGGAAGTGGCGCCGGCGAGAGCGCGGATCACCCAGCTCGAATTTACAAAGACTGGCAAACAGATCGTTAGCGGAGACGATCAAGGCACCGTATACGTACACAAACTCGAGGGTATACCGCTGCTGGTACTCAATCAGACGGAAACTCTGGCCAAGACCATAGGTAATGCTCTGGTCATTAAGCCCCACTTGCTCAAGAAAGTGCGTAAACTCGGCCAGCCCTTTGACTTTGAGGAATTTTTCGACTGAATCAACAGATCCATGCAATTGGCAGGATCGATACTAATTTTAAATCGGGCTTATTAATCTTTAGACTATTTTTTTTATTCGTTCAGTACTTATATGCGCCGATAGTCGGATATTTTCGACGCAGTATTTATTATACTTATTCTTAGAACGACGACAACTGATACTGTTCAAATCATGTTTGGTTTTTTATACATATATATATATATATCAATGGATAAATAAATTTTCCATTCAAGTTTCACCAACCTGTATCACCATTACACTCAATTAACAGAGATTATTTCACGTAACTTCTCTTCGGTTGAATTGTTGTAAAAATTAAATCGTAATCATTATTAACTCTTAACTACGTAGCCACTTAACGAATGAAAAATATTCCGAGCTATTTGACAAAAGTAGTTGTATTATATAATTCAGGTCTTTCGTCACAGCAAGTGCAATAAAACTTACGACAATGAACTTGAAAGTATGCGTATAGATATTATTTGTCGGAGTATTATGATATTATTGCAAGTCGTAGCGCAACTCATTATTTTCCGTATATAAATTGTAAGTTCTCGGTTAGTAAAACATTTAAAGTCGTGTCGCATGCGTAAAAGTCACCCTATCGATTGCTGCAGCATCAAGCCATCGAATAAAATGACCAAGTGGCTACTGCCATTCGTTATTTTGACGTTACTCTCGTGCTCGCCGAGGCCTTGCTCATCGGTCACTATTTTCGATTACGTGGATGGACTGGCGGACTTTGTGGTCGGTGCCGCGGGCTTCGTCGTCCAGAGCTTGGTCTATCTGAGTCAGCAGGTGAGAGACACGACGCCGTCGCAAAATCAGGAGTACGACTTTGTGATCGTGGGCGCGGGGACGGCCGGGGCGACTCTGGCCGCCAGACTGAGCGAGAAGCCGAACGTCACGGTGCTGCTGATCGAGGCCGGCGGCTACGAGCAGCTCATCATGGACATTCCTGTTCTGGCGATCCTAGTCATGTTGAATCCATTGACGAATTGGGGTTACAAGACCGAACGCTCGAACGAGTATTGCCTCGGTATGCGCGATCGTCGCTGCTTGCTGCCCGTGGGCAAGGTCATGGGCGGCTCGAGCTCGGTCAATTTCATGCTCGCAACCAGAGGTACACCGCTGCGTCCTATTCTCTAATTGGCTTGCTCGGGGTAGCGAGCACGAAATTGATCGAGCTCGAGCTAATTACGATTGCACGCAGGTAACGAGAACAACTACAACAAGTGGGCTCGATTGAGCGGCGACGAGACTTGGTCCTACGACGAGGTTCTGCCGTACTTCAAGAAATTGGAAAACTTCGGCGTCGATTCGGCCGATTACGACGACGAGTATCACGGATTCGACGGGCCGATCAAGATAGTCAATCCGGCCTTCCGCAGCCGAATGGCCGACGCGTTCGTGGAGGCGGGCAGCGAGCTGGGCCTGCCGCCGAGGGACTACAACGGCCCCGTCCAGCAGGGCATGCACTACACGCAAACGAACGAGGACAACGGCGAGCGAGTCTCGACGAATCGGGCCTACCTGATACCGGCCAAGGGCCGCGCCAATCTCCACGTGAGCATGAACAGCCACGCGTGCAAGGTGCTCATCGATCCCGAGTCCAAGCTGGCCCAGGGCCTCGAGTTCAGCAAGCGCAGCCTGCTCGGATTCAGAAGGCGCATCAGGGTGAAGGCGCGCAAAGAGGTCATCCTCAGCGCCGGGGCTCTCGGCACGCCCAAGATCCTGATGCTGTCGGGGGTGGGGCCCGCGGAGCATCTGCGCGAGCACGGCCTACCGCTGCTGCGCGACGCTCCCGTCGGCAAGAATCTCATCGATCACGTGACCTTCGCCGGCATGACGCTCTTGGTGGACGAGGGCGCGGGCCTGTCGGCGAGCGACTTCTTCAACTCGTCGAATCACCAGGCGGCCGACTACTTCAACGCGCGCAGGACCGGCCCGTTCACCGTCGACTCCGGTATCGAGAACATGGGCTTCGTCGATATCGACCAGCCAACGAGCACCGACACCGAGCCCGACGTCGAGATATCCTTTGGCGGCTTGCAGCTCGGCTACGCCTACTTTTTCCATCTGCCCTTCAGGATAACGCAGGAGCACTGGAACGACTACTTCTCCCATAACCGAGGCAAACAGGGATGCTTGATTTGGCCGACTCTGCTGCAGCCCAAGAGCCGCGGAGAGATATTACTGAGCAGCAAAGATCCCTTCGATCCTCCCAAGATTTTGCCCAACTACATGTCTCACGCGGACGACCGTCGACGTTTGATCAAAGCCGTCAGGCTGTCTCAAGCCCTGGCCAAGACCGAGTCCATGAAAAATTACGGCTCCGAGTTGTACGACAGACCAGTGCCGGGTTGCGAGCACCATCGATGGGACTCGGACGGCTATTGGGAATGCGCCATCAGAACCTACACCATCAGCTACTGGCATTTCGGTGGCACCTGTAAAATGGGAAAGGACGATGATCCTGAGGCAGTGGTTACTTCAAAATTGCTGGTAACTAAACTATAACGCTATTTCACTTTGGCTTAGCTTTCATTTTCATCGAGTCATGATTTACGCTTCGATACATTGCAACAGGTCAAAGGCATACGTAATTTGCGAGTTGTGGATGGATCTATCATGCCAACTGTACCCAGTGCTCACACTAATTTACCTATTCTCATGATAGCCGAGAAAATGGCCGACGTCATTAAAAAGGACTGGAACTTGGATTGAACGAGTAAATTTTATTATTAATATAACAGTGTCTAACTAAAACTAAACTTCGATTGATTACTCGAACCAACTGTCAAATTTAATCTACTCCAACTTCCTATACACAATTACTCACGTATGTAATTTTTTAGACATTTTTTTACGCTATCGAAATAAACTTTTATCAATCACTGATGTCGAAAAAAAAGGAAAAAATTTCTGTGAAATATCTAGAAAATTTTTAGAATAAAATACTTGTAAATTGTATTTGACTCCGTAAGTAATCAACGACATGATAATATTACGCCTCATAAGTTGTAATTGTAGCAATTTTCACGTCATTTTCGAGTTTATTTTTTATCGCTCTGAATAGATAGAGCTGCACAGTGTTGCATGGTAGTTTATACATTGCCAAGTTGAAACTATGTATCTTAACACAATGAATAAGTTTATTTTTTTAATTTTAATAATTGGCTCGTTAACGAGAAAATCTGAGTGTGGCACCCTCGACAGTATAAAAAAGATAGCATCACTATTTGTCGATATTGCCCGATTCAGCAAAGATTACGTCAATTTCCAATCGGAGCAAGTATCGGACTCGACTCCTCGGGAGAATCAAAAGTACGATTTCGTGATCGTCGGAGCCGGCAGTGCGGGTAGCGTACTTGCGTCGAGACTCACGGAAAACCCCAACGTCACGGTCCTGCTTATCGAGGCTGGTGGCTACGAAAATTATTTGCACGACGTGCCTCTGCTGGCCTTGGGAGCTGGCTTCTTTCCCTTCTCGCACTGGGGATACCAGACCGAACGATCCGACGATTATTGCACTTCCAATGTCAATCACCATTGCAAACTGCCCATGGGGAAAGGTCTCGGAGGAAGTAGCGCCGTCAATCTTATGATTGCTACTAGAGGTGTTTATTTTTATTCATTTTCTCACGATTGAAATTATAATTTTTCTTTGCTTTTTCTTTTCGAATGTGATCAGGCCATCGAGAAAATTACAACGAGTGGGCCAAGATTACAAACGACTCTATTTGGTCGTACAATAACATGTTACCGTACTTCAAAAAAATGGAACGTTTCAATGCACCTCTGGTGCCCAACATTGATTCAAATCTACACGGTTTTGAGGGTCCCGTTGACATCGTTAATTACGATTTTAGCTCAATCCTCATGAAAACCTTCGTCGAGGCGGGAGTGGAGCTGGGACTGCCTCCCGTCGATTTCAATGGTCGCAGTCCGAATGGCTTCAGTTACATGCAAACGAATCACAGAAATGGCAAAAGGCTTACTTCAAACAGTGCTTATCTGAACCCGGCAAAGGATAGAAAAAATCTCTTCGTCACTTTGCACAGTCGCGTTAACAAAGTGCTCATCGATCCAAATACCAAAACTGCCTATGGGGTTGAATTCGAGAAGAGTAGTTCGTTATTTTCAGCTAAGACGATCACGGCAATGGCTACGAAAGAGGTAATACTGAGCGCTGGTCCTCTGGGATCTCCGAAAATTCTCATGCTATCGGGTATAGGGCCGGCCGAGCATTTGCAAGAGCTTAATATCGATCTTATCCAAAATGCTCCGGTGGGAAAAAATCTCATGGACCACGCTGGCTACATATCGATGCGTTATAAAGTCGATCAAGATATTGGTTTTGGCCTCCAAGAGATTTTCAATTTATCCAACAACTATCTGTTGGGTTACTTGGAAAATGGAACTGGCCCAATCAGTTCCAACAGCTTGTGCGAGGGTATAGCATTTCTGAACATCGATAATCCCCACGATGAAGATTCTGTACCTGATGTTGAAATTTTGTTAGCAATACTTAGCAAGAAAGAATTTTATTTCTTACCGATTCTCATTCAGCCAAAGAGCCGAGGTCAGGTTTTGCTCAAAAGTTCTAATCCCAAGGATGATCCCGTTGTAGTCCCGAATTATTTTTCTGAAAAAGATGACGTTAGAGTCGCTGTGAAAGCTGCTAATATGGTGTTGAAAGTAATGAAAACAAATGCTTTTAAAAAGTACAATCCAACATTGCACGCACCAACTGGTGCAAGATGCAATAAAATCGAAAGGTTTTCGAATGACTTTTGGGAATGCGCTTACAGAACGAGAACAATCAGTTTTTGGCATCACTCGGGCACTTGCAGTATGGGCAGCGTTGTTGATTCAAAACTCAAAGTCGGTACAATTCGTAATGTGCTTTACATTTTTTATCTTGGAATTAAAAACACACGGCATAAGTTGATTTTTTTACAGGTAAAAGGCGTGAGAAAACTACGTGTTATTGATGCTTCTGTGATGCCAAAAATCCCTTATGCTCATACAAATATTCCTACTATGGCTATAGCCGAAGCAGCAGCTGATTTCATTAAAAAAACGTATAATACATTTTAACCAAGTGTGCGTTGAAAATAATAATTTGGGCTCAGCTAATGGACTTTTTATTAAAAACACTTTTTTGTTATTTCAGAAGTATTATTTTTTTCATGGCAAACAATCTTTGTATGAATATAAGTAATACTTATATAATTTTTTTTTTCTTAATCTTTAGACAGAGTATCTTTAGACATTGTTTCACTAAAGTTGTACCTATATATGAATGTGTAAAATTAATTGTAATTTATTTTCATCACGTACTTTCTACAAATAAACAAATAATCTCACAAGCATACAGCTACAAATTAATATAATAATTCTATAAAAATGAATGTAAAAGTGGACCCTCATTTTCTTTGGTTATAAGTTACAGTTTCAAACATTCAGCATTATAAAATACATACGGTCAAACATCTTAACTCTTACACATTGTGCGTAAAAAATGTCATCATCATTATTCCTAAAAAATAAAATACTTACATAACTAGTATCGTTAATTACACAATGTCTGACAAAATTGATTCATTAATTCACGATTTATTTTACGACCATTAATATTTTAATAATAATCGTTCTTCTCACTCAATTATTTATCACTATTGAAGTTAAGTCAGATGATAGCACAATGGCATAATTCGTAGGAGTTAAAAAATAGTATTTTTCTCTTTTTCTCCTCTTTTGTTGTAAAAAAACAATACAGAAGACGAGATGCAATTATTGTACGTCGATGTATTGACCTGTAACGTTGGCTATTTGATGATATCTGCGTCTTCCTGCAAAGTCTTCATTCTCTTCATTTAACTGGGCTTGACTGGTTGTAACTCCTGGATGCACAGGAGTTACAACAATTTGCTCATAGTCATAAACATTTTTACTAAAACATAAATCATATTTTAAAAATATTCAACAGTTGTATTTGAATAAAACAGTAAAAATTAACCTACCCCATCATTCTCATAACAGCAAGTTTAAGCCACTTAAAAAATTTAAATTCGGCGGCTATACCAGGTTTTACGGCTGGATTAGCATGACCAATATAGCTCCAAACAAGGAAACAAATAATAATATTAGCTAGTGCATAATACCAATGCACTAAAAACATTATCAGTAATTTGACCATGGCCTAAAAGATTTTGAAATATTATTAATAGGATACTAATTTATATTAGTTAAAAAATTAATTATAACTAACTCCAAGTAGAGAAGCCCATCTATTGCAAAATGGACTATACCAGTTTCCTAACTTTCCATGAATATGTACTTTTTTTGGAGTATCACTAGCTACACTGTTATTTTCGTCAATGCTTGGGGAAGAGTCTCCAAAACCATTACTGTCTGTACTTGAATTACGCTGAAAAATATTTTAATATTTATTTTTTTCATCTAATAATGACTAAAAATTTAAAATAGTTAGTTACAATAAGGTTCTTGTGACTCGTTCTTTCAGGAAATAAAGTGTCAAGATCATTTTGAACATTCACAACTACATGTCTATCTGATGAACCATAACTTCTGTCTGCTGATTCAGATTGAGCAGAGAATCTTTGTTCCCTTGAATGTCTTATGTCAAATGTTTGTGCAAGTGCAAAGTATGCATAATCCATACATGCATATGTCAATAAAAATGGCATAGTTACTATTGGTGCAAGCGTATTAATTTCTCCAGCCATGATAAATGAAAGTGTAACAGTAGCAACTACTATCATTGCATAAATTGGAACTTTATTAGGACCTCTCTGAAATTGATTTTATTAAAAGAAAAATTATTTTCATGATTCAACAAATGAATTTTCTTTTCAATAAAAGTTATGACATACTCCTCTCTGTAAGCAGCTTATTCCTGGTATAACATTTTGACCTGCAATTGATTGTAAAACGCGAGGTGTCCCATACATGGCCCCTAAGCAGCTACTAAATGATGAAACATAAAGCCCAGCAAGCAAAAGAACAGAAATAGCAGATACTGTTGATGCAATCATGTAATTGGATTGTAATGTGAGTCTTGTACAGGTTGCAGCAAGAAATAAGGAAAAGCACAAGTATAGTACTGTACTGTAAGAAGTAAAAATTAATCATTTGGTTGCTATTTAAGTAAACTTGATTTTTCAGGCTTGTTAAATCATAAATTGTTTTTATAAATTACCTGACACCAAGAGCAGCTAAGGTACCATTTGGAATATTTTTAGATGGATGTTTCAAGTCACCGCTCATATTTATACCTGCTAATACACCAGTGACTGTAGGAAAGAAAACTCCAAAAACAGTGAACCAATTTACACCTTCTTGAAACTCAGCTAAAGTATTATTTCTCAAAATTTCAGTTGACCAACCATTGAATCCAGCCTCTAATAAAAAAAATTTACACGATTATTAACTTTTTATTAAAAAGAATAATCATAATAATGAATACCTGGATTTACATGAGTGAAGCTACCGATTATAAAATCAAAACCAGCCATCAATAAAATAAGCAAAAGCATAAATTGTAATTTTATAACCCATTTCACACCAGCTACATTGATTATTGATAAAAGTATAACTGCTCCACAAGCAAAACCCCTTTGAGCCCATGGAGTTTGAAGACCAACTAGTCCAGCCATTGATTCACCAAAACCTAATACATTTAAGGCGCATCCCACTGCCTGTAATTGAAATAAAAAGTTATATTTCTTATAGCTAGTAAATATTATACAGCAAAAAAAATTCAACCTGTCCAAAACAGTACAATAAACCAATAGAACCTCCTAATCTTGAACCTAATACATGTGATAGCAAAAAATACACTCCACCACTTTCAACTCGACATCGCTCACAAATTCCTACTGCTGAAAGGACTGATACTAATGCAACACATACTGAAACAAATAATTAAAAAAATTATTCGAAAATTAGTGAGATATAATAAAACAAAAATAATTGCATTGTAACTACCAGAAAAAAGTATTATTACAACAGCATTCAATGCACCAGCTTGACCAACTATCCAACCAGATCTCAGAAATACAATGACTCCAAAAATGTTTATAAGACAGGATGTAAATACTCCATCCCAAGTTCCAAACAAAACTGGTTGAGATATAAAAAAATTTGACTTCCACCACGGATCAGCATTCTGAAATTTAATTTATTTCAAAAATGTCAAATGATTGTAATATCTTATTAATATAACTTACAAATTCTTGAGCAAAGAGTTCATTTTGACCAGTTTGATACATTTCAGAGCTCAGTTGATCATGATTTCTGTTTTCTGATTGTGGTGATCTGCAGTTTTGAGACTGACCCAATCCATATCGACACCAATCGACATCTTTATCATTGGCATCAGGAGTGTCATTTTGCCTTTCATAGGAGCTCATTTTAAAAATTTTTAATGTTGCAAGGAACTCTAATTCAATTCACTTTTTATTTAACCTTTTCATCTTTCGATTATTTTGTAAAAGTAATAACAATTTCTAAAATACTGGTTGGTTCCTGAAAATGTGTTTTTCTTTTATAAAAAAACATGTTGCAGATTGATGATTTAAGAAAAATACTAAGGACTCATAATTAATTTACAAAATGATGTAAGACAGTCAAAGCTGTTGCATGCGTGGAACTCACCTGACACTTGACAGATTTTTGTATTCTATTTATTGTGGACGCAGATTTATCAATCTTAAAAATACTCGTTTCTCTTAAGATTATACGACGTAAGCTATTATAGGTATTTTCAACGATATCGCGTCATTTTTTCTTATATTAACGAGATAACGGTGTTTCCCGCACGCGCTTTCTCTTTTTTGCAACAGTTGTACATATACATACATATATATAATAGGTATATAATACACACATATATATAGGTATACGAAAATGAAGTTATCGATTGAGCTTGAATGCTGCAGATTGCCCAATAAACCTATTATGTGTTATATATAAAATAAAATTATATGTACACATATCAATATGAAAGTTGTAATTTAAATAATGTATATAGCAATACGTAAATAGATAAAAACCTACTTATCAGCTATCATTTTTCTAATAATTCAATTTCTAGACTTATGTTGATATAAACAAATAAATTTATGAATTATAGGTAAATTGTTAAAAAAAGGTTTAATTTCTTTTCAAAAATATAGGCATCTTAGGATTTAATTTTAAGAAATAATTAATAGCTTTGATCAATATGAATTTATGTTCAATGCAATACGTCTTCTTGTGTTATCCACTTAATGGCTAAGTAAGTTAAGTCATCGCTTGACAAGCTCGATGCTCCACGGGGACGGAGGTTCAAATACTCTTAAAACTTCGGATATTTTTCTTAACGTACGGGAATTGGCCTGCATCGAAGCTATGTTAATTCTACCTCCAATTAATGTAGTCAAAATGTGGCCTAAATTAAAACTATTCTCTCATAAGGTCACTGATTAAATTAATTATATATTTCTTCAGTATCACCCAGAGAGAAGACATTAACTCTCAATAGGTTTTTAAAAAATATTTTTTGATAAAATTTCAAAAATTTTCTGACTGATTTTGACATTAGATTAAGCAAAATATTTTTTTTTACCCAAAATAATAATTTTCTTGCTAAAATACTTCTTAAAAAAAACTTTCACTGAAATGCAGTCATTTTTGTGAATCATTTTTGTACATTACACTGAGCATGAACATTTTTCTTTCATTTGCATTTACTAAAAATTCAAGTTTTAAAAAAATGCATTTTACCTATTGTAACTAAAGTGATTAAAGTACTTACACTCGTACAATTTTTTGTATTATTCGTTTTTTATTTTCGAAGGTAACTTATTTTACAACTACCTCACCTCAGGTTACAACTGGAGCCATTAATAATTTGAATATGTGCACACCAGCTGAGAGCTATCGCTTCAATGTTTGGCTCTGAATATGTGAAGTTTTGTGGAAAACATGAAATTTAAAAATATGCAATGAAAGGGTAAAAAGAAATCTTTGATGTAATATTCTTTTTATTGAAATTTTCCTTTAAAATGCTTCAACAAATTTTGATTACTTACCAATAATATCGTAATTAAAAAATGTTGCCGCTCACTAGCTTCCATTGATTTTTATGTATTGTTTATAATTATCAAAATCTTGAACGAAATGATTGAATCAGTAACTGTAATGAATTATACTAATAATGCAATTTTAATACAGTTTTTATTAACGAATGAAGTATTTTTTATTCATTAGTCTTAACTTTATGGCAGAAGGCATATTGAATAAACTTTTGTTATAAATTTGATCTTGCATATATTTAAACTACATCAAATATTTAAATAATTATGCTCTAATAATTAATGCTCATAAAGAATACGATCCATGTCTTGATGAATGTTTTTATATACAGAGTTTATGTTTAACATGAAAAATTTGTTGTGCACAACAAATAAATTTTTTTATGAAATAAAATTCCTTATTAAAAATACCGAAATGTATGCAGTTTCAAAATGACGATTTACAGATCAATGCAAAATTTAGATGCAAACGTTTTTTAATGATGATACTGATTTTTCTCATAAATGATATTACATTATGAAAATTATGAAATTGAAATTTATACTTGAAAATGCTACACTGTATTTTTACTATAATTGTTCCATGAAAAACACACATAAATTATAATATTGCATATATTAGAACTTATTAAAAAATAAGTTCAACTTATTATTGATAAAATAATTAAAATATACAATTAATTTCTAATCCTGAATAAAATATTAGAAAGCATGATATTTAAGATAGCCTACGTTCCTCGTCTCCACTTTTCACCATTGGTATATTTTGTCATTTCTTTTCCACTAACACCACAGGTACCTATTCCTACTCGTCCATTTATATTTTCTGGTGTAGCAAATATACTTTTTTTGACGACACCTTTTTTTGACGCTTTGGTAGAAAATGCAAGCCATTTATTTTTCTCTTGTTCTCGTTCTTCCTCAATTTCTTTGAATCGTTGTAATTTTTTTTGTTTTTTCTTTTTCAAATATTCTTTTTGCTTTAAAGGATCCATACTCGCAAGAGCTGAATTTTGAAGTTTCCTGAAGAGTAAAAATATAAACTAAGTAAAATGGGCTTCACTATATTAGAATTAGTTTTTAAAATTAAAAAATGGTATTTACAAAAAGTAACGTATATATAATTTTATTAATAATAGGAAAATATCTTACTTCATTCTGATTATTAGTCCCAATGGTAAGCACAAACAGGATCACAAAAAAAGAATTAGTCATTTAAAATTTTAGAATTAATAAAAATAAACGTGCATGTAATTTCAAGCATCACTTACTTTGATTTTTGATCAGCCCAATCCGATGCTGGACGTTTAGCCATTGACTTTAAGCACTTAAGCGAAGTAACATCTTTGTTTTTGTATTCATTGAATGTAACATTTACAGATCCATCTTCACTTATTGCATCTATTGTAGCCTCATAATACTTTCCATCTTCACTCCAAAGAGCCATGCATTGATCACCTACTTTCCATTTAGCAGCTAATTCTGCAAGTAATTTTTTTTCATCTTCATCAGTTTCTGTTTGCTTTTTTTCTTGTTGTTGTGATTTAAGTAAATCTTGATGAAGTTCTATAATTTCTTCAAGATCAATCTTGAGTTTTATTAGTTCTTCATTTCCTGGATCAGTTGTTAAAGCAGCTTCGACCTAATAATCAAACAAAAATTATTCAATTAAGAATTGATATTAAATTTAATTAAGCAAAAATAACATTTTAAAAATTATTTATATATAAACTATTAGATAATTATAATTTTCAGGTAACCCGTCATATGCATAATTCATGATTATCGAATATGAAAACTAATTTTTTCCATCAGAATGAATACTAATAGAATTAGACATTTTTAAATTGATAGTAACAATAAACTTAACCTTACTTTACTCATTTCGTAATAATATTTTGTCTAATACTACTGAAAAACTAACATTTATGTTAAGTTTAGGCAATAGCTTACCTGCTGAAGCTGCAATTTGTGTGTTTGTAGATCACTCATGTTTGAATCAAAGTTTAATTATTTGTGGGGATATAAAATTAAAACTGAGAGTTCGCAGAGAGTTAATGAATTTACAAGTTCTGTACAAATATGTTTACAAGCTCAATACTTTAATTGATACCAGGCCAGTGCAGAAAGGAATTATGGAAGGTTTACTTCAATGGTAGGCTTTTGTGTGTCTACAATCCTACGTCAAAACTTCTATTACATTTAGGTGTAAGTATCGTGTGAGCCTATATGTGTAATAGATTGGTAATAGATGCACACGAACAGTTTACACAGTGTGAAGTGTGAACTGATCAGCGGACGGATAAGTGAGGAACGTGGACCGTAATGGAGTATTGAAATGTCAAAATGAGAGCCTAAGCAGCATCAGACATAACTGTGTAAAATTTAGTCGGAAAAAATAGAGCAATTTTTAGAATAAAATATTTTTCAAATGTACACTTGAGTTTTATTTTTGCTAATGTTCAATTGTTAATACTCTGCAATCTACTATTATATTAATTAGAAAACAATGAATAATTTGATTCCCCGCGTTTTACTAGTTCACATACCACTTTCCCTATGTTCAGTCTATACCCTATAGCCTATTGGTCAGTGGCCCTGTGCGTAACCACTGGCGCCCCCAGTTTGGAAAGATTTCCTATGTTATTTCTTATAGGGAGAATTTTAGTTCGATGGCCGCCACTGGTATATTTGCAAGTAAATACTTTCCATAAGAGCACATGTTAAAATCGATGTCAGCACTGCTATCCCCTCCATCCATCACATGCACACAGCACGCTGCGAATAGCCTATACACAAATATGGTATAGCTAATAGCAACCTTTACTATAAAATCACAGCTAGTTGTGTGTAACAGGTGGTTGTGGAAATACTTGTTTTTTTAATTTTTACCATTTTATAATAAACAAAAAAATTTGTCCGTTCAATCATGGACGAGGATCAATTCATGGAGCTTCCAGATGAAGCTTTGCAAACAACAAAAGCCCGTATTCTCTGCTGTGAATGTGCTACGCCGATTGAGCCGAATCCCACCAACACGTGCGTTGGCTGTTTACGTTCAAGAGTTGATTTAAGCGAAGATATTCCGAAAAGTGCTACTCTTTACTTTTGTCGCAACTGCGAACGTTATTTGGTGCCACCGGGTGAATGGATCAAGGCAGCTTTGGAATCTCGAGAGCTGTTGCAACTTTGCTTGAAGAGATTAAAAAATTTGCAAAAGGTAAAGCTCGTAGACGCCAGCTTTCTCTGGACGGAACCCCACTCCAAAAGAATCAAAGTACAGCTAACAATACACGGTACTATTCTGAACGCGACCTTAGAGCAAGTATTCATTGTTGAGTATGTTGTGGCAAACCAAATGTGCGATGATTGCCACAGAACAGAAGCTAAGGACTTCTGGAATGCATCTGTTCAGGTCAGACAGAAATCCATCAATCGCAAGACTTTTTATTATTTAGAACAGTTGATTTTGAAGCATAAAGCTCATGAAAATGCTGTTTCTATCAAACCTAATGCCGATGGCTTGGATTTCTTTTTTATGAAAGAATCAGCAGCAAGAAAATTAACTGATTTTATCATTTCTGTTTTGCCATGCAAATATCAACACTCAAAAAAATTGATTTCCCATGATTGTCACAGCAATGTTTATAATTACAAATTTACATTTAGTATAGAATTGGTGCCTTTATCAAAAGACAGTGTAATTTGTTTACCAAAGAATTTGACCCATCAATTAGGAGGAATAACTTCTGTATGTGTAGTGCATAAAGTTTCTTGTAGTATTCACCTTATAGATGTGTCATCAGGACAAGTTGCAGATGTAAGTGCCAATGTCTATTGGAGATATCCCTTCAATAGTATATGTAATCCCAAACAGTTAAAAGAATACACAGTTATGGATATTGAACCAATATGTGAAAAAGAAATTAAAAAATTTCCTGGACAAGGACATATTTCCAAGAAACATGTTATTGCTGATGCATGGGTAGTAAAAACTGAAGATGTAGGATTGACACAAAATCTTATTCATACAAGAACTCATTTAGGTGGAATACTCAAGCTCGGAGACTTAGTTCTTGGCTATGCTTTGGGAGAAATGAATGTAAATGATCCGAACTTTGAAAAGCTCAATCAAGATACTGTACCAAATGTTATTCTTGTAAAGAAATTCTATGGTCACAATAAATCTGCTAGGCGAAGAGCTAGACAGTGGAAGTTAAAGCATATTGCAGATGACATGGATATTGGTTCTGAAAATAATGACTATAATGAATTTTTGGATGAGCTTGAGGAAGATCCTGAAATGCGATCAAATATTAATATTTATAAAGATAAAAATAAAATTATACCAGTTGATACAAGCTGTATTGATCCATGTATGCCACAGATTACCCTTGAAGAAATGCTTGATGATTTAGTCATTAAAGATGTTGATATGACAGAGGATTAAATAAAAGTTCTTAGTCAATCCTATAATAATTATTTTTCTTTTTTATCAACAATAACTGATGTTATGAAAATATTATAAAAATAAGATATTTATTACTGTTTGCGAACAAATATTTGAATACATATATGTATTTATATAGATAATTTTGTATGAGTGATCTATTTTGAAAAATAAAATGACTGTTGTACGGAAAAATATCTTTCAGAAGAATTTTGTTTTGAAATTCCTTGATTCTACTTTGATTAATTGGTATTTGACAATTAATGTCTTCCCAATGAACTAAACAATTTTAAAGTCAATTGTATACTATTAATATATTTTCATCACAAACCAAAATTCCAAAAGTCAAATTTCATGAATGTCAACAAAAAACAAACTGACAGTAAAAGTAAACATTTATTGGGTTCAAAATCTAGAATGGTCTCCTTGAGATCTTTCAAATTCTAAAAATTTCTATTCGTTTATGTATAATAATATTTTAATTTGTGCATTTATTTATTTCTCTCTTTACAGGATGCGGCAACAATAAACATAAATCATGTGCATGCGTAACAGTGCATCAATCTCATAGAGTATAAGATTTTGATCTTTAATTTGTATAGTGATGCTTCATATATATATTTATCATATTTCATTAGTCCCATTCTGTTTATTGAGATAGGCCGCAGCAAGTCTTCCATTGAAACTAGTACTATACATATTGAAAATGTAAAATTTTTATTTACTATTCTGTTGATTTATATTATATTTGTTGATAAAGTAAAAAATAAAAATGCTAAAAATCTGAAATATTGGAAAATTTCATGGTTACAGTTCTAAAAATATGTATATTTTTACAATTAATATTTTTTCAAACTATCAAGTGCAAAAATTAAGAGATGATAAAATGTTAAATCTGCCGCTCATATTTTAGTTGGCAGCACCGCATCACATCTAGTGGCAAGTTGGCAACATTGGAAACTCAAGCTTGAAGTGAGTGCGCACGCTTCGGTCCGCTCGGGTCCAAACTCCAAAACACAACGAACTGCAACTTTTAAGGAGCAAGTCGCAATCACAAACAATTCATAACCAAGTATTATTGTCTGTCACCATGTCTGGAGTGGAGAAAAAATCGGATAATAATAAAAAAAGACACAGAAAAAGTAGTTCTTTACGTAAACACAGAAAAAGACATAGAAGTACTTCTAGCGAGACAAATGATATAAGGTATGAAAGAAGTGGATCTATAGGTGAAAAAGAAAGAAGGCATAGAAGAAGTAGCTCCAGTGATAACAGTGAAAAGAGGAATGAAAGAAGTGGATCTACATGTGAAAAGGAAAGAAGGCGTAGAAGAAGTAGTTCTAGTAATACCAGTGAAAAAAGGAATGAAAGAAGTAGGTCCATGGATAGAAATAAAAAAAGGCATGAAAGAAGTACTTCAAGTGATACTAATAAAAAAAAGTATGAAAAAAGTAAGTCCAAAAATGAAAATAAAAAAAGACACGAAAGGAGTAGATCTATCGATAGAAATAAAAAAGAACATAATAGTAGTTCTAGCGATACTAGTACAGAAAAACATGAAAGAAGTGGGTCTGTAGAAAAAACTAAAAAGAGACATAAAAAAAGTGGGTCCAAAGACAAAAACAATAAAAGACATAGAAGAAGTAGCTCCAGTGATTCAAATGATAAAAGGTATGAAAGAAGTGGATCTATGGATAAAAATAAAAAAAGTCATAAAAGACGTGGGTCCATAAGTAGGAATGAAAAAAGATATAAAAGACATGGGTCCACAAGTAGGAATGAAAAGAGGTATAAAAGAAATGGGTCTGCAGATAAAAATGATAAAAAACATAGAAGAAGTATTTCCAGCGATACAAATGATAAAAGATATGAAAGAAGTAGATCAATAGATGAAAATAATCAAAAGCATAAAAGAAATGAGTCCTTAGGTACAAATAATAAAAGATCTGAAGGAAGTAGACCCAGAGATGAAAATGACAAAAGATATGAGAGAAGGGAAACCATAGATAGAAATGAAAGAAGATATAGAAGAAGCACATCTATTGAGGCAAATGAAAAAAGATGTAAAAGAAGTAGATCAAGAGATCATGATGAAAACAGATATACAACAAATAGTTCTGTAGGTAGAAAAGACGGAATGAGCAATGTTAATGAAATAGGCTATGAAAATGTAGGCCCTAAACCGATTAAAAAAGAAGAGCTTTTGACAACAAAAACTGGTGGTGCTTACATACCACCTGCAAAGTTGAGGTTGATGCAAGCAGAATTAAAAGACAAGAGTAGTTCAGCTTATCAACGTATTGCATGGGAAGCTCTTAAAAAGAGTATTCATGGTTTTATAAATAAAGTCAATACATCCAATATTGGCCCTATTACAAGGGATTTATTGAAAGAAAACATCGTTAGAGGCAGAGGTCTATTGGCAAGATCTATAATTCAAGCCCAAGCAGCTTCACCTACATTTACTCCAGTTTATGCTGCATTAGTTGCCGTTATCAATTCAAAGGTACAGTTACTTGTTCAAAATATAAATTTGAATATTTATTTGAATTGAAATGATGAATAAACTAATAAATACTTATTTTTCAGTTCCCTAACATTGGTGAGTTGATTGTGAAACGACTCGCAATTCAATTCAAAAGAGGATTTAAAAGAAATTCAAAAGTCTTATGCATATCTTCAGCAACATTTATTGCCCATTTAGTAAATCAGGGTGTGGCTCATGAGATATTGATACTTGAGATTTTAACTTTGCTGGTGCAAACTCCAACTGATGATTCAATTGAAATAGCTATAGCTATTTTAAAAGAAGTAGGGATGAAGCTTACTCAAGTTTGTCGCAAAGGCATTGAGGCAATATTTGAAATGTTACGTAATATCCTTCATGAAGGACATTTAGATAAAAGGGTACAATATATGATTGAAGTTGTATTCCAAATCCGTAAGGATGGATTTAAAGATCATGAAGCTGTTAATAAAGACCTTGATCTAGTGGAGGAAGAAGATCAAATGACTCATTTAATTGCTCTTGATGAAGCTACAGATAGTCAAGATATACTTAGTAAGTTTATGAACTTTATTAAATTCTAAGAGTTCTTTTTTATATTATCTAATTTTAATACTAATATTTCACTTAAATTTTTAGATGTTTTCAAATTTGATGCTGAGTACCTTACTAATGAAGAAAAGTATAAAGAACTAAGTAAAGATATTTTAAATTCTGATAGCGATGATGACGATGACGATGAAGGAAGTGATGAAGAAGACGATGAAGACGAAGATGAAGAGGATGAGAAAACTGAAAGTGGTGGTCTTATCATTGATAACACTGAAACTAATTTAACTGCACTCAGAAGGACAATATACCTTACTATCCATTCTTCTCTTGATTTTGAAGAATGTGCCCATAAACTGTTGAAAATGCAATTGAAACCTGGGCAAGAAATGGAATTGTGTCACATGTTTCTTGATTGTTGTGCAGAAATGAGAACGTATGAAAAATTTTTTGGACTTCTGGCAGGAGTATGTTATGAGAAATAATTTATTTTATAATACAATTTACTTCGAAATTGTTATTAATATTAAACTCTATTAATTTACAGAGATTTTGTGCTATAAATAGAATATACGTTGGACCATTTGAAGAAATTTTCAGAACTTCATACAACACAATTCATAGGTTGGATACCAACAGATTAAGAAATGTAGCAAAATTTTTTGCTCATTTACTTATGACGGATTCAATTTCTTGGGCTGTTCTATCTGAAATTAAGTTAAATGAAGACGACACCACAAGTTCATCAAGAGTTTTCATAAAAATATTATTCCAAGAGTTGTCTGAATACATGGGACTTCCAAAACTCAATGACAAATTAAAGGACGAGTGAGTAGTGCAATCAATCTATTTACTCAATGACATAACATGGTTAATCCAAGTAATATACAATCATTTTCGGGTTTTTCTTTCAGAGAAATGCAGGAAGCATTTAATGGATTATTCCCAAAAGATGATCCACGCAATACCCGATTTGCGATAAATTTCTTTACATCAATCGGCTTAGGAGGACTGACGTAAGAAAAAAATTATTAAACTTATATTTAAATTAAACAATAGTTCAAACTAAATTTTTTCATGAATTTTGCAGGGACGACTTGAGAGAATTTTTGAAAAATCGTCCAAAAAAAGACGTTCCGCTTGTTAAAAAGGAACCATAATTACACAATTTGTGCTACCACCGAAAAAATGAAAAATTGTGGGCATATATTTTGTTTAGATATTCAGTAACTACAAAAATAGTTGTTTAAATTTTTATGATGGATGTAATATTTTTACCATACCCATAAAATTTGTAAATAAACTGTCTATGATATTTCACTAACAACAATAAAATTTTAATAAATTATTATACACTATGAGGTGACTGTGTTTTCTTGGAAAACGTCGAATATTGATGCTGTACATATAATCTAGAAAATAACATTTTAGTCACGTGTTCGGCTTGTCAATGGTTCATGTTCCATCCATTTCTGTAATAGAGGTAAAAGATGGTCGATCTTGAATAAAAAATAAATTGTTGAATAAATATTACCGATGGAAAATAAATTCCAAGTGCTTTTCTTAAAAAAAACCATAAATATTTTACCTTTTGCAGCAAAAGATGAACTATGAAGTATCTTTCTCTTTGCTGTAGGCCTATTGATAAGATGAATGAAATTCGTTAGAAATGTAATTCTGTAATTTTCCGTCGAAAATGAGTCAATTCCGACTGCTTGTACGCATGATATATCCACATTAGGGATATTCACAGAGGTCAACACAACCGTAGTGTCCGTAGTACAATGGATGGGCCTCGCCCTGGAGGAACCGCCTTTCTTTCTGATCATTCAATTTTTATTAGTTGAAAACAAAGCGATTTAATTATCTTTACAGGAAGTCTTTTTTTAATGCAACATCCGTAATTATTTCAACAATTTTACGTGATTGTCTCCCGACTGGAAACTAACAAGAGCTTTTCAGGTCCGGGTCATGGATTTGCTCCAAAATTTTTTTGCGGTCTCCTGGTACCCAATACTGAAGCTCCCTGTGCTTAGTTTGATCCAATGGGCCTTAGGGCCCATTTTTTAGAAGATTTTCCACATTATAAAAAAATCGTTGTTATTTACTATATCGATATATATAGAAGTACTTGAACGAAAAAATGCAACGATCAAAATTTTTTCAGAATTTTTGGGACCATCTACCACTCTCTTTAAGGAGTCCTAAAATCTATTAAAATAGCGTCAAATTTGGGCCTTTCGAATTAAGTGATAGACGGTCCCAAAAATGCTGAAAAAATTCAAGCAGATTCTTTGAAAAATTTTATAACTTTTGATCGTTGCATTTTTTCTTTTGCTTGTGCTTCTATACCGATATAGAAAATAACAAAGATTTTTTTATAATGTGGAAAATCCTCTAAAAAATGGGCCCTAAGACCCTTTGGATCAAACTAAGCACAGGGAGCTTCAGTATTTATTGGGTATTAGTACTAGGAGGAAAAATTTTGGAGCAAATCCATGACCCGCACCTGAAAAGCTCTCCTTGTAAGTACAGATTACTCAACTGATAATTTGGCCCCGACCTGAGAACACTTTTGGAACCTGAAATGATGCATCATTTTTTTTCAGCCCTGATTTAGATTCCATGATTTCAAAAAACGTAAATAATGAAATTAGTTCAGCATACATACATTAAATGTATTATTTAGTACATTGTGGAGTTGCAAATCCTTTTTGCATAAAAAATCAAGAAAATTCCCTCTCTTTATATTAAAAAAACATTTAACTATTAACGATGTTCAAAACTCCTTATTTTTAATCGTATGTAAAATTTTTGGGCGCAGCGCATTGATTTAAGTTCTTTAAAAGAATTGCTTCCTTACTTATACAGATGTCGCTTTTTATAGTCAACCGTCTCATTCCTATTGACGCCAAAACAAAACTTTTTTGGGTCGTTAGCTGTTTTTATAAGTAAAAACAAGTATATAATGATGAGAGATATCATATATCACATTAATGTGTATGAATGTAAAAAATATTAAAGAAGGGAAGGGATCTTTTTTTTTTCATCAATAGAGCTTCAAGTCACGGCCCTGAGTTATATTTACATGTGCATGAATTCGGTTCATAACATGTCTAAACTTGAAAACATGTAGGTACAGTAGATATATAGGCTGAGAAACATACACTATGTATACATGCTTGTGTAATGTGATGATTGATAAGTGGACGCGTATTGTGTTTGTACACACACTTATGTATTCTGTTGTTTTTCGGCTCGATTGTGCATTAACCTCGTTAGTTGATACTTATTACTGTATACGGTTAATTCGTTATTTTAAAACTTTTCACGAATTTAAGCGGTATTTAATCGTATGGAGCTGTGATACAGTTATTTAACTTGAAAATTTAGTGCACCGAAACCGTGTTCCATCGGGTGTGAAATGTGTTAGCATTATGTGAAGAGAGCTGCAATTTAATTTTTCATTTGTTTTGTAAAAAGTTACCACAATTTGCTCAAAAACAATATGGCACGAGGCAGAAAAAAGAAGTTGCAGCCTAACAATCCGGATTCTTTCGTGGAGTCCTTCGCGGATTCAAAATATCCATTGAGAAACAGGCGTAGCTCAATGAGAGTCAATTTAAGTTATACAACGAACTTGACAGATCCCAATATTGAATTATCAAAGTTAACAGCTGCAGGACAAAGTGAAGCAGTGAAAAGAAAATCAGTGTCACCTGATAAAGACCCTTCTGAGTTAAATAAAAAGCCAAGAAAAAAATTGCGAATTTTACAATCAAATGAAGAGTCAGATGCACCTGCAAACTTTGCTGATATAACTGTCATAAATGCCAGAGAACGTCTCTTGGCAAGGTACAATAAAACTGCTCAAGATCCTGAATGTGTAACTTTAATTGATATGAATGAGAAAGAGCAACAACTTAACAAAACCTGCATGGAATTGAAAAGTGCTATTATTTATAAAACCCAGGCTTATTTTGATAAAAAAACTGAACTAGCCATTAAAACATCAGAAGTACTATCATCTGGAGAAGGATCACCTAAAAAAAAGGTAAAAGAAGATCTTGATAAAAGATCACCCAGTGTTAGAGTTGATTTTGGAAAAAATGATCAAATTATTATGTCAGGTGATGGCAAGAAGAAGAATCCAGTCCAAGTGAGCAGCATGAGGAAGCAATTTGCAGAAGCCCAACAGTTGGACAATCAAGCTTCAACAACTTCTGACGAGGATACTGTTTATAGTCAGAGTATTGCTAGTACTCCTAAGAAATCTAGGTTAGATAACATTCAAGACAGTAGTGAGTCAAAAAATGATGAATCTATGAATATTCCAGTTGTTAGATTATTTGCCAATATTTCATGTCATTCTGATCAGGATGAAAATGATTGTATAGAACCAACTACAAAATCAAAAAAAATAATTTCTGATATACTATCAGATGACAGTGATTCATCTTGCTCTGATAAAGAAGAAAATGAGAATATCATCAGTGAAAATTATATTAGAAAAGATCAATTAAATGATAAGCTAAACGAAATTATGCATAATTCAAAATCTGACTCTAAAATTTTGGTGAATTCTACCTTTTCTACTAGTCCTATATTAAGTCAGGGAATCAAAAAGCCTTGTCTATCTTTAAAACAAAAGATGAATAAAAGTTTGTTAATCAACAAATTGAGGCCTAGTATTGCTGCAGAAAGTTTCATTAAAGGTCTTCCTACAACATGTTCAACATTCATAGACAAACAAGAAAAAGTTCTTGAAACAAAAGAATCAAATGAAAAAAATGAGACAATTTATGTGTCAGATAAAAGTGCTTCAAATAGTAATTGTAAAACAATTATTTTAGATGATAATCAAAACAGTCAAAAAACTATTGATATTGGAAGCATGGAAAATCGTTCATCAAATATGGATATTACTTCAGTAGTATCAAAAATGCCTATTATTCGTAGGTCATTTCAAGATACTATAAGACAATCTTTGAAACTTGATAAAATTCCTTCTTCAATTGATGCAAGTCAGAATAATGATAACTTGAGACAAAAAACTTATACAAATAACAATAAAGTTAATCATCCAGATGACTGCAGTTCAAATACAACGTGTGCTTCACTGAATGTTAATACATCGCTTGATCCAATTAACATGACCAAAGATGTTATTCAGAAAGAAAATAAAAAACCGAATGATAGGCATGTAAAAAATAATTACAAAAACAAGCCCCGTATTGAACCATCATGCAATTTGGTTAACATGCAACAATCATCAGCTCTACAAGTTAATGCTATTGAATCAAAACAAATTACACCCAATAATAGTTGCATTGAAGAAGAACAAACCAAAGTTGAAAATATTTTACCTCTTAATTTAAAAACAAAATATCAAAAAAAATTGGTCAAGCCAAATGATTTATCTAATGAATTGACAACATTTAATTCTAATGAAAATGAACAAAAATCAAACTTACCTGTACGAGCATCTATGCAAGTAAATACTTCTTTAGATTCTATTTGTAAATCTTCAACTCGTCCAAAAGAATTAAACTTTGATAAAATTGTATCCAGCATAAAAAAAACCAGAAAATCTGATGTTAAAGAGAGTATAAAAAACAATAAGCATGTATCAAAAAAATTAGTATGTTGTTCTAGTTCATCACAATCTTCAAATGATGAAAGTAATACTAGTAAAAAACAAAGGAGTAGTAAAAGGAAACTTCTTTCAAAACTTTCAAAATCAAATTCAAATCTTTCACAATCTTCAAATGAAGGAAATAAAACTGATGAAAAAAAAAATCCAAAAAACAGTAAGAACTTGTCAAAGCAATTGATACGTTGTTCAAGTTCATCACAATTTTCAGACGTTGAAAGTTATCATAGTAAAAAACTAAATGATAAAAAAATAAAGCTCTCTGCAAAAATTTCGAAATCATGCTCAAATCTGTTGCAATCTTCAGATGAGGAAAATAAATGTTTAGATGAAAAAAATGACTCTAATTCGAAAACATTGGAATCACAAAAAATGTTATCAAGTACTAGTAATAAACTAGAACATCAAATTAATACAAGAAAATCATTGAGAAAAGGTTCATTTTCTAAAAAAGTACAAAACAATGAAAGCAATTCAGTAGAAGATGAAGATAAATTGATCAAAGAAAAAAATTCTATTTCTACAAATATTATCAACAAAAAAAACCTTAGAAAATCTTTAAAAGCTGAAAGTGCTAATTCAAGTGTTGTTGAAACAACACCATTTCCAGCTAGTCGTTCTTTTCTGTTCAAAACTATGATAAAAAATAACTTAGCAATGACAAAAAGATTCATAGAATCTTCTGAGGATGCAGCTACAACAGAAATTGATTCAGAAAATGAGCATTTGCAAACTATGCCTTTAAAGAAGTAAGATATTTTGAATATTTTTAATTTAAAAACTATATGAATCTTGTAAAATAACAATTTTTTTTTCAGAAAAAGAAGAAGTATTTATGCAAGGGATAAAACACCAAGCCCAAAATTATTAGATACAGTTCTTGTAAATTCATCTGACGAGTCATCCTCCGAATCATCCCCAAATAAACCAAATATTCTTATTGATGAAACTACAGAGGAAGCAAGTATTAAAAATAAATCTACAGCATCAAAAAACATTATTGTTCAATCAAAGAAGAAAGTAGCTAAGCGTAAGTTGTTGAAAGAAAATTCTGATTTAGTTTCATTTAGTCCTGCAGAAGAAGATTTAGAAGATAGAAAAGTAACACCAAAACCACCTACAAGAAGAAGAAACAATTCAAGAAAGAAAATGATTGAAAAAAAAATTAAATTGATAGACAATAAGAAAGTAGAAGATAAAAAGGAAACAAAAAAAATTAAAAATACAAAAACTAATCAAATAGAAAACCAAAACTACACAAGTGTAGAAAGAGATGAGGTCAATGATGTAGAAAATAATCAATACAATGAACCAATGAAATCTAATAAAAAGTATAAGAAAATTAAAAGCAAAAAATTTATTGTTAAGAAGGGTAATATTAAGAACCCTTTAGAAGATTTACTGGAAGAACCTCAATCTTCGACATCAAATGAAAGAAGTTCTTTACGGGAATTTGATTTGAAAAACCTGAAAAGGCAAAATGTAGAGGATACACAGAGACCTAAAAACCATAAAATTATTATAGTAATGACAGGATTGCCAAAAGAGTAAGTTTATTAGTGGTTATTAATATGTTTGAGTTTTTATTTTTATTTTTTTTTCATAAAAACAATTTTTTACAATTAGAAATTTTATTTCAGAGACAAAGATTTGATCAAATCAGTAGTCAAAGCTTTAGGATTAGCAGTTTTAGAATTGAATGTTACTTCTCGCACAACCCATGTAATAAGTTCTGGAGATCGTACAATTAATTTGCTTAAAGGTATTTTAAGGGGATGTTGGCTTTTAAGTTTGGAGTGGGCTCTAAAATCACTCGAAATGGGTAAATGGTTGGACCCAGCACCATATGAAATGTGCCATTTTTCTAAGGCAGTAAAGGTAAAAAATATATTTATAAAATTGAAAATTCAATCGTGCATTTACTCAACTTTTTATTGTGAAATAATAGGAAAACAGACGCGATCGACAACTGTTTGGAAAAGCATATGTACCGGAATTATTTGTGACTTGTGGTTTTATTTATGTAGAAAATGGCACATCACCTCCTACATCAGTTCTTAAAGAATTGATTAAAACTGCTGGAGGTAGAATAACAGAAGATCCGCTTAATGCTAATATTACAATAGGACAAGAAGGTTTAAGAGAAATCTGGGTTTTAGATTCAATTACGACAGGTGATGTTCAACCCCAAGAGCAGTATAAAAGAGTTAAAAGTAATTAATTATTTTTAAAGGGGAATTTTACATAAAATTTCAAATAGTTATGTATAAAAGAGTAAAAGTACAAAATGTGAATTACTGGAAGTACAATTAATTCATTAAATTTAATATATTATTTGAGTAACAAATTCAAAATTTCTCGTGTATTAATGTTTATTAATAATATTTTTTTTTTCATTAAAAAAAACATCATGTGATTTCCGAAATGCGACGCTATAGTTATGATTTAATTTCAAAGTAATTGAAAAATCGATCAATCATTAATATTTTGGTGATGTTACAATTAATTAAAGCTGTAATCATTGAGTAGTTCCAACTATTAAAAATTAGGTATTATTTTTCCAAGTGTTTGTATTATACATTGTAAATAAAATTAATAGTTAATATTGTAACAAAATTTTTGTAAGAGTAACTGTTAATTTCTGTATAGTTTACTCTGTGTGATAAACTGTAAAAACTCGATATTAAAACTCTTAAGAGGAGTATACAAAAAAAAAAACGCACCATTGTGTTAGAAATAAATCATTTATAATTCAAATGTCAATAATGTGATACTTGTAATGTTTGGTACATTCGTTTATCAATAAAAAGTTATGATCTATTATTGGAAAAATGTAATCAAAATCATTCTAAAAATGCCAGACTTATTTTTAGCACCGTTTTATTGTATGCAAAAAAATAATAAGATCCTAATGTTAAGTTGGAAAAACAATGAATTATCAATTAGATTAATGAGTTTTGCCATGATCCTCGTTTATAATTTTTTTTACCTTATTTCTGTAATTTTTTTTTTGTAAATTTCACCACATAAATACGCTTAAAAATGCATGATGAAAATATCTCGAACCTAAGGAAAATTCTTTAGACCCTAACTCTTGACTTAAATGAAATACGAGGTGTGCTATATAATTATCCGATTAAATCGATGTTTAAAGAAGAAGACTACTATTTCAACAGAATGATTTACTGTAAATGATCACATGATACAGCAAAGCCGTTGAGCATCGTCTTTTTAGAAAAGGCCTACACTTTGTATAGATGTATAGTATACAAACGCGTGTGTATGTAATGTATAACAACAATGTGTCATTTCGATGCTTGTCTTGATAGTGTCGAATATCAACTCCCGAAAGCGTTCTTTGAATGCTTTACAAACCGACGAAATTTTTCGGGTTTTAAAAAGTGATTCTTTCCGTGTGTGATTTTAGATACGGGTCAGCGACAATTGAATCATATTTTTAAATGATTGATTCTTATCAGAAATTAATTGTTTCCACACTTGAAAATTCAAAGTATCAAAAATGTTGGTAAAATACCAAAATGGATAATGTATTTTATTGGTCGCAGCAACAAAAATTAATAGAATAGCTCAAATGAAGCTATAATGATAATAAGCATCATGAAATAAAATATCGTATAATAGACTTTTTTTTCTTAATGTTAAATTAAACGGTGAACGGTGATGTATTTGGATAATCGACTACTATTTCAAGTATATTCTGAAATAAGAATATATTTTCTTAAAATAAAGGTCCTCGAAAATTATGTGATTCAGATGGAGGCGCTTTATCAAATAATCAAAAAATTATTCAATTCTGTTCTAGAAAGTTTTTACTTGCTCAAGCAATTAAGAAAATAAACGAAGCAATTTTTAATTTTAAAAATAATTCGAAGGACAGAGTGATTACAACATTGAAATATATTGTATTTGAATCGGAGCTAACCAACTGTACAACGATGTAATTTTAAAATTTCATTGCTCGCTAATGTTCACGAAGTTCCAAATTGTAATTACTCTTTTGGTTGTGAAAAGTGCTATTGTATTTGACTGCTTATCAGACTAAAGTTATTTACAACATTTAAAACTATTTTCCAATTCTAGCTTCCACTTAATGTAAATAAACACATGTGCAGACATTGACATTGTACGAAACGAGTACTATATTCACCAGCTTGGTCTTTTTTAATTTCACTTTAACCAATGATCAAGAGTTAAAGTCTTTTACTGGTAAACAATGAAAAAAATATTTAAAAATAGAATATTGAACAAGATGAATGCTATTTTTATTATTCGACATTTTATTAGGAGATAACATTTTTTTTCCCACTCTAACCTAAAATACGCAACTTTGCCGCTAATTTTAGGCTCTCGTAGGAAAAAATAGTATCTCAAACTGGTGCAGATATGGTTTTTTAACAAAACTCGTTACAGCACTCGCCTTCGGCTCGTGCTATAATCCCTCGTTTTGCTAAAAAACCATATGTGCCCCCGTTGAGAAATATACTATTATCCATAAAGCTACATTTAATTTTTAAGTACTTGATAATTTAAAAAAAAAATTGTTCGACGGGTAGTTAAGTTTTTCGAAATCCATACTGTATACAGTAAACATCGGCAAAAGCTGTGCCGATAAGTATACATCAATTTATTTTCGCTTCTTTTACGTTGTTAGGAAGGGCATGCTGTTTTATTTCCGAACACTATATTTTATTTGGTAACGCATAACGTTTGAAAACAACATCGGAATAGATTTCTACGTAGTATAAATAGTAGACTCCGTGCGAGTTCGAATGTAAAAAAAGAGTGTCCAGTGTCTCCAAAAACGTAAGGCTCCCTTTTCCCTCTTTGCTGTTGAGCAATTTCTATTGGAGCAATATTTGTAATAAGCGCAGTGCCAGCACAACTCGCGAGCGTTCATTACTGGCCGATAGAATCAAGCAAGTGCTCCGAGAAAAGACGAAAAAAGAGTCTGGCACGGCGGTATAGCAGACGGTAGCGCTGCCGCGTCGTATTTCAATTTTCAATGGCTTGATGCCTCGCGCGTCTCGAGACGCGAGTTGCGTCTGCGGTATTCCTCGACCCTCGACTCACATGTGAAGATATACGTACAACGGCTCTGGCATATTGACGAGTGGGGGCTGACGGAAAGTCGAAAGACGATTTGCTTCTCGCAGTTAGTGCGCGTTTAGCCGTCATTGATTTCGCCACTGTGTAGTGTAGAGTGCAACAACGATGATAATGTCGCGTTACGACTAACTTTTGTGTATACATATATATATTATATACTTATATGTATATATATCTTATATATCTTACATTTATCATATATATATACCCATACATACACATGCGATACACGTCAGGTGTATATCGTGCTTCGTGCATTGAAAACGTTTACTACCTATATACATATGTCGAGGCGCAATCGACAATAGTTGTATAGTGAGCAGTAGTCGTTTAGTGCGTGGTGATATATCGTACATATATCAGTAGATCGAAGACATCATCGCAGTGAGCAGAAGCTTTGACTTTTCTTCGTCATCTCGCTGCAGTCACAGAGAGGTGTGATCGAGGCAGTAGAAAACAGTTTTCCTGCCAAAAACGGCGATGTGTCAGGCCGCTGCTGACACATGCAGCTACGGTACCAGTGAAATGTTCTGCGCTCGTCGTCAACATCAATTCATGAAATTAATAATAAAAAGCAACGCCTGACCATCATGGACGCGGACTTATATCCCAAGTGAGTCTTGCGCGAGCTTGCTTCGACGCGGGCCCGTTGAGTTTTTCTTTTTCCTACAACGGTCATGCATTCAATATTATACACATTATAATAAGTTTTACATTCGTCCAGGGCTCGATTGCGATACCACGCATGTTTATAGAGTCGTTTGCTGCTTAGTATTTTTATATGCAATTGCAGTTATTAGAATAGTCACAGCTGCAAAGTATATAGCTACCAGCTACTAGCCTCTCACTTTTTATATTACATGTGCAGCATACTGCATACATTTTCAATGAATTTGAGCGAAAGTCGCTTTACATGTATGCGTGCGTAAACGGTAGTGTCACGTCGTATACGTATACGATTGCTCTGTAATATTATATATATATATATATATATAAAATCAGAGGCAACAATGAGCAATGATACCAAAGCACACACGCATGCACATACACTGTATACACACACGCACATACACACTCACACCCACCCACCCACACACTTACTCACACACACGCATTTAATGTCATACCACGCAACTGTTTTTTGGAGCGTCACGATTTCATTTACTTGACAAAAATTTCGAGCGATTGCGTGTTAAATCATTAAATGTATTCAATGGTTCGTCAAAAATTTCTGTACAGCAGGTGCCGATTACTATTCCATCATGCAGTGGCTACGTACGAGATATGTTACGACACCTAATAGCGCCTACTTGCATCAAAATACTCGTGTATATTTGTATGTCTATAATATAATGTGCATTACAAATGCAAAATATATCATCAAATAGAAAAACGGCGCGCACACATGCAAAGAGGTTTGGTTAATATAAAAAGTTGTCTGTTTTGTTCTCTCCGATCGCACAATCTTCGCATTATCATTTGATCGCGAAAATATCTAATGCGAGCATCTGTCGTTTTATAGGAGTAATGTAATATGTTGCGAGCTACCTCGAGAACCGAAAAAATTCAGAAATCAACGTAACATTATGTGACTTACAAGTCACCACCGCAACCAATTATTTCATACAAGAAAAACTTTCTCGACGCAACGATGCTTTTATTGCATTTTTGCCTGCATAAAACTACTGCATATTTTTTCACTTTTCTCGTTATTATTATTTTCAGGCCTATAGGCTCTTGTTACACAGCATTTGCCTTTATGACTTTTGTATTCGTTTTATACAACTACATCATCGGTAACCATATGTGTATGTGTATATTACATAAACACGAAGAAAAAAACTGTCACAAATAATTTTCTTAGGCTTACAATGTGCGATAACGGACATTTACCTGCTGCACAAAAAACACATCGTATTGTAGGTGTCTATTAACATTTTGCTTTGTAGTTTACACTATAAAATAAGCATTTTTTTGGGCTTCAATTTTGCGTCATTTGCCGTCGTATTCTGCGAAAAAATTTAATCGTGTCATATGTTGAACATAACTATATATTATTAGATGTTTGACTATATATTATTAGATGTTTGACACGTGAGAACGCATACACACATTTGAGGCGTTCTTTTCCTTATTAATATTAGGTCACGATTCAAATAATGTATTGGTAATGATCTATGTTTAGAGCTTCGAGTAGCGATACAATTAGAGTACTTTAATTCTGTCGGACGGAACGCCGGAATTTCCTACGCTTATACACGTTCCATTATTCTCCACTTAGTGTACACTAGACTCAATCTAATTCTGACCGGTCCAACAGAGTAGTGGAACGTGTATGAGTATAGGAAATTCCGGTGTTCCACCGTACAGAATTAGATTGCTGTCATATTTTTGTATATACTGGCACTTCGTTTGAAACAAAAATTGCATTCATATTATTTAGTTGCAGAGGCTAAGTATTTTTCGTTAACACAGATATACTTTATGACCAAGCGAGTAATCCGCATCTGTTTGTTGCTTACTTAATTCGAGAGTAAAATTATATTCGTAAAGCAATAGCGAATTTTTAACTTGTTTGGCATCTTAAATCTTATTTTACTGTTTTCAAAAGATGAATCTCCAGACCGTTACTAAAATATGTTGAATCTTACATTTAATAATTTCTTGTCAATCAATAAAATAATCAATTTTTTTTTTTTTACAGTCCCAGTCAATACACTCCACCATCTATTGACCAGTGTATGATAATTCATAGGAACCGTACATTAATTTTAAATCTTTACAATGGAGTTCCAGACAACTTGCTAATTAACAGTTTGGCTTTTCTTGTGAGTTTTATTTTATCGTATTTTAGTAAGATTTATTATAATTCTATTTTCATCAAATTGTCTTATTTTGTTTTTTTACAACTCACAGCTTCTTGTATTACTATTTGGTTTGCTAAGAAAGAAAGCATGGAACTATGGAAGACTTGCATTATTGCACAAATCAGAAAATCGTTGGATGGAATTATTTTATGGAGAACACGATTCAAGAGATGCCGAAATCCAGTGCATTGAATCAGCCTCTTCAAGTTCCCATCTGTCTCACTCGGATAGGGGATTTTTATCATGGATCGTTACAGCATTTCGGTTACCGTTAGTTAAATTGACATGAATTAAATAAGTATTAAATTTTTTTAGAAACAATAATGTTAGTTACTTTGCCTGTAATTTATACCCATAGAGATGCAGAGCTTTTAAAACGAGCAGGGCCCGATGGTCTGCTATATGTCTCATTTCAAAGACATCTAATTTTGCTGACATTCATGATGACAGTTGTTTCCCTATGCATAATCTTACCAATCAACTTTCATGGTAACATAAGTGGAGATCCTAGTGCCTTCAGTCATACTACACTGTCGAATCTTGACTCTAGATCGCCATGGCTATGGGTGCACACAATAATACTTTTATCATATTTACCTATAGGAGCATTTGTCATGAGGCGGTTTATTAAACAAGTAATAAAAACTTCTTTGATCCCAAGTGATGTTAGAGTTTTTGATAATTATTTAATTTTATGATAGGTAAGAGATATGAAGCCAGGTGGTGAATTAACTGCTAGAACATTACTCATTTCGGAAATACCCAGGCACCAATGCAACGTTGAAGGCTTGACTCAATACTTTAAGTAAGTTTCAATTTTATTGTTTGAATATAATTTTTTATAAATGATCCTTTGTTATTAATATTGAATTCTTATTATAGAGAGGCTTTTCCTACTTTGAGTATAGAGGATGTAACTTTAGCTTATGATATCAGGGAACTTTCTAGTTTAGATGCAGCTAGAGATTGTGCTGAACAGGCCAAGCTATACTGTGAGAATTACAATAGAAGAAAAGGTCCCTTGAAATTGTATCCCAAACCTTGTGGACAGCTCATAGGGTGCTGTTTTAGACAAGTAAGTTCAATTATCCATAAAAAAATTGTAAATTTTCAATCATTTAAACCAAATACAATAAAAAACATTTATATTTAAAATATTTTATTGTGTTTAGAAGCAAGTAGATGCACTCGAATTTTATACAGCTGAGGAAGCACGTTTGACGGCACTCGTAGAAGTGGAACGCAAGACTGCTCTGAGTCGTCCAATCGGTGTGGCTTTTGTAACTCTTGGTGAGTTTTAATGATTAAATTCAAAATTATTTTTGGCATTTCCATGCACTATTAATTTATCAAAACTTTTGATTTAAATAGGTACACCTGGTGCTGCAAGAACCATGCGACGAGCATTACGTTCGTCACCATCGATTAGATGGCTCGTAGACTATGCGCCCTCTCCAGCTGATATATTCTGGGAAAACTTGAGTATACCAAGACCTTGTTGGTATTTAAATGCTATACTGATAAATGCAGTTCTTGGACTTATCCTTTTCTTCTTGACTACACCAGCTGTAAGTATATTCTGTAAGTAGTGAATCTCTTATTCATAATAATTTAGTACATTATTACTTTTTCCTTACATTTAGGTCGCTGTCACAGCATTGAATAACCTGTCAACAACAGGAGAAATAAAAAAATTAAGTCCTCTGTTGTCAGCATTTGTACCAACTGTTCTCCTCGTGACTGTAGCCGCTTTGATGCCGGCTATAGTCGGAAGAAGCGAATCATTAGTCAGACACTGGACACGAAGTGGTTTAAATCGTACTCTTATGCGAAAAACTTTGTTACTACTTTTACTCATGGTCCTAATCCTACCTAGTCTAGGATTAACGAGTGCACAAGCGTTCGTCGAATGGACCATCAATGCTAATAACAACACAACTCCTTGGCAGTGTGTTTTTCTACCAGACCAGGTATATTAAAATAACAGTTAATACTTTTGAAAAGCCTTAAGATATGTTTCTCATAATATTTTTTTTATTACAGGGTGCACTGTTTGTAAATTATGTGATAACTGCTGCTTTACTTGGCACTGGAATGGAATTAATGAGATTTTCAGAATTAGCACTTTACACGTTCAGACTGTGCATAGCTAGAAGTCGAGCGGAACGTATTTACGTTAGAAAAGCAGTCTTGTGGGAGTTTCCATTGGGTGCCCATTATGCCTGGCTTCTTCTTGTATTTACCATGACAACAGTTTACAGTCTTGCCTGCCCACTAATCACACCATTTGGATTGCTTTATATGCTTATTAAACATGTGGTAAGATTCAGCACAAACGAATGATTTACTAACTATTCAATTTAAAAAAATGATATTATAATAATTGAGCGACTCAGCATTCGAGAAGCCTTTTTACTTTTATTGAATCTTATCTTGGTTTTATTCTTTTTAATAACTCAATAAATATCTATTTTGATTCATTTTCTTTTTAACAATTAATTAATAAAATAGGAAAAGTGAGACAAGTATAATTTTCGAATATTATGTATGTTATTATTTCCACATTCGGGTATGGAATTTTTCAAACAAATTTTTGTAAAATTGTATTTTCTTGATCTAGATGTTTTTGTTTTAATTCATTCATTTTAAAAACTTTAAAGGTGGACAGACACAATTTATGCTTTGCATATGGCCCAGCTGTTGGAGGAGGTCAATTAGCAGGTTCAGCAGCTAGCGCTGCTGGTGCAGCTCCTGTTTTAGCTCAAGCAGCTTTCCTTGCTTTAGGTCTTGTACGAACAGGTTTATCTCCATTAGCTGCTGTGCAGCTTAGTGGCCTTGCTATTAGTATACTTGGACTTGTAACTGGAGCTACTTTACCAGCCTCCAAACCTAAAGTTAGTGAATTATTTTCTTCATATCTTTACTTTTATACATAAAAAACGTTTATAATAGTAATTGCATATCATATGTTTTTAGAATCAATCATCTAAGCGAGATTTATCTGCCGGACAGCATTTCGTCGCACCTGTATTGAGAAAACGATTAATTGTCGATAGTCCTGATGAAAATATATCGAATTCTACATCTGTACAAAGCTCACCGAGCACAAGAGTTTATACAACCAATTCTTCTAATCAAGGAAGCCCAAGATTATATCAGGACTACGGTCGTGAGCCGACCAATGTATGATCTGATTACTTTCATCATAGTTAAACTAAATACTCTTTACAATGATTTATTTTTATGCTAATAGAAAATTATTAATTATATCGTCGGTTGTATCAATCGGTATTTGAAAAAGCACGAGTTTTATATATAAAATTTATGTAAGTTAAAAAAATTTTTATTTACATCACGTTATAAAGATCTATCTAGGAATAAGCTTTGATTTAAAATAGCTGAAATTCGATTATTAGTATATTGCTGTCCTAGGCCACTATGCTATTTTTTATCAAAGCGGGCGGAAAAATCTTAAAATCGACTTCTTGTACTCCTTGACTAACAGTACACAACAGAGGTGGGACACGGTTCATTTTTTACGATTGTCAAATTTTCAGTTCAAGCATAGCTAGATTTTGCATAGTGTGCGGAAAGTCAATTTTAAGATTCTCGCACATTGTGACAAACAGTACAATATGAAACTAGGGCTGTTGACAATCTCACACTTGTACAAAATGGACCTACCACCTTAGCTACGTAATGTACTATTTTTCATACCCTGTGTCTCGAACATGGCATTTTCCGATTTGTACAGCGACTGGCAACTGCTACTTTCTGGTCACTGGCGTGAAAAATACTTAAATGAACGAAAATTTGCTAAACACATCTATAGGTCAAAAACAAATTTTCTATAATTTAATTTTATTCTTTCATTTTGAAATAACGATTAAGTTTTTTAAAGCAAAATAACAAGAAGAATATCATAGTTAAAATATGTAAAGCAAATTAAGCTTCAATAGCAATATAAATTTATATACATACATTTCTACTACTGTACAGATATTTTAATAGAATTTTTGTTTAACGTTGATTTCCGTGTCGTATCATTGTGGAGTTAGCTTTTAACTTTTACAATATCCTCAAACTCGTTGATTACGATTAATTGTATATTTAGATTTGTAATATATATTATATATTTATGAGAGTGATAATAATATTTATGAGTTCAAACAGAAAATTACATTGTTGCTGTTTGCAATCTATGTGAAAATATAAATATCAAATGAATTATTGTAATTGATGAATTAAATTATTTCAAGTATGCGACCAAATTTTTAACAATGACCTATTCTTTTAGAGTGTGCAAAGGTATCATGAATTTTATTTTAATAAAATATTAATGAGTTTCATTTGAAGTATGTACAATGAATTAAGTAGATAAGAGTATTACTAAGATACTTAACTCAAAGTACACAAATAAATATCAATTTTATTTATTGTAACTCTAAGTTTTTTTTATTTTTTAGCTATTATTTTACACTTATGCCTATTGGATTTAATAGAAATAAAAGTATGACTGTAACAGTTTCCAGTGAAAATAAGAAACATGAACAATTAATAAAATTTTTATGCATGAACTAAACAATTTTCAATGATGAAATAATTATAAGATATATATGTATATTTGAGTTAAAGTGATTATTAAAAGACTTTTGTCGTGCATTAAAAGAAATAAAAATTATAACCTATATTACATATCAATGATTGTATTTCATTTACACTATACGCATAACATGGGTTTTTTCACCTTTGTAAAATATTTCTCAATATAATTCAAATAAAACCATTAAGCAATTAAACATGATTATTTTAACAGACTATTTGTACACAAAATAAGCTACATATAAAATGTACAAATTGTATTATACATTATTTTTTTTAATACACTCAGCAACAAAATTATCGTAACAAAAAATTTCATCAAAATTTTGTCGATTTTCAAATGCTTCTATCTTGGGCTATATTTATTGTATCGACACGGTCCTTTTTTTTGATTTCTTGGAAATTTTGTCCCCTTTAAATCCATATTATTTACTATGATAAGATTCGAGTCAATGTCGAGTTACCAGTAGTGTTTGAGCGCAACACTAAAAATTACTGGAAAAAATTGATTGTTTAAACGTGTCCATGGACTACAGTAATTTTTTTATTGAAATCTAACATACACCACCGCAAAGTACTCTTTTCAACGAGTAATTTAAAAAAAAAAATAGAACTCTGTACGACTATTTTTGCGCCCTGTAGATTGTTTTGAAGGTATCATTTAAAGTACGCAAAATGTCCAAGAATCGAGTCGATTTCAGCTCGAGGGATTTTATGTACTTCAAATGGTACCTTCAAATCGACCTACAGGGCGTTAAAAAAATCTTAGAGAGCTCTGTTTTTTTTTAAATTACTCGTTGAAAAGAGTACTTTGTGATGGTGTATGTTAGATTTCAATAAAAAAAGTACTGTAGTCCATGAACACGTTTAAACAATCGATTTTTTTTATTACCTTTTAGTGTTGCGCTCAAACACTACTGGTAACTCGACATTGACTCGAATCTTATCATAGTAAATAATATGGATTTGAAGAGGACAAAATTTCCAAGAAATCAAAAAAAGTCGTGTCGATACGATAAACATAGCCTAAGATAGAAGCATTTGAAAATGGACAAAATTTCGATGAAATTTTTTGTTGCGATAATTTTGTTGCCGAGTGTAGTTACACTTCTCATGAGAAAAAAAATTGTTGATGTAGAATAATGAAAATTCTTAAAAATTATCATTTTAAAAAGATTTATATACATGTGTATTTCATTACTGTAGCAATATGTAATTTACATTATTGCGTTCACTTTTCAGCTTAAAAATAGCTTAGTGCTAAAACTATGTTCATATCTCCATTTAATAGTTTCGTCACTTAAATTAATTGTTTAAATAGAAAATGAAAAATTTTAAATCAGTCCTTAGATTACTTATAATTCAGTCCTTAAATTTAAATAACAGTCTGTATATATACATTACAAGGCAAAACCATCTTTACAGTCAGATGTTGGTCTGCCATTAAAAATCGGTAATATTTTTATAAAAATGCGCTCATTTCAATAAATTGATAAAAAAAATTTTCAACTATCACGTATTGAAAATCTTAATTGAATTAAACGGTAGGCCTCGGATTCTTCCTAGGCCTACCGCGTCCTCATTTAACAACGCCTATAATAGCTGCAATTTGATCGGGTGTTAGATCAATTTTCATTTTTTCTTGTTTCAAACATGATTTGGTCTTTGTATTTGAAGGTAATGATACATCGGATCCATCATAGCCTCCAGTTAAACGAATGTCATCATCGCTGCCACCACGAACCTGCAATATCACATTTATGTTAATTAAGGAATATATCAAAGCACTACATCAGTTGATGAATTATTGTTTTATAAGTCAAATTTTTATAATATATATTTGTCATTTTTACTATTTTTGAAACTCTACATAAAATTTTATAAAAATATAACGACGCTGTTTACAAAAACTAACACTTTTCTACAAAAATTGACACAGAAAAGTGCTAGATTTTGTAAGCATCGTGAGTTAAAAACTGATTTGAATCTAAAGTTGAAATTATCAGAAAAATGATCAATACTTTATGATGAGTTAAGGGATACATGTTTCAAACTGCTTCATTTGTTCAAATTTGTTTGGAAATTCCAAACAAATTGTTTAATATCTGTAATTTAATTTTCAATACTATCAATAGATACAAGTATTTATGCAGTATCATCAATATTAGACAATGTATATTATTTAATTATTTCAATGATACCAATCTTTATGATGAAACTACTAGATTCAACATCTACCAAAATAAATTATAATACTTAAAATATACTTACTCAATGAAAGATGAAATAAAAAATAAATTGACCATATAAAACACTTAAGTCACTATTCTTATGATTTCAATAGATTTATTAAACTCAAATGATTATTTTTTTGTTTAGTATTTAATGTACCATACCAAGAACTGGATTTTGAAAGGAAATTTGTGAAGGAATTATAAAAATTGTTTTTTTATACCAGATAATACCAATGAAAATATCAAGCTTTGTCGAAATGAATAATATATTGGGATATAGATTATATCATACACGGATTTATAAAAGGTAAAAACAAAAATATTCCAATTATAAATAAAACAGATTCTATAATATTATTGTATAAAACAAAATAATACACGTTATTTCATATATACTAAATTTCATGAAGTTCTTAATTTACAATTTGTTTTCATAATAGAGACTAAATTAACTATTTCCTATTAATATATACATAATTAATTAAACTAAAGCCAACTACTAAATTAAAATTACAACCGTAATTAGCTTTAATTTAATAAAGAAATCGAAATTTATTTTAAAAACTTCTGTTTTTAAAAAAATTAATTGGGCAGCAATCAAAGGCACCATGAGAAATGATGCATCCACGCATTCAAGTATAAGTCCAATATTTTAACTACCATAAGTATATCATAAAATATATATTATATCCAGAAAAAAATTAACGCATTCATTTTCAACGCTTTAATGAAAGCACGTTCAACAAATGATATTTTCAAATTAAATGTTTCATTGCACTGTTAGAGCCTATTTGTGTATCAGTTTCTTTATGCATCAGAGATAGGCAAGGCAAAGTCACGCTAGAGACTTTAAGATTCCTTATTAATATAATATAACAAATATTAATAATAATATTTATGATTTGATATTTGCATGTATAGATCGTTTTCAAATATTCTCATATTTCGACTTTTAAGTTGACAAATTTATGACAAATAAAAATATGTTCGTCTTTTACTGTTTGATAAAACTAAGTAGTCAGCTATTCATACATTTAGAGATACATTATAATTAAATCATGCAAGTTCTAATAAAACAGTAAAATAAACAAATTTACTAAAAATCGAACTTCAAATAATGAATTGAAATAATATTACGTGAAGCTGAAAATCGCGTGAGAAATTCAAGAGGACATTGGGAAAATGATAGGATGCGCGTGAAAAATTGATGAGCATAATACGCTAGTCGATGCACTCTTGTTTACTCCTCGTTCGATGTCTTACCTCGACGATGGAGCAACGTGAATTTGGCATGGTCTCATTCAGCTGCTCATCTTCGATGCATGTGCTATTGGCAATAACAGTTTCTTCTGTTAGTATTGAATCGTCTTCATCATCATCATCCATTAGACCTTCTCCTAGCTCTCCATTTTCAAACATTGCGTACTCTAACGTATGTTTATAACATACGAAACTGTTTGTAGGCTGATGCTCTTGTATGTTGCCTTCCATGTGATCTGTTTGATGAGTTTATATATTGAGTAAATCGAATATTAAATAATTATCATTACAATAAATAATTACTTTGACAAAATGCATTGCAACAGTAACTGCATCGAATACTCGTTCTTTTAAAACATTCAGCACAAAAATGCCATGGGCAATGAAAAATTTGATCAGGGCCATCTTCAATTGCAATACAAGTTGGATGATAAATTTTACCACATGTTTTTTGGTCACATTTGTGGGCTTCTTCTGGATTTACTATTTTTTCATTACAGTTCCAGCATAAATGAGATTTTTTATTTCTAAAAACCAAAATTGATAAGATTTAGTTCATTTAAATATAAAATAAAAATATGATCATTTTATTTGTATTAAACGTACTTTCGTTTCTTAATTTTTTCGGTTTTCTCAATTTTTTTTTCTTGCGCCACATTTGTTGATTGTTGTTTAGCTTTCAACCCTATGAATCCACTGCAATTAGGTGCTCCACAGAGACAAGGTTTTTTAGTTTCTCCATCGCAAGCTAAATTATAATTAAATGTCAATTCTTCTCCTGGCTTAATATCACGTACGGCAAATAAACCGATTCGCGTATCGCCATTGACGGTCCATTTTTGCGTTGCGCAATTCGGCAAGCAGGAATGATCTTGGGTAGAAAATTAAAAATATTGTAAGTATTAATAAAAAAAATAAACACAAAAAATTAAAAATTTTTATCGTTATTGAACTTACTCATGAAACGACTGAGATTTCCTTTTGGCTCAGCATCAATCATCCTATTATTGTCAATAGTTAGAAAGTAATAATTATCATTTTTTCTTTCTCGTTTTTGAGCTAGTCTGAGTCTATATTCTGCTTCGTCAATAATCTCGCCAACATACTCAATGATAAATTGTCCTGCTTTAATATCTTCAAGAGTTTGAAGACCCCAGCCACGTTCCTCGACGTGCATAGCTTTAAGAGCAGGGTACGCACGTTTTGTGAATAGTTGATTCTGACACTTGTCGCCGGCTGGACATGCATCTGCACTGCATTCTATCATTAAAAGTCGGTTCAAACAATCAGACTCAGGTGAGCATGGATATGGTTGATTCGGATCGCATTCACAAGCTTGCATACTATCTGGTTCTGGAATTTTGACATTACCGACTGGTTTATTTATCTGAAAGTACATAATACATGGAGTTACTGATTGAATAATTAAGTTATTTGTATAATACAAAATATTTATTTACTTTTAACTTCACGTATGGAGGTGGTTTAAGATTGCTATTGTCCTTATTCTTATCCAGTGCTCTTTCAATTACATAGTTATCATGGTAAGCTTTAGCTTCTAACATAGCTCTGTTGAAAGTTTCTCCTTTTTTTTTAGATCCCGTATTTTTTGCTTTGGCATCACCATCTTGGTATAAGAAAACTTTACCTCTAAAATTTTCAAAGTAGTTAGTTGATTGAACATAATTTTATTGTCAAACTTTTTTTTTAACATACCTATGAATCCAGTGATAATCATTACTACCCAAGAACATAACACAAAATTCTCCTGTTTTATGAGCAATATCAGAAATGTTTTTGGGGATTTCTTGAGGATAACAAATAATTGAAGGCCACCACCGGTAATTTCCTAATTTTACCCATACTACTTCACCGTATAAGGGTAGTCGTCCAGTTTCACAATCTTCGCATATATAATCGCCATCTGGTGCATCAATTCCTACAGAACATTAAAAGTAATGATTTATTGAAGCTTGAAACCATTTGAACTTACTCATACAAATATAAGAAACTAAATTACCTAGACATTCCAAATGGAATGACATAGGACAAGTATCACAGCATATAAGACTGCCACCTCTATCACATAAAAAGCACCAGGTAGCATTGGTAGGTGGTTGAGATGATTTATAATGTTTTGGACAAACTATGTGACTGCCAGTAAGTATGTTTGAACCTGCAGGTAAACATGATATTGATGTGTGATAACTAGATGGACACCTAACACATCTCACGATTTTTTCGTTAGAAAGTCGTTGCCCATTTTGTGGATTATCTGATACACAAGTATGACACACATGATATGGACAACAGAGTCTATCACCTTGCCATTGACTTTGAGGCCAACGTTTAAGGCAATCTAAATGATAGTGTTTTCCACAAATTAAAACTGAACATTTTATTCTTTCACCATCACGTAGATGGCAAATGAAACAAGGAGGTGCTATGCCAGATAAACAATCAAAACACTTGAAATCTTCTTCAAGATTTTCTTCATACTTTGGCTGCTTTTTCTTTTGTTTTACTTTATCCTTAATTTTCTTTAAAACTTCTTTATTTGCTTCATTTTCTGTAATATCATCAGTTTCACTGTTTTCAGTACTTGATTCACTAGGTTTGACACAAGTTAAATGGAAATAGGAGTGGCAAGGTCCCTTACAACGAATTAGTTTACCAGTATTTTCACACAATTGACACACTTTTTCATTCTTTATACCTTTAAAAAAGTTAATTGGACGAGGACGTTTAGAAATCTCAACAGACTCATCTTCATCACTATCTTCCTTGTATTTGTTCTTTTTCATAACTTGTTCAAAGTCTGTTGATTCCAGATCATCTGGGTCCGAATGATCACGTCGATTAGGTTTAGACCGACGGTTTGCAGATTTATCAACAGATTCTGATTCAACAAAAGTTGTTTCATCTTTATCTGCTTCACTGTCAGTGTCTTCTTCATCCTCTTCAGTCTCATCCATAGAAAAAACATCTTTAAGATAGTCAGCGCGATATTTGCTTCGTTCTTGCTCATTCAAATTTTTCCAGAGATCCATCAAATATGCTTTGATATCAGCTTCAGAGGCTTCTGGATCCAACTCAAGGGCTGATTCTTTGTTTCGTTCGCAAAAAACTTCAAAGCAACCGTCCTTACCATTGTTTTCTCTCATAGATCTACATTTCAATTTCAATTTTTGAGATATTGGGGCTTCATCCCCCGAATCTTTGTTACTTGATGGAGGTGTCAGTGGTGATTCAAGATTCACATTATTTTTGGAAGTATTTTTTTGATTCGATTTTTCATTTGATTCTAATTCTCCATTCTAAAAAAAGGTAATTTCAGTTAACATTAAAGTTTTATAAAAAATAAGCAGCTTTTCTACTTACATTGGTTTTTGGTTTTTTAACTTTTATTTCTTCTTCAGAAGTTGTACTTTGTTTTCTTTTTTTCTGGTTATCTACTTGGTAGTCAACTATTTCGAGTAAAAAACTTTTTGGTTCACCGCCAGGTTTGAATAATTCAATTCTATCTTCAAGGCTTTGTGAAAATAATGCAGCAGCTTCAGTTATAGCATTTTCCCAATATCGTTTTAAAGATGGTTTTATGATGTAAGCAGTACCATATTTTGCTCTTTTCTTACTGTCTGATAAAACTTCAGCACTAAGCTTATCAAAATCACTTTTACTTGTGAATGGTAGTACATTATTGCAGAATACCCAATTGTGTCTTCCTCTATCTGCACAAAATCTTAAATGGACCTGATTCCGATTTTTTCCTCCTGTACAATGCAATTGCGTAAATATTGTTCAATAATTATGTCAAATATAATAGATTTTATTTTCTGAGTTTTAAAAATACTCTGCAAGATACTTTTTTTCTTTTTAATTCACAATCTATTCTAAGTTTATACTAAATATCTATTCTAAAATGTTTTTACATTTATGTTAATAAAGTATTCATTGGGGGTTATACATATTGTAATAAATGAACTGAATTCCAAATATACCTACGAAACTCACAATCATTTGTAAAATAATGCTAATTTACTTGAAACTTCCCTTTTTTCAATTTATTTTTATAACAATCTTAAAAATGGAATTACTGTGATTTATTATCAATGATTTTGAAATTTCCAATAAAAAAAAATGTTTAAACTCAGTTGGTTCATGAATCATTATGTTCCAAGTTGAGTACTATTTTAGTAGCAAAAAAAAATATATACATATATATATCTATATATGTATAAATATTTAAAATTATCTTAAAATTATATTGAATTTAATGATATAAATAAGATAAATATAAAATCGTACTATTTTATAGGTACAAAGCAAATACTATTTATTACAAACCTTTTCGCTGATATGATTGAGTCACTGGATCTAATGTAACAACACTGGGCCAGTATGGATAGCCACCCATTTTAGCCCATACTACTTGTCCCAAATGCCATGGGCATTTTATTGGATCTTCATTGTCAATACTTTCATCTTTTGATACAATTGAATTATCCAAACTGCTTATTGAGTCGCTTGTGACGCTAGATGAATCTTCCATTTTGTGTAGTTCATCCTCAGTTTTCTCTAGCTTGATACTTTTTGGTAATTTAGCATTCTGCAAAATTTGTTGTAGATAATTCATCATTAGTAATTTATGTATAAACTATAAAACAAATTTTGAAAAAATCATTTGTAAACAGAGTTTATTGTCATATTTATTTGTTACGCTTAATTTAATTGAACAGTCACAGTAGCTTGCAACTTTTCAGGCTACAATCACTTTAGTTTAAGAATCTTGAATGTTGTTCAAACAATACATGCCTTTGGCGAATCAAATACTACAGTACTAGGAGATTTTGGCTTGATAGTTCTACCGAATCTACTAATACTTGGTAGTAATTTGGGTGAGTAAGGCTTGTTGGTGGTACCATTAAAAAGACATTGTTCTTCTCTAGCTTCTTCGACTGATGATGTATTACTTGTCTTGGAAATACTTCCATTACGTATGGGTGAATCCATGGTTTAAAATCCTTGTCATACTCATTATTTTGTTATCAACTAAATTTTTTTCCAAGTTTTGGTAATTGATTAAGAACCACAATTAGTTATGTACAATTGAATTAAGTGAGTGAATCAAATGGCTTGTAATTTTATCACACTGGTAAAATCATAACCTCATGTGTAAGACGAAGAAAAATTCTCTCGTGTACACGAGAATCATAATGGATTAACACTAACTTAGCAGAGAACTAGACACAGCACTCACACGCGTAACTAATTTCTCAATGCGGCCCAGTAATGTCGAAGCTCTGACTGACACAGCACAAGATATTCTAACAATCACAAGCACATCATATGAAGTTCTCTAGTATACTCTTTTTGGTAAAAAAGTCAAAAGCTACTGCAACTTTATGTTCCGCGTGTATATCAACATTGCAGGCTTACACGATGCGTAGGTGTAATGTGTACTGCGGTATTGTATGTGTGTATAAACCGAGCATGCTACATAGCACACTGTCGAGTGTCGTATGCCTTGAGGTTTGCTAAATTTGACGCGCGCTGCACTCATTTCCCGCGATTTTTACCCGCGCAACTTTGTTGATCACGTCTTGCGCATCATATAGATTCATATTGAACAAGATTTGATATAAATCTGTATTTCTGATGGGAAATTGTGTTCCAGCACATACAATACTTATTTAATCTTTAGGAAAAAATGAGTCTTTATAAATTTTTCCAATTTAAAATTTTTTTATCATAGTCTATGGAATAATCTCAAAAAAGTTCAAAAATTTTAATCGACTCTTAAGGAGATATAGAAGCCAGCCAAAATTTCAAAATTTCAATCCAGTTTTCAGAAACTTCTACCGAATATTTTGCCAAAAGGCTCTATGGCGACCTAAAGAACATCAAAATGAAGGTCGTCTAGAGCCTTTTGGCAAAATATTCAGTAGAAGTTTCAGAAAACTGGATTGAAATTTTGAAATTTTGGCTGGCTTCTATATCTCCTTAAATATTATTCAAAGTATATTTTTATAAAAGTTTAGATAATGTTTTTTTCCAAAAAAGCATTCAAGCAAATGTGCCTGTGAGCTTTGATTGGAGTGTATAATAGTTTATTATTATGCACGGAATATCGAAGTTTCGAGCTTTATGCAAATGAATCGCATATTTGAAAAGAAAAAACTTTACATCCGTCTATATACTTAAAAGAAAACTGCACAGTGCTATAATAATGCAAGACTCGCTGCAATATAGTAAAATACTCTGGACCGATAATTATCATATGAATTCTCATAGGAGTTTCTGTGGCCAAATTCAAATTCATTTCATGAGATGCTACAGAGCACGACATATCACATATTCCATTATACTTCGCGCACTTTATTATATGACTATTACATGTGCCCGGATCAAACCGGTTATTTGCTGAAAATAAAAATTCACCTGGTTGACTCTTAGCAATTCGCAAAAGAAGTTTTGAACAGACAATCATTTGTTTAAGATGAAACGTTGTAATTTATTCATCAGAAAGCGTATTTTAAGCGTAACAGCCTCGAAGAAAATTTTAGAATAGCTTGTTCAAATAGTTGAGTAATCTTAAATGAAATAATCATTCGTACACTTGAACGTCGACACACGAATGCATGGCGTTCTTTCCTGTTTCAATTTTATAACTGATTGCACGATAAGTAGGTATTAATAGTATGATATTTTTTTATATATTCTTGAAATGCCTATCGATTGACGCTCAAGAGCCTTGTCAATTTTTTGGCCGGTACATTGTATTCCGATTTATCAATTAAATTCTTCGATATCAGACCTCAACTCTACTATGAGGTAACTGAAATACAGTAATGCGCCTCCTGCTGTCACTAGAGCGCTATACAACTGATTCGAGTAATTTATTTGAAGTAAAAAAGTCGGCTTGGTGTAATTAGGAGCGCGTCACGAGCCGACGGATCAAGACCGGCTCTTATCTATACATCGCACTGCCGTTGCTATTAATAACATAAGTAGGCGCAATTTGTCGAAAAATCGTGCGATCCAGCAATCTATGTCTTTTATTCTACTCGACTTTCCGTCGAACGATGATATCCGCCTGGCTTTCCTATTTATGGGTATACTGACAAATTCGCAGGCTCCATTTAGGTTCTCGGGTGGTTCATCGATCTAAAACTCCAAGTCATTGTGTCCGCTCGGCTCAACGAGACTCGTCGAATGTTAGGGCAATGCGAGTTATAATACCAACAGCGAGCGCACAGCCGGCCTACGATAGCGACGGCGGCTGTTGCTCCCTTTTCATTTCATTTATTATTATTCGGTCGCTCCGATACATACCTATATACATAAAGTATGTATACAACACACACACACACACACGCGCCCGCGTATAATATGTGCACATCTGCTCAGCCTGTGGGCTGTGCCGCGCGTGCCAACACTGTTGTAGTTTGCTACTTGCTCCGTGAGCAGCAGAAACAGTCGCACAGCGGTTGAGTTTTCAAGCACGTCTGTATGGGCGCATACAACTACATATTATATATACTTGTAACATTGGCGCTCGAACACTATTTTTCTCTTCAAGTCTTCGCACACTAAGCAGCCAGCAGTCGCTCAGGCACAGACTCTGCCTTAGCTGCACATTTAGACTGAACAACGAGCGCTCGCTCATGGTGTCGGCTATACGATGGTGCGCTGCTAATTTTCTCTCCGCGTATTATCCAACAGTTTGCTTTGTTAGTATACAGCTATATATAAAGAGACAGACGACGCACTCACATTTTTTTTCGTTGACAGTGCAGAGACAATACGGAAGCATAGCTACATGAAAAAAAGTGACGGTTTTGTGAAATAAAGCCGAGGATATGGTTGGTAAAGATGAGGATTTATCGTCGCCGTCGTCACCCTCGTCTCCTTCGTCTCCATCGTCTCTGTTGTCGACGGAAATCGACGACGAGAGTTTGTCCAGAGTCAAGTTGATTGCTGACAAGAAAAAACAATTGGATCTGGCCGCCGAACAAGTGCGTTTTTTCCTTTTGAGTGCAGTGTTTTTTCTTTTTCACGTTTATATCCCGTATTACAGATTGGGTGCATTGTACTGCAATGTCTAAAGCTCATGTTGTTACGTACTTACACCTATTATCTCTTCAGATAATTTGATGCGGTGTAGACAACTAACAAATAACGCGACAAATTAAATTTATCGATATGATGATTCAGTGCTTCCAAATTGCGCCTTGTTTTATTTAACCAAAAATATAAGTATATAATATAACAATCGCTTTCGAGTTTATAAACAGAACGTATCCTACAAAACAATCGTCAAATGTCAACACTTGCTTCTTTAATATAATCTCTTGCTACTCTTATCGTACCCGTGCAAACATTATATTCAATAAAGTTGCACAACGGACAATTGATTTGTTTGTATTATCTTTAATGTCAAATGGACATTGCAAATATTCTTTCGACAAATTTAGCAAAATCTAACCTATAATTGATTTGCAGCACATTAATTTAGCGTATGTCTGTAGGATAAACTACTTTCATTGTTATTTCTCAGCTAAAATATTCTATTTTAAATTCTTGTTACTATTTTTCATAGATTCTTTCGGACAATTTGATATCATATTTTATGAGGCTATCATCATTTTTAAGATAACTATTCTTACGTTTATTCGTGCTAATCGATATTATTACATCAAAACTTTTTCGAGACTTAAAAAATTGAAAAGACTATACGTTGTATCGCGGAATTAAGTACATAGAAAAAATGAACTCTATCATCATTGTCAGAAATTTTTTTTCCGATGCATTTTAATTTTGATGTTATAAAATTTATTTTGGATTTAGTATGAATATACTGAAAATGCTAATAATTTCTAGGTTTTTATATACAAATAATAAAAATGTAGAAAAAAAAAGAATTATTTCGATAATAATAATTGAAAATGTTTTAAAAATTTGTTATCTATTGGACTTGAGAATAGCAGAAATAAATAAAATAGTACAATTACTGGTCTCTGTATGAGTTCCCGTTCATAAGTAGAGTCAATTTCTGCATTAAATTTGCATACGATTGTTCCAAATCGGTAGCCGCGAATTGCCGAATCAGCTTTTTAAAACCCCGAGTTCAGTTGCCAAGAATTCGAAAGGCTGTAAGAAAAAAGATAGTTGGACGCGTGAAAAGCGCTAAAAATGCGAGTAAATTCATTTTGTAGAGGTTCGCGTTGCATCGAACAGCGAATTGTGGAAATAGTAAATACTTAAAAGCCTTGACTCAATAATAAACGGAAATCATGATAAGTTTGAAAAAATGTATTTTTATAAATCGGATCGCTCGTCCTTGGACAGTAGCTGAACTATTTCTAATCGTTGTTCCAGTACATTGCTATTATAGCGGTAAAGTTCGTTTCCCTTAGTTCCCACGTTGAAAGGGTGAAAAAAAAACGGGCGAACGAGAGCGTAGTACGTACCTTTGCTGCTTTTGTTATGTAGCGTAAATATAAGCGCGCTTGTACGGTATTTTCCTCATTCTCTACGCCCATATACTCGTATGTATATGTATAATAATAAGAGGAGAAACCGGGACGAGCGTCCGATCGCATTGATATAACGAGATGCTCGTTTTTTATTTTTTTGCAGGTGTGCCACGAAATAAAGAACAGCTTCGCTCGCCTGCACGATGCCTTGGCGCAGCGGGAGCGCCAATTGTTGCGCCAGGTCGAGGTGGTGCATCGACAGCAACTGTCCCTTGTGCAGTCAAATTGGGCGATTTTGCCCGCCGACTCGATGCTCAGCGCCGAGTTCAATCAGGAGCCGGAATTGGTCCAACGTCTGCTGGATTTCGGCAAGATTGACCTGTCCAACAGCATTGCCATAAACGAGCACGAGCCTTACAAAGCCGAGGAGTACCAGGAGGCCAGCGAAGATTTCGTCAGCTTCGACAAGTCGCTCAAGAGCGAGGCCGACGAGTTCGACGTGAGCAGCGTCATTCGCAAAAAGAGAGACAGCTTCGGCAGGCCGAGTAAAAATATAAGCATCAATTTAAATCCTATGAACTTTGAGTCGAGCAGATCAACTGCGCTCGACGTTATTCCTTCCGGTAAATGAACTTTGCTGTGCTTACTTTTTCGTCGTCTAATGACTCGAAAAATCGAATTAATTATTTCTTTTAACAGTTATAGCGACCACCCCCAAACAAGTGATCAAAAATACTTTGACAGCTCGATCAAGCGAGCAAGCGACCGGACTAAAGCTACAAGTAATATCAAACGATAACGGCGTCGCCGACGTCAATGACAACGATGACAACGTCCCGATATCTTTGGATGTTATCGATCGTATTCCAGGATCTTTCATTGAGACAGTAAACGAAAATACTGAAGTAAATGAAACGAGCTTTGTCACAATCTCCGAAACCGAAACTTCGATTTTACCCAACGATGATACAATTGATAACCTAGATTCAAGCATTGATAAGAATAATACCCCTGAAAGCCAAGTCACTGCAAAAACGCAACAAATGCAAGCCAAATCAAATGATATCGGACACGAATATCCGATTCCGATACAACAGTGGTTGCGACAGATACTAGCCGAAACGGAAACAGAGCCGATCATTCACGAGATTGGTCAATTTTCAACAATATCCAATGCGCAATCATATCGGGATTTTCCCCTGGAAACATAAAGTTTTCTCGGTTCAATTGCACAAAGATTTTCGAATTCTCTATAAATAGCCTTTTTTGTACATTTAGCTACAATTAACGCACGCGTTCAATTCACGCGCCTTATTGTATACCATTGATAAATCAATCCAAATTGAGAGCTTGCCGCGAAGAAATGAAATGCACAAAATACCGTAAGCTTTTCTGTGAATCATTTCTTTATGCTGACTACACAATATTTAACACGTCGAATTTTTATGTGAATCAAAGTCTGATGTGTCTGTCAGTAAGTTATTATATTCTAAGATTATAGATCAAGTCGTTCACTTATTAAGTATCGTTGTAATTGAATTAATTTTTAAGTGTTTTAGATGAATAAATAAATGTTTTTTTATGAAATACGTGTACTTACAATTTGAAACGCGTCCAACTCGAATAATAGATCAATAATTATCTTTGAATGCATTTAAATGAGATGAGCTCATACCTATAATAATGTAAAATTAATTGAAGTACATCAATAATATTCGAAATTATCATATTTGTTATAATATTTAATTCTATTAATGTATCAACTACATTACCACAAAGGGTTAAATAAAAATCCTAAAAATTGGGTCATCGATTGAAATATATTTCTTTTATTTCTCCTTATCGATAAAACATGAATGATAATAAGCTCTATAATATTTGTTTCAGTATTCGGTTTTTTTCTAACAATATAAATATTATTGAAGTTTATTATTAAAGTATGTTATTGTTTGTATTACAAGTTTCATATACATAATGCGAGAATACATTGATTACTTAAGAGTACGAAGAAAAAATACATCAATGGAATATAAAAAATTCTAGCTTGTAAATAAAATATTAGTAATTCAAAACAACTGATCTTAAAAATTTCTAAATGGTACTGATCTACAGTTTAAAAAGAGCATTTTCAAAAATAATTTACTTGACCCTACATAATCGTTAATTTATTAAAAAATAATAAAATGGTAGGCTTATTTTTCTTTCATTTTTTCTATGAAAATATTACAAAATCCATTGCAATAGCTACTGTGACAATGTACATGTAACATCTATTTACCATAATTAAAATAACGTTCAACTTTTTAGAAATGTGTAAATTCGTTCTAAACAATTAACTAATTTCATAGTACATTAGGCATGTTTTAATGTACGTCAAAGAGTAAGAATCTTGATTCAAAAATACATGAACGCAATTGCACTTGTTCACTAGTATGTTCCAGTTTGATTTTTTGGTAACTTGAGTTTCTTTTTTGAAGACCATTATTAATATCAGATGTATTATTTCAACTAACAGATCTAACTAATGTATATTCTCAATTCCGTAGATTTTTCTTGTTTTCGATTTAATAGTACAGATTTAAATTTTATTCAAGACCAAAAAGTTTTCAGTTGATTAAAATAGAAAGATCAATTCACAACTTTTTATAACGACTGTTTAACTTGCATATAATAAATAAGACAAACTCATATGGTTATTTTTCTCGCTTGTTTTGCACGTGACATTAGTTCAACTATGTGTAACATTACTTTTTGACATTAACACACTAAAAAAAGGTAATATTTGCAGGATTAAATTTAAATTCTTTTTAATTTTACTAAGAAAATGTTCTTATAATTTTCTTAGTCAATACTATGGCTGTCATTAATTATTATCGTTACAAATATAATTATTATCATAATAAGCAGTAATTTTTTTCCTATGTAATTGCAATACTTTTCATTTAAATTTTTGTAAAATAGAAGCAATTATTTATTTACAAAAAAACTGGTCGATTATAATTGATGTTTATTATATTGTTAAATGTTATATAAGTTGACTTCATTTTTTGGAGTGCTATCTGATTTGGGAAACGAAGGAACTTTTACAATAAAGAAATATACTTGAATTCAAAATAACGTAAAAATACAACTCGTGTCATAAGAAAGGTGCTTTAATGTGACAGAGTTGTTTTGTCAATGTTGAATTGGTATCATTTTTGTGACTAATCCATCATTTGAGCGAAACTTGATAAAAGACCCAATTTTCAAAGAATGATGGAATAAATGCTACATCTTTGGTAAACTTAACGGGGACTGCCAATTGTTGCAAAACATCTTCGTACATAGTCAATGATTCTGGGCACGAAGTGCCATTACCCTAAAAAGTAAATAAAGAATTTTTTAAAATGATAATTGAGATCGTCGTTGAGCTTATAGTATCTATTTACATGGGTCATATATTTGCCAGTTGGTTTCAAAACTTTCATCGAAGCATTCAGGATAAGTCTGATAAAGTCCCAAGCATCACCGTGCGGAGATGTACTGATTGGAATGTCTGTGAGATCTCCAAAGACGTAATCAAATTGACGTCCCTCTTCAATCATGTGAGTCAAGGTTTTCATACAATCACCAACAATAATCTGTAAAATTGTCATGATGAGAGTTTATAGGATGACAAATTCACTTCTGTGACTTGAAAAAAAGAATAAATTACCTCGTAATTGGAAGTCTTCCTTTTATCCAAACAATCGCCACAAACACTTCTCATATATTGACTACAAGCCTTCATAACAACATCGTCAATCTAAAAATATACAAAATAATCGATAGTTATCCGACAATGCAGTTGTCCGTATAATATACATATGTGTGTGTGTGTGTGTGTCAATACCTCAAGCATGGTGACATGCTTGGGATTTTCTTTGAGCAATTCCCAAAGTAAGCCACCGTCACCGCCACCAAGAATGACTATTTCTTTGCCTTCGTAATTTTCTTTTCCTCGCTGCATGAGGGTCTCGGTGTAGATCAAGTCAGCCTCTGACATATCTAAAAAAATTATAACATAAATGAGATGTTCAAGTAGTATTGCGATGGCAACATTTTTCAGAAAATTCTTCATGTACATACTCTGAAGTTCATCAAGGATCAGCATATTTCCAAGCGACTTTGAGTGACATATCTGCACTTTTTGATAGGGCGAGCGAGCTTCGAAGACCAACTTGTCAATGTCGTATTCGAGCAATCTTTCGTCTTGAGAAAAAAAAATTTTTTTTAGAACTTTCTTTCAATAATTAATTTAATAGATCAATTCAAGTGTGTTTTTATTGATTTCATTTTTTTCTATATTAATGTAAAATTCACTTATCTACGAAATAATTGGTCTTCAAACAATTACATGTGTTAAAAGCTGTGACAACACTTTCAAGAATAACATTTTCGTAACTTTTTGAAGAACAATATAATAGTGAAGAAAATATAATATATCGTAAATTGATCGTTTTGATGGTTTAAAAGTTAAAAAAAATGCAGAAGATAATACTTACAAGTTTTCGATTTTAGTTTTGAGTTATGCGTTTTCTATCATTACATTGCACTAAATTATTAACTCAAAGTTTTGCTTCTTTCCGATATTTTATCAAAAAGTGAACGTTAGTTAACTTGATAATAAATGAATGATGGTCAAATTAAAGAAAACAAGTTTTCTTTTTGTTTATAATTTTCGAGTTTTCAGGTACGAAGATTTGAGTACTTTTAACTTTTTTACAATAATTTTTTGAACTTCAAAATAGAAACATTAATATTTAGATGGAAATAGTAATTTCAGGGATATTCCTGTATTGATCACCATTGTAAATCGAGCAAAGCGATGCATGCAACGTGATATTGGGAACAAGCGTGATTTAAAGCAAGAATATAGATAAATGAACAATAATAAACGTGCGTTTGTGAGTGCTAAACGAAGTGAATGAAACTAAAAGAAAAACGTATACATGACATACGCAATCATCAATACCAAACCACAGATTCATTGCACACAATCCAGAAGCTCACAGGCTCATTGTCATCTTGTCTGATCGAGTGTTAGATTCGCAAGTTAATATGATAGCGCATATCCTTTTGTATCATATAAATAGTCAGTCTTATTTGTGTAACTTGAATCGATATCACGTGCCTCAAACTTGGACTAAGCAGAAATTATTTACGAAGCGGAGCACCAAAGATTGCATATGCATATGAAAGACATTTTTATGAATGTATCTTATAGATGTATATACACATATATTATCAATATAAATATAATATATGATATGTACACTTGACACTAATATTTCTTAAGAATTCGAAACGCACTCAATGAAGAGAGTTGGACTGAAAGAGATAATTTTTAACGTTTGTTACGAGAGACGCCGAAAACAATATTACAATACATTATACAAGAAAAGTATATAGAGAAAAGAAAGTTGTATTATATAGCGACACCAGTGACCATTTGTTAAAAAAGTTGATCGAATCAACTGAACGCATACCCCGTTGTCTTGAAAATTACAAGGTGTTAGACAAAAAACATCAGAAAAGATGATAACTCACCAGAGGTCGGAAAGTATCTGTCAAAGCCACCACGTTTAATCGGGGCTATTGTGTGTGAACGTGAGGCAGATGTGGCCGACTGTAATGTTGTCTCCAATTCTCTGCCGGACTATACGTTATAGTAATTTTTTCGTATATAAGAATAACGATCATTTTCAGCCATCATCGTGTCACAAGGCAAGCATCACAATCAATCATCGCAGTTTAATTTTTTTTCACCAAAACAATAAAACGAACAAAATAAAACGATGAGTGGAATATTTAAATAATAAATATAAATATACATAACTAAACACATAATATGATTGCGGTATTTTAACGTGTTACATATTGAACGACGATTAGTTTATATTATATTTAGTAATTTTAATGATTATTGGAGAAATGTATAATTTAAGTTTAAAAGTGATCATTATTATTAATTGAATTTTATCTAATAAATCAAACAACTTGAAAATGAATAAAAAAAGTGTTTAAAATGGCGATTTGTCATTAAAAGAATTTTGGCTAAATCTAAGTTACAAAACAAACGAAATAATTTTTTAATATCATGGTAACACAGCTACAATACTAGTTTATGCAATTTCTAATTTATATCAAGTCAATGAGTGCTAAAATACTTGACTAGATTGATACAAGAACGATTATCATGGTGCTGAAGGGTTTGAAAATTAACTATAAATCTAATTAAACTCAGCTTCGTTTATAATCAACCCTCAAATGCAAAAGGTACAAAATACTTGAATGAATTTTAATTAGTAACATTTTTTAATCTATCAACATAATTATTTTAAAAGAGTGTACTTTATTACATTCTTTTAAAGTCTACACATTAGACTTGTTCTATTTTTTTGCAAAACAACGCCAAAAAACCTTTTTGAACCATGAAGATAAAAATGAATTTCAGCTTTGCATCTCTCAGACACACTGTTTACTTGATATAATTTAATACAATTTTAAAAATTTTTGGTGCAAATTCTTCTATTTTTAAACAAAAGCCAAGGTCAAATTCAACTTTTTCTTATGATACTGGGAAATGTAGGCTTTTGAGGGTTAATAGTAAATGATAAAACTTAGTACTAAAATTAAATGACTGTAATTAGAGATTTGCTTTAAAAATATAAATATTTGGAATGATTTTTTCAAGACTACAAATTCATTCGAGGTAAAATATTTTCTACCTGAAAGGGTCAGATAGAGTTCATAAATGGTCCCTCGTCTTACAGGTGGCAAACGTTTGCTGCGCTGGCTGTTCAAAGCCATAGCAACATCAGCTTCCAAGTATTCCCATTGCTATAATATTCTCTCAGTTATATATTTCTCATGTTTATTTGTATGTAATAGAAAAATGTTTTATAACTTTTACCGATTCAAAAAAGAATAAGTTATCAATAAAATAAATATTACAGAAAAGTTTATGTCAATTATAATAAATAAAAATTTATAGATTTAGTGAAACAATACAAAAGATTTAAAAATTTAAAACATTCACCATATCCAAATATGTTAAAAATTTATTCCATTTGGTAATAGAATCATAAGACTTAAATATAAATTAGTTACCTTGAAATCTAGAATCGCATCTTCATCGTCTTGTTTATAGTATTCAATGTTAACCGTGACCAAACCTTCTGGGTAAGCACGCACTGTTATCAAGCTACCCTTTGGACCAGTAAACAAAATCAACAAGCTGCCATTAACATTGGATTCAGTCAAATTTTTCAACCCAACAAAGTATTCCTCGAGAACATTAGTGATATTTGCTTTGAGATTAGCTCTCTTTTCTACATCCATGACTTGACTAGATGGTACAGTAAAGTCAAGCAATACAGTGTGAGCCACCATTATTGAAACTGCAAAAAAAAAAGTAAATAATTATAATTTTTCACGTTAGTAGGTTTTACCACCTAAACCCGACTCGATCGGGACTGCACCGAATTTTCATGGCTAAGCGCACTTAATCGTGAGTTGATGTCAGATTAAAACAAGTTTAAGCTAGTTCAAGTTTTAATTGGTAAAAGATATAATTGACTTAAAAGCAACAAAGCGGGTCACGCGTGCATATACCTATGTATGCCAAGGATAAGTAGACTAACTATATATTTTGTTGCACTGTGTTACACACGCTGGACAACCAAGGTTCAAGCACCTACAAAGCCCTCGGGCTCAAGTATATCACGCGGTAGGGAGACACTACGTGAAAAATGCTCGACATTGCAGACACGTTTCAAGGAAGAGCCAACCTCCGAAAATGACTCTTAAAATAATGAATATTTTGAATGAAAGGGCTGAAAACGTTGTAATTTTTTGATACATGACGTAAAACGTTCTTGAACTATTAAACCGCATCTACTTTTGTTTTATTTTTAACGTAGAATTAAAGATATTGTCCATGAGGAGTGTTCCAAGGAAATAAAAGTACAAAAAAACAGATCGATCAAGTCTTACCTTTATAGTCAAGGGTTGTTTACTGTTATCAGAAGACGATCAATAAAAATAAGCAACGGATGATCTTAACGACAAAAGAGAAAATCAATTCCTCTGCAGCGTTAAGCAAATGTTATGTTATATATATTTGAAGAACGGCGTGCTGAAGGTGCAGGTAAATTGAGAAAAAAACTGCGAGGGATTCACTTTTTCTGCGGCGATGTGAAAAAAGTACTACACTGAGACTGGACTTGCTCGCGTGCTGTGCGACGATGCTCTGCAGCCTCATGCGCTATTCGCTATATATGGAACGGCCGAGTAGGCTGCCTGTACGTTATTGTATGCGATATTACGCTCTCTCGCAGCTGCGTCGCGCACACGAGGAGCTCATGCGCGTTGTGATCAAGGGCGGATCAGAACCAGGAATGATTCAGTTTGCTACACTAAAGCCCACAATATTGTCTATACCTATATGTGTTGGAAGCAAGTTATTATATATAAATATAATACAATGTGAACGATTAGACGTACGAATGTATGTACGTAATAAATTTAGATTACATCCAGCAGTGGGTCAGGACGCGACTGCCAGTGCAGCAGTGAAAATTCATCGATCGAGCGTTGATAATGCAGTCGAAGAGTTTGAGCTTTTTCGCGAGGAAAATTTTATCGCCTGAAATTTATACACAGGTCCATCATACAATTTCAATGTCACGGAGATTATTTTTTAGAATATCTATTTGAAGATGAATTTTGAACGCGCGTCATAAATTATAGAATATCATATTTACTCATTTTTATGATCCACTGTCGTAAACATCATCATGAGTAGAAGCTGATCATTAAATGAATTTTTTTAAACAATGCTTAAATTTAACACTCAAAATGAAACAAGTTTTAATCTTTTAAATTGATGCAAATAATAGTTATTTCCAGTAAACGAATAAATTAAATATGATTATAAAACTAACGATGTGAGTCTATATTTATATTTCTAACGCACTTTTTTAAACTTTACATAGTTACTACTTGATACACATTCTTTGCGACTTTCAATTCAAATTAATTTATAATCGATATTTATTCCCAATTTCATAGTAATTTTGAGAAACTTTAGTAATTATCGATCTTTTATTAAATTTATATTTAGATTATATTTAGATATTACATTTAGATAATTTAAATAGAGGTATCACCACTCTAAGATTTTCCAAAAATTTAATTTTTTGCATTAAAAGCTTCCTTTAGGTTTCTAGAATAAAACCAAATTAGTTTTATGTGGTAAGAATAATTTTAAAAAGTTTTATTTTTGATTTTTCTACACCGTTTTATGTGAAAGTCGCAAGAAAAACTTTGAACGCGTTTTTCTCGAAACAACATTTTCTGCTGAAATTTCAAATCAAGATTCAAAATAACATTATTAAGGGAAGTAGTTTCCATTTTTATAAACGATTTACAGCGAAATTTTTTCACAAAACTCGAATTTTTTTTGGAAAGCTGCTATTTCCACAATTTTCACTTTTGGGTTAAAATTCTACGTACTGACCTAGAAAACCATTCAACTTCAAAAGAATATTTTTATTTTGATTCTAGGTGCCTTAGTAGTCAAAAAAAGTTACCGGTGAAGAAAAATCGCTTTTTGTAAATTTACGATATCTCTTCCAATTTATGTTGAAAATATGTATCGGCCTTTGTCTCCAAAGTCTCATATTAAAAAATATCTCATGCAGCCTCCACGAAATTTTAAAAAGGTTTTATATTTTGCTGCACCTAATAAAAGTGCTAATATCTAAAATAATAACCATAATGAATTGCAAGGTTTAAAGTATATTTACCTTTGATTAAAAACGTGATACTTTTCACAAATTTTTCAGTAATTTTACAAAGTTTACTTTTACTATTGTAGTGCTTTAATGTTACATCGTATACTGCTCTGCGAAATATTATGGTAAAATTTTAAAAATGGCATCATGTTACACATTGAGATGCAATTTTTATCGTTAATTATAATTTTTTTATTAAAAAGACGAAGCACGAGGGAAACGTCAGATAGAATTATTTGCAAAGAAAACACCACTAAAATACGTTTTAAGAGCTAACTGATAGCGAAGTCAAATATAATGTGAAAAGTTCATAAATAGTCGATCAAATCGTTCGCAACGGCTTCCGTACTTGAGCGCATGTCAGTTGCTTGTAACATCAATTACTACTTTTCAAACCGTTAGCTTGAATAATGGAGGCCGTGATACAAAATAATAGTGAAGAAATGTTCAATAATGATACAAATAAATTCCTGTTCAAAGGTACGAGTGCCATACTTACGAGACAAGACGTCGAGGGAGTGACGAAAAAAGCGCTTGGGATAGACTTTAAAATTATCAATTACCACGTAAAGGCTTTCTCGGAAGAAAAGGTTGGATTTATGGGAGATCATCAATTTCTCGTGGTAACAGTGTTTAGAAAGAATCGCATCGAAAAAGAGATTCACTCGTTCTTTTTGAAAAGTGTGCCTTACGGTGTTGAAGCTCAAGCCGAAGTCATCGAAAGTTGTCAGTCTTTTTACAAAGAAGGCCAATTTTACAAGTTCATTGTTCCAGAATTGATAAAAAGCTCAACGGACAATACGTGGCTGGTAAATTGTTATCTCGTCAAAGATGACGTATTGATATTTGAAAATTTGAAAATGTTGAATTACGACACAAAGGACAAAACTTTGGATCTAGATTCGGTGAAATCGTCTTTGAGTGCGTTGGCCAAATTACATTGTGTCTCTATTCTGGCCGAAAAGCGATTGGGCAAGACCTTCTTGGAATTGTATCCTCGCGCCATGAAAGAATGCATCTTCACAAATTCATCTTCAAATAAATTTCATGAATGGTTCCGGACCGGAGTTAACTTAGCCGTTGAAATCGCCAACATGACTGGCTTGGATTCCAGCTCGATTCGTCAAATATGCCAGCGAGTCTTTGAGAAAATTTCGGCTTCAAAAAAGTGGAGAAACGTCGTTTGTCACGGAGACGCTTGGTCCAACAACATCATGTTCAATGACGCACGGCCCTTGGCGGATCGCGCCATTCTGGTGGACTTTCAATTGGTTCGTTACACATCTGCCATGAGCGACGTGACGCAATGCCTGTACTTAAACCTGCGAAGGCAAACGAGAGAAAAAGTCGAGCGCGAAATGTTGAAGTTCTATCACGATGTATTTTCCTCTGAACTGAGCCGGAATGACCAAGACTTGGATCAGCCCGACTTTCAAGATATGCTACAAGAATTCGAAGCTATGAGACTCGTAGGAATTGTCACTGCGATGCTGTATTCTCCAATAAGCTACGTTGAAGGCAAATTGTGCGCTGAAATAACCCAAGATTCTGACGGTTTCATGAATTTACTGTTTCGCGACAGAATTGATTTGGTTCTCAACATTATGGAAAAAGACCCTGTATACAAAAGTCGAATTTTGGAAGTCATTGAAGAATTGGTAGAGAGGTCCGAACAACTTTTAATTCTGTAAAGTCTTCAGGAAAAATATAATTCTGTAAAATATTATTACTTGTGAATTCTATTTTAGTTTATTTATATAGCATTAAAAAATGTAATAAAATATTTTATTGAAGTATCTTATTGGAATGCATTACTTCAACTCTTTATGCGGGATCCTTAACTGAATTCTTTTATCTTTTTATACATAAATACAGCTAACTTTTTTTATAATTTAACATGAATAATTTTCAATCAGTTTATTATCACTTTTTTATCACTAATATATCTGATTTATTTTGAGTTTATATTCCAAAAATCTATGATGTTGATATTATCATTTATTCATTTTCATAAAAGATTAATTATTCAAAAATTCATTTATAGTTTGCTTGATTGGTTATTTTAAAAATTAATCGGAATAAAAATATAATCAGAGTTACAGAGCGACTCTTCGGCATAGGTATTATAATCTTTTTTGCTGCAATAACATAAACTTTTATTTTTCAGTATACTTTGCAAATTATTCATCTCGAAGAGATCTTATCTCTGTATTTAGTGTCTAGTTCAGGTATATTGGCAAGCAAATAATAAATCCATTAATATGGCAGTAAATAAGATGAATGACAATTTTCGTGAGTCCGTATATATTTCAAAAGGTCATTTCTAGTTATTAATTTGCATTATAAGTCTAAAGGTGAGGATGAAATTTCCTTTTAGAATCTTTAAGGTCCATTTTTATTTAGTTGTTTTATAATTGCTGTATTAGATACTATACAGTCAAACCCCGTTATCCTCGGGGGTTCGGTTCCAAAAAAGTACCGCGTATACCGAAACCGCTGATACCGAAGCATTGTTCTTATGGGAAAAGGGGGGCTCGGTTCTTCGTCCAGCTGAAATGTTAATGTACGAAAGAATAAAACAACTTTTTTTTTTTAAGTCAAAGGATTTATTCATTTTCGAGTAAAAAACTCAGTCAAACTTTCTTGCTTCGCTCTGCGCATCAAATCTTTGTATAAATTTTCATAACACTGCAATGATTTTGTTTTATCTTGCTTGAATTGAAGGCTGCGAGTCATTATTGGCTCATGATTTATGGCTCGTTCAATGAGTTCTGATCGAAGACTCGTTGACGTCGAATCTTCTTGCGAGGGTAGCAAATTTTTCATCAGCTACCAATGCATTGAGATTTTGATATTTTCGACCAATTAAAGGCGCTTTTTTTCGTTTGAAACTGATTTTTTGACGTTGGTCGAGTCATATTTAAAAAAAAATTAATAAAAAAATGTTTTAATTTTACGCGCACAAAATGTTAACCTCCAGAAAAAAAACCGCGGGTCACAAATGAGGGTACCGCGGATACGAAGAATCGCGGATAGCGAATCCGCGGATAACGGGGTTTGCCTGTATCCCATTTACACAAAGATTCAAGGTCTCTTGTCATGGATTATTAGACTGCTAGATTTCTTAATTACTTTGAAAGCTTGATATTCTGAAAAATGTAAGTGACAATAAATCTGAGTTATTTCGATTTTTTATACAAAATTTTTATTCAAAAATTTAATTTATAGACTTGTTTAATGATGGTAATGTCTACTGTACTTATTTGTTTTTCATCATTGCAGTAAAGATCATAAATTTTGATTAATCAATGGGTCGTAAAAACTCTTCTTACATTATTTTATAAATAAGATGTATATATTCACTTATACTTGGTGCCATGTTCATTGTTTCAGAAAATCAGTCGTGAAAAGGTAGTGTGGTTTGATCGACGTGACAGGCAGACAGACGCAACATGCAAGATATGAATGGCAAAGGAAAATCCAAATTTCGTGATGGAGATCCAATCACTCGAGAAGATGTTGAATATGTTGTAAAAGTGGCGTGTGATTCTGATTTCAAAATTGTTAATTATCATCTACGAACTTTGTCAGCTGAAAAACTTGGATTTTTGGGAGCTCATCGTCAATTGATTATTGAAATATTACAAGAAAATGGATGCACAGTCCGAACGCAATCATATTTTGTGAAATCCATTCCTTACGGCATCGAATCGCAGGTATCTATCATTGAAGGATGTAGAGCTTTCTATAAAGAAATTCATTTCTACGAAAAAATCCTGCCAGAGCTGATGAATAGCTTAAAGGATAAATCATGGATAGCGCAATGTTTTTTGATAAAAAAAGACGCCATGGTGTTCGAAGATCTGAAATTGAAAAACTTTACGCTCAAAGGAAAGCTACTAGATGTTTCAGATTTGAAAGCAGCTTTGAGTGCTTTCGCAAAATTACACGCCTCGTCCATGCTGGTTGAAAAGCGCCTGGGTAAAACATTTCTTGAGTTGTACCCTCGAGTGGTGGAAGAGAATATCTTTTCACGTTCAAGCGTATTTCGCGATTGGTTCGAAAGTGGCGTTAGCGCTGCGTCGACCATCGCACAGCACCTCGGATTAGATGGTTCCACGATTCGTCAGGTGTGCGATCGTATTTTCGATAAGATTTCAATTTCGGCAAACAGAAAAAACGTTCTTTGCCACGGCGATCCTAAATCGTACAATCTTATGTTTGACGATTCACAAAAATGTGTTCTTGTTGACTTTCAATTAGTTCGATACGCACCTGTGAGCGTCGATATTCTTCAGTTGTTGTACATCAATACCGTGAGAGATCTTAGAAATAAATATGAATTAGATTTATTGAAGCATTACCATCGAGAACTATGTACAATTTTGAAATCAAGAGACGAAAAATTCCCACTGCCTAAGTACGACGAGCTTCTAGAGGAGTTTGAAGAGTTGAGGGTCGTTGGAGTCGTGACTAATTTGTTATACACTCCTTCCAATATGATGGAGGGAAAGGAATGCGCTAAAATGACGGAAGATTCGGAAGGATTTTCCAAATTGTTGTTCAGTGATAGATCCCAAATGATTTTGGATATGATGGAACGAGACTCTAATTACAGGGATTTGATAATTGAAGGAATCGAAGAAATTATTGAGAGATCGGATCAACTATTGAAATTATAATTACAGTTATAATTTCACTGTATAGGTGTAATCTATGAAATGTAAATAAAGGTTTGTAATGAGAAGGAAAAATCTTCACAATTCTAATTTAAATTTTAGCTTCAATTTTAGTTTAGCTTAATGTAAAATATGATGTGAGATAACATGCTGATTTTCTAAAACACAAACAAAGCTTAGTTTCTCATATGCGTATGGAAATCTATAGTATATTATATAATACGACAAATATAACAGTTGCAGATCTTATCTGCGCATAACAAGAGCTAATTTCGATTTAATTGCTTTGTGTACGAATTAATTCCAGTTGAATGTCTCTGTCATCTAGTCAGAATATTATAGTGTTTGGAGATAAGATAAAAACACTTTTGCTCAGCTTATAATTGAGGCGTCAGTAATAAAAACACGCTCTTATTGAGAAAAAGTGTCGTATGCTTTTTTCTGGCAAAAAATGTCAATTTTAAATTTTAAAGATATTAAATTAGTGATTTCACGCGCCCTTAGTCCCGAGACCGAAATTCTCAAGTATCGCTTCAAGCCGTTCACGAAGAGCAAAACAGGCTGTTTTGGCACTCATAGCTCCTTGGAAGTTATAACTCAGCAAGAGGCAAACAAAAAAAAGTATGTCGTGTCACAGTCGTTTTTCGTTAAAACCTTTCCCGAATCTTTTTTAATCAGAGAAGAGCTCATGGACGAAGACATGTTCACCGAAGAAGTTCATTTTTACGATGAAGTTCAGCCTTTGATGATGAATAAACTTAAACTTCAGAGGTGGTCACCGAAGTGCTACCTCGCTAGGGAACACACGCTTGTGTTTGAAGATTTAAGAGCTCAAGATTTTAATGTCATTGCGAGCAACGAATTTGATCTATTGCATTTGAGGGCGGCACTGTCAGCTTTATCTAGATTCCATGCCTCAACGATATTGACGGAAAAACGATTGGGAATAACTATGAAACAAGCTTATCCGAATGCATTCAACGAGAAATTATTTGCGTACCACAAAAAATTTGCTAGAGGCATACCAGTTGGCTTCGATGCCATCGCTTATATGGCCAAAAAGTTCGGCTTGAACTCGAGCATTGTGCCAAAAATTTACAATTTAGTTTTTGGTCTCGTAAAAATGCAAGGCAATGGTTGCAACGTCATTTGTCACGGTGATTTATGGAAGAATAACATTTTATTCGATAAAACAGTACCTCATCCAAATTGCGTAATGGTGGACTATCAATTCTTGAGATATGCATCCCCAAATACCGACGTTGCTATGCTCATTTACTTGCACACGAATCCAGAGTTTCGACAAAAACATGAATTGGACATGTTTAATCACTACTACTCGAGTCTGAATGGTATACTGTCGAGGAATAAATGCGCACTTGAAGAATTTTCTTACGATGTCATGTTGAAAGATTATCACAAACATAAAATAGTGGGAATGGCCCTAGGTTGCTTATATCTTCCTGGAGTATTTTTGAAACCGGAACTTTTACAGAAAATAATGAACGAACCAGAAACAATGAACGCTTGGTTTTTAGGAAACAGAAAAAAAATAATACAACAGAATATGGATGACCATCCGGACTACGAACAGAACTTGAAGGATAGGATCGTTGAATTGATACAGGAGGCAGAGAAAGTCATACTTTCTGGATATAATTAAGTATTTTATTTAGTTCATCAGCACATTTTTAAATTCCAACTGACCCTATAATAGTTTCACCTTTATAATTGTATTATCAATTTTTAACGCTTTATATTTTGGAAATTAGCATTTAATAAAGAGTGTATTAAAATTAAAATAAAAACGCAACATTTTATTTGAAAACTTACAGAATCTTGGAATTGCCAACGAATGTAGAGTGATAATAATTTTACTCAATTATAAACAACTCGTATTGAGTCTTATATTATTTTGACAATTTTTAAATTAAATAATTTATGCAATAGTATGACGAAAAATGTCTTTTTTAAATCGATTATTCAGAAAAAAATTTCTGAATAAAATATCAAAATGTTACATTTCAATTTAAACACGAAAAATTCAAAAGCTTAAATACAAAGTTACATATATATTTCAGCGTCAATACCATTTATATAATAAATAAAAAATAAAAAAGTCAATTAATAAATCAGGTATCAACAATCTTCATTTTTATAACTGCACGACAATATACTCGCAATAAATCATCTACAACGCTATTTATTTGAAATGATCATTATTTTACAATTGATATTTTTAAATGTGTTTTATGAACTCAGCCAATTGAAAAAGCATCAATAAAAACACTTATTCATCAGGCTAAATACAATGGAACGTTGTCGACAGCTGCATAAGATCAACATTTTAACCATACAGGTACAAAACGGCATCGTCAAGAAATTGGCTGTCCTGATTTCCGCAATGTATTCAGCAGGTCACATTTTAGATGCTCTCAATAACAGTAAACACGAGTTTGTTTAACTTTGTTTTTCATTTATGTACGCATATGAAGCCGGTCGAATATGTGTAAGCAACTACTTTGAAGCGCGCGGACGCCACGTACAATTAATAACAAGTAAATATTTTGTAGTTGCTCGAATTTAGTGGTCAAGCTCGAGATCGAGAGTACCACTGCGATTGCTAATTTGCTTAGTCGATCTTACATAACGTTGGAGCCAAAAATGTGCAGCCCGGGACATGCAAGCCCTATGAGACAAAGAGCGGCAGCTAATTAAGCTAATATTCGCAATATCATTTGCGCTTATGCGAAAAATCAAGGCTCGCCTCGATCCAAATAGATCGCTGCGAGCAAATAGCTCGTCGCAGCGGAGGCCGGACTCTGCAGCGCCGGCTGCATAAACGCTGCAAGCTGCACATGAGGCACAAATGGCTAGTCGCCGAACAATCGTCTTTTCTCTTTCCCATACTTCTTAGATATTTGCAGCGAGGGCAGTGCTCAGCGCTGGCAGGGCTTATCGTGACACAGATTTTCCCTTACGTGTTGGCGTTATGTAGCCTGCAGCTTTTAAGTATGGCTGGCAGCGCCGCTGCTCTCGACACTCGAGGAAAGAGTTGCTATATATTTTCTGCGGATCTATATGGTCCCTCGTTCGTGGAGAAAACGCGTGAGCAAGAAAGAGAGAGAGAGAGAGAGATACAAACAGAAACAGCATCAGCGGCGGTGGCGGCGACGGCGACTACGGTGGCAACGTTAAAGCTCATCTTCGACTTTGCACTTTAGTAGCTTGCAAGTCTCCACCACCGTCGTTCTCGCCAAGAAAAATTGCTGAAGCGTCCACCGCGAGCTTTCTTATAGCCTTGCAGTGAGCATCTTTTTACGATGTACACTTTTTTATATCGCTTTCAAATAGTTGCTTCTTAATCTTGTTTTTTCTGTAAAGTAGTGCTTTTTAATCAACACTGAAACAAGTGTCATTAAATAGTTTGAGAATTGAAATTTGAAGCTTTCCTTGTCTTAATAAAATGTGCAGTTGTCGCTGAAGTTAGTTTCAAATCGCGCGTATTGTCGGTGAATACATGTTGCACTTGCAATTCAAATTTTATCAATGGTTTTTCTTAGTAATTGCATTTTGTACTTTATTATTATTTCAAATTCATTGGAAAGTTTTAAAGCTCAATTTTTTTTTTAATATCATTAAATTTATCACGCATCGTACACTTGCTCGAATCATTTTCACTTTACATATAAAGTATTGTTTTCGTAATTGCTACCAAGATTTTCATACACGCTTTTCGTTCATTATCGGCATCATTCTCCATTAAAAGATTGCGGATACTCAAGTTGGTGCTAACTAACAAACAAAAATAAAAGAACAAAGCTTTTGTAATTAAACTTTTTTTGCTCGCCAATGAAGTGATACTGTGTAAACTTGTGTGCTTTTGAAATTGTGCGCCGCAGTAGTAGTGCTACAATATATAAGAGCGAGGCATTAGAAATCGAGAGGGTTTTGTCTCGGCCCAGCTTTGACGTGAGATCCTGTCACAGCGAGAGCACATCAGTCGTCTATAAGTATAACCATTTCACTCATCGGCGGTATAGATCGTTTAACGTTCATTCACATCGAGAGCCGCTCTCAAGTACGAGCTTTTCGCATGGCGTGTAAAAATAATTTATCGTGTCCTCGCGCGTGCTTTATTTATTGGCGCAACCGTGTGGCTATTATAAACAAAATATAAGCTCTCGACATCTGTCACAAAATTCTACGTTAGGCCGACCGGGAAAATTTTCATGGGTATATTAATTACCTTGTTCAAGGTGAAACCTTAACCAATCTTTCTGTTTGTCTGTCTCTCTCTCTCTCTCTCTATCTTTCGTTCGTTTTTGACTCTCGCGAAATACTTGAATTATTCCGTGACATTGATCGGTTTGGTTATAAAAATGAATAAAATTTCTTATTACGACCACTGAATCATTGAAATGAGTCAGTTTTATAAGCAAAGATTAAAAAACGATATATACAAGCAACGAGCACGATCGTCGTTCATCGTCTTATAGTTCGTGAGCGCCACTTCTATTCTTGAAACTCTTTTGCTCTGGTTTCTTTTTTACATTACGCTCGAACGCCGGACTGCCGTAGTGGCTGCAGTAACCGGCCTTTTTTCTATTGGCTACTTTATGTGCTTCGCTTAAATACTTACGTCTATCGTCGTGTGCTTGTATAAGATTCGGCGACGCCGACTGCTCTTTTTCCTCTTCATCGACCGACATAGATGATTAATTTTATACATACTGCTCGCGGTGACAAGTATATAAATTAGCGTAAAAATGTCGAGCCGTGCGACAATCGAAATCGAGCCATGTATAAAAATTCAATGCGCGTAAACATTAGGAACCAAGTATAAAACTTTTTATAAATGTTCTAAACGATGGGCTGCGCGCCATATAAATATATATAAACGTTTAACAAAATAGTTGGTCCGTCGAGAGATCGGTATGCAACTCACGGCCCATTTTCGTATACGAATATTTGCATCGTACGAGACGAAGCTGCTGCACCAGTCAAAATTAAGCGACCTGGAGAGTACATATATATTAAAGAGCAGCTGTGGCTCTTTCTCTCATTACTTTCTTTCTTGGTTTCCGACTTGGTTTTGGCATGAACTTCGAAGGCTAGGCAATATTTTCATTCTCTAGTGCAAATTCACATTTAGCAGAGCTGTATATTTTAATTATAATTATAACAATTATTATTATCATTAACAGTTGAATCTGCGAGTGAAATTTTATGGGAATCACGATGTGCTCGGATGTGCTGCCAAGCCAATAGTGCGAAAGTAGTTTCAATAGCTTATGTAATCGATACGCGTGGATCGTCTTGAAATGAAGGAATAAATTCATTCTAGATATAATTTTACGGTCGAGATGCTGTACGTCTCATATCCAATGAAAATTTATCGTTGTTGCAACTCTCGCGTATCCACTGAGTCTGTACAATTAAAACTGCTCGGGCTTAAACGGCGTTAATAAAAGCGATTCAAGTGGATGAAAATTGTTTCCCATTACCAAGCTTGAATGTGATCCAACGTAAGATTCCATTAGTGTACCAGTGGAACATCTCGAAAAGTAAAAACCCGGTAAATGCGAATAATGAACGAAGAATTGCGTACTAAAATGTTTACGTATGCATTTAGAACGTGATTTTAGTGGTAAACTGAATGAGCAATTGTCGATACGTGGAAAGGGAGTGTTAAAAATTGAAAATAATAGTTAAACAAAAGGCCACTGAACGATTTCTCAGATGTAGAGTGACATGGCTCTGCTCGACGTTAAGTTTACGAAATTCGACAACCGGCCATGGGGCTTTCGTCTGGCGGGAGGGAGCGACTTCCCCGAGCCTCTGACTGTCATTAGGGTAAATATCGACGATACGCTAATTTCGATCATTTTTATGCGTATGCCCAGGCAGAGAGTATAGTAAAACAGAAAAACTTGTGTGCGACAATTTTGGAAAAACCAATTTACAGGTAGCAGAGGGAAGTCTGGCAGAGTGTATGGGCCTGAAAGTTGGCGATATAGTCGTAAAACTAAACGATCGAGATATAAGCGACTTGACACATGGCCAGGCTCACGAGGCGCTAACTTTAGCCGGAAACAATTATGTTTTATCAGTTAAAAGGTAAGAACCCTTCTCGGGTAATTTTCGTGTTCTATACCCGTGTATCCATGTATTTTATTCCCTCACCCTTCAGCGATTCATCTTGTAATTCGACCCAATTATCGTAATTTTTATCTGATGGCTAAATTCTATGTATCACCATTCACCTTTCGTAAATAAAAGAAATTGTCAACACTGTGTTACCCAAAAATAAGAGCCAACCGGTAAATTAATGTTAATCGGTAGAACAAATCATGATTGGTAAACAGGTTGTATTTTTGAATGCTACAAATGAATTTATTCTATTTATATCTTAAATGATAATTCGAGCCTGTGGTCAACAAGGTGCCTAAGTGCCAAGTTCATTTACTCGACTCCTCGGTCCAACGGAGTTTACCGCGATATCAACAAAATAAAATATTCTCAAGCGCCCACACGCGCACGCAACGATGTTTTCATATTCTGATGATTCGGACATTATAAATAATTATGCGAGTGTACTGCGTCTGTTGAAAAGTTACTCAAAATTCATTCTACACAACTAAATATAATCGCATAATTCGATTAGAGAGTATGTTGACAAAGTTAAAATTAACCGAGGTACATAGTTTATACTTGGGTTTTTTAGTTTATTAATGGATTCATTACATTGACTACTGACGAATACGACGAAGCACTCAAACCCATGATTATTAAAATGTTTGAATTTTTCTCTAATTGTATTTTATCCGTTAATAATATCTATATTCATTCATAAAAAATTGTTTTTTTAATAAGTGATTTATATTGATATTTAAGGTATCTTTTGTCGCACTTTGAATTTATCTCGCGGTCAGCACAATTCGTTGAAATAGCCGATGATATATCATAATCAAGAAAAACAAGCCATTGAGCTCTTAGATTAAGTAGAGTCAGATTTTCGCGAATAAGCGAAAATCATGGATATACAGCTGTAAAAACTTCACGAACATTAGGCGCCGCGAAAACTAGTGCGAGTAAAGGCTTCATGATATAGGGATAAACATCGAAAGTGCAATAAGATGCGTTCGCCTTGAAATCAAAGCGCCGCATCTCGCTCTTTTTAGTTGAACCTATAACGACAATGTCGTGGGCTCAGCCAACATAAATAGTTAACCCAGAAATCGCGAAAGACGCTCTTTTGCTCGCATTCACGCGAGGTGAGCCTGCAAAACTCGTCATTATACACGAACGCGTACACGCAAATTTCCTCGCACTTGCATATGTATGCGAGCTTTCGAGCTTTTTTCAACACTCGATGAGTCTATTTCGAGCTTGCTTATAAATTTTTCACTCGTGACATCTCCTTGTTCATTCAACTCTTGCCGTGACGAGCTCCGATGTCGTTCACATTTTTATCAATGTACGCAAAAATTGCCACATAAAGGAAGTTAATTTTGGTCACCGAGTGTCATGCAAGCTGCATACGCACCATTAATTTAGCTTGATATATCACATAAAGGATATACGTTGTTTTTATTCATTCGAGCTTTTCCAGAGCCGTCATATTTCTGGTCGGCTAAAAATTACGTTGGCTTTTTTGAGGCAATCGGCTCTTCTCGATTGTCTGCGCGCATCATAACTTTTTTGCATACTATACTCGTGTATTTCTTTCGAGTCGGTACAATTTTAATTTTTTCAAACTTGTAGCGGGTTAAAAACTTTTGGGTTTGGATTTGTAGTATTACCGCTTCGATCGTGGTCTTTAGTTGTAAGAAATTGCGTCGGATCATGATCCCAATTTTCACTTGAAATTTATATATATGTAGGATATGATATCGTATCATTAAACTTTCTGAAGCTCAAAAACTGCGGACAGAGTTTCAAAACTTCCTATCTCGTAAGTTACTCGGTGAAGCCTATACCGTTTCGAATAAGCGCGCGACTTGAATTCCGATCTTGGGGCGGAATTTGGCAGTTCTCCCTTGTAGAGACGCATGCCCTCGGATTCGTCCCAATTCCTCTTTTGAATCATCTCGCTCAGCTGCAGTAGCCGTCGCGTAGCTCAAATTCCAAAATCATATTATATGCTTACAAGCGCAGTTTCGATTATTATAAGTTATCAAACTACGCAGCACATTTTCAACTGGCAGGGTGTGAATTTCAGCCGTAGACATTGCCATAAATAGAGTAGATTTGCAAAGACTGCAAAGACTAAATGTAGCCGTGATGCAGCGAGACAACAACATCGTCTCGCGCACGTCGAGAAGATTTCGCTTTATTGTCATTCGACACTAGTAATTTTTGCGCGAGATTTTCGCGGATCAGAGTCATGGTCATGATATTTTGTTTTTACGAATAATGCATAAGCTCGCAGACGAGGCGCCTCGCGTGCGAGACTGCGTGCACACGATGGCGCTATATTTAAATTGGCCGCGCGCGCTCGGCTTTATGAATGATCGGCCGGGCTGCGTGAGCACACTTGCGTCTTTTCGTCGAGATGTTTGAGGCGCTGACGGATCGTTAAAGGCTTTGTACAATTGTCAACGTGTTCGAGGGACCCAACGTCGGGAATCGATGCGTTATTGATGAATATCCGAGGCGCGCCAGATGCAGCTGCTGCATGCACTCGTTTGGCATTCGTGTAATCGAATGCGTCCGTGGTCATCGATGTTTTGCAAGCTCCTCTAGCTGCAGCCCTGATGATGTTTGCTTCTCGCTTCCACGCGTAAATAATTTTTGTTTTGGCTTCTGCTGTTTTCGCTGTACACGCTTGCGATGCGCACGACTCATTTGAAGATACAATGAGGGCCGAATTATATTGGTATATAGACAGATCTTTCAATATTATTCGGTTTTTTCAAAGAGTTGTCCACTAATTTTCAAGCTTACCGCGTTGAGTCTTGTTAAGCCAATTCACTTAATCATAGAAAATTAGACTAGTAGCTTGTACATTTTTTAATAGCTTTATTGGTATGTGCTGCTCTTACGTAAATTGTAAATAATTGATTAAAAATTAACTTAATTGATGAGTCGACATCATAAAAGTTCACTGCTAACGAAATTTCTGTAAATGTCTTGTTCTTTTGCTTAGATTATCATTGGTATAAGTTTTTACTTTGAATCTTGAATTATTTGTATGCATTGCTTTTGTTTTATAGAAGGGAAGATCCAAGCGCAGCTCTCGAGGGTATCGAAGAGAAGATCGAACCGTATATGCGCCCTGTACGTTTTGCTCACATAATTTACATTTTCAATAGCCGGGGTTTTTTTTCATGGATGACGTTTATTTTTCAGATTGAACAAATCTTATTCGATTCAATTGAAGAAACTACTGAAATTATAGAAGAGACCAGCGAAACAATCGAGGCAGAACCTGAAAAGGAGCCTGTTGAAGAATATCCAGAAAAACCACGGGACCAAAACAGTGACCCTGTTCCGAACAAAAACCTAACGGATGAAGAAATTGCTCAACTGATACTTGACGAAGAAGAAGTTCTCCGTGTTAAAGAAAAGGGAGTACTAGGGTAAGATACAATTTTGTTCATTCTATCAAGAGACGCCAAACATTTATAATATAATAAAATTATTAAAAAATTTTTTTAGGGTTGATTTCAAAAAGCTTCGACCTCGGGCACCCCTTTTAAAAGAGTCCAAAGTATTTGCGGAACTACAGCAAGAGGCTAATACCGATCCCGTAGAAATTCAGAAGCAAAACGCTCTTAGCTCGACATTTTTACAAAGGCCCGATCGTCCTGTGCCGAAGCCTCGCTTGAATTCTGTTTCCGAATCAGAAGCGGAAGTCGAGCCCTACAGAGTCGTGATAAAAAAGCAGCCTAAAAAAAGCGTGACAGAGAAACTTTTAAAAAAGGGTTTGATCGACTCGTCGCGTCTGTCGCAAACACCCGAACCAACGCCACCAGCGGAGGTAAACGAGCTCGAGCTTTATAAGATTCCTCGAGGTATTGCAATCCAAGTCCTATTAATCCGTTGATTCCACATCGAGTCAAGCCGATAAATAATATGTTACCAATCAACGAGTCCATCGAGGATCCCACGATTTATCCAGCGACTCCCCAACCCGTCCAGGAAAGCCCACTCGTGCCGAAAATGTACGACCAAGTTAAGCCGGAAATTCGAAACGACTTTGTACCCGTTAGAGCCGGCAAAGTGAGGTATCTGCGACGCGGTAAATACGCGAAACGTTGCATCGATCAAGCTTTCGAGTCGTTTAGAATTCCGACGGGCAAGACCAAGCCGACCCTGCTGAAGCGCGCCCACTACTTCGAGCGCATCGTCGGCGACGTGAAAAAGTCGCTGAACGGAGAGAAGGACGACAGCAACTTCCTGCGCGTCATTCTGCTCACGTCGTTGGCTTACAGTCTGAGGGACACGTACGACGCGGAGATACTGCACAGAGGCTCGAGTCGCAGAAACTCGCGCCGCATGAGCAGCTGTAGCCGGCGCCAGTCGATGGTCGAGAACCTCTGCCCGTACGAGAACGGCGTGTACGTGTTCCGCGGCCGCAAGAACAGCGAGAGCTTGCAGAGCTTGCAGAGCACCTGTGCCGAGGGCCGCCGGCGACTCTCGGTCATGGGCATGCTCGTGGCGGACAAAATCAATTACGCCATGCGCACCGATCTGGCACGGGGCTTGGCTTACGCCATGGTGCCCTGCGCCTCGGCCTTGGCTTTCTTCATGTTCAATTACGCGAAAAGATTCAATAACGACAATCAGCAGGCGGCATGAGAAAAACCAATGTGCCAGCGGAAAGACTTCACAATCCGGACTTTCTTTTCTCGAACGTTGCTTAGACATTGACACATTTTTATATAGATTTGTAGATTGTATTTTTAAGAATTACGCTATTTAGATATAGGATTAGCTTATCGCGTTCGATTCATTATGCGCGAAGACATTGTTTTATGATTTTTGCCATATCATCTGTCGAGCTTTTTTTTACCGAAAAGAAATTTTGGCAACATCAACTTTTATTCATCACTTCGATAATATGCTATGTTGTAATAAAATCCATCATGAACAGTTGAAAATATTGTACTTTCAGCACGTACGTCTGTAACTTTATAACACACACAAAAATTAGGTTAAGTAAATAAAACAATGTAATGATCGTGTTAAAATCAACACTGAATTTGAATTTGACCTAAAAATAAGAAACGCTTTAAGAGCGAATTGAATTTTTAACAAACTATTGAATACCGTTGATGATCAAGTACATGTGCGACTATTTTAAGAATAAATTATATTGCAAATTATAAATGAGTTATATACATTTTCGTTTACTTAAAGTCTCTTATCAAAATTGCTTTGACTTTTCGCTTGCGCTTTAAAATGTTTTAATTGACAAAGCTTAGCTAAAGTTTCGCTTTCAACTTCATAATTAGCTAAATAGTTGCTAAATAGTAAATAGACTAATAGATTCAAATTAATTTTTATTATTTACGGTTTCATTTTTTGTATCGTATCTATGATAATACCAATACAAATTGTTAGTTTATATTAAAAAGCAGCGCGTTAACTGCATGAATATTAAAATAAGAAGTTAAAAACCTTTTCAAAGGGATCCCGAAACTAGCGCATAGATGATAATTTTCTCACGACAATTTGTTGATATAACAACAGTAGGAAAAATGTCACGCATAATTCTCGAAAAATTCAATAATTTTATCAAACCTTTTAAATAAAATAAAATAACTCATGACTAATGTGGAAATCGCACATCCCATAATCATTCATTAATAATTTGCTTGCCATCGAGTAATTTTAATATTTTTCTCGCTTTTAATCAGTGAATATTGACTTGTATGATGTTACTATAAATAAGCTTTACAGCTCATCATATTGTGATTGTAATACAACATTTAATGAATCAGTAAATCACTGAAAACAACTAACTTTGTGCTTAAGGATTGTGCTTTTGATAAATCTAACGCTGCTACTTTTGCTATTTATTAATAACTAGCAAGCAGAAGAAGCCAATAATTCAACGACGCCGGAACCTAAACAACAGGCTGCAGTTTCTGAAACTGAATCACGCCCTCAATCGCAAGCTGAAATAATTGAAATTATTGATTCTGTAGAAACCGCAGGAGAAGAAAAAGGCGAAACACAAGAATCAACGGTAAGATGCAGTAAAATAATATTGAACAAAATGCACTCACTAGTATAGACAAATCAATTAGATCGAGATTTCGATAATTATTATGATTTTTTATTAGATAGATTTCCTTAAATAGTTTTTTAAGGTAGCTGGGTGATGATGATAATAATAATAGTATAGATTTAGCGTATTTGAAATGGTATTTACAAGTAGCTACGTGACCAAACCACTAAATCACTGTAAATAACACTAAAACACAATGAATTTCTATTGATATAATCAGATTAAATTATATCAATAGAAAGGTATGGATTCAAGCTATCCACTGGTATGTTTTTTATTCATATCTGTAAGTAGATAACCAAGATACAGTAGATTAAGTGTGATTTCTGGCCGTTCGCCCATAAGAGCCTATGTCAAGAACGCGACTTTCACATTAATCGTTCTTGAAAGTTAGTTCGACAACTGGGGCTGAAATTTTTGGGAAATATCATAGGAAGTCACAAAGAACAACCCCTTAAATATTTAAAACGATCTATTCATTTTCGATTCATCACCCAACCACTTTGAATCACTGCGTGGAATAAGTTTGAATTCTTAAATATTTTCAATTTTTTAGAAATACTGTCGTAGAATAATTATAACCAAAATCAAGGATAAATGTTGATTTTGTGAATCATCAGTCGATACTTTTCTCCCAAAAGTTTATTATAATAAATATTCCATGCAAGTTATAGTATTGACGGCGAACAAAATTCTTTTTAAGGTGATGCCTTGGCCACAATTTTTACCGACCGAGCACAGAAAATGTATATTTTCGTAACTTTTTTTCCAGGCTGAATTTCGAAAAACGGCTCTGTGGAGCCCTCCGTATTGTTGCTGTGAACAACTGCGACAAATTTCAGTCAATTTCATCGGATAGTTTTCTTGGAAAACAGGATCAAAATTTTTTATCCTGCAAACAGTAATCAAAAATTTCGATTCTGTTTTCCGGAAAAACTACCGTATGACATTGGCTGAAATTTGGTGCAGTTATTAACAGCTACAATACGGAGGGCTCCACAGAGCCGTTTTACAAAAATCGGTCTAGTAAAAAAGTTATTTCAATTTACATTTTTAATGCTCGGTCGATCAAAATTGCGGCTTCGGCATCACCTTAATTTAGCATAATACATAAAATTTTTCCGTAATTCCGGTAAATTTATAACTGCTTTATCGACTGCAGACCAAAGCGCCGAATATCTTGATAATTTGAAAACATATGTGTAAAATGATAAATCCTATAAACTTATAATTTATACTTACAGGAACAATCAGAGCCTAAAATTGAAGAGCCAGTAGAAGAAGAGGTAGACAAATCAGTAACTCAGGTTTTGCTTCGTCGTCCTTCAAACCCAGAAGTTGACGTTGAGGTGGCGGTCACGATGGATCGAGACAAAATCAAGGAACTTGTTACGACGGAAATCAGTTTGGAACGGCAGCTAGAGAACGTCCAGAGTCAACTGATGGCTTTGAAACAGTTGCCAAGCGAAATCGAAAGGCATTTGAAAGTCGTCTCGGAGCAGCTTCACAAGATCATGGAGCTCAGTGGCGTCGAGCACGACCGAATAGCCAAGGGTGAGCGCAAAAAGACGGCGCTGCAAGCAAACACGCAGCCAAGCCGGATTTTGAAAAAAGCCAGAGATAGCTCGCGCAGGGAAGCACGAAATCCGTGATTCATTCATAACTTTTACCTTCGTGAAAAATATGCAACAGTCCCTTCAATGATTTTTTTTTACTTGGGTGCTATTAATAAGACAGTAATTTTTTTTTTTATTTAAGGTAAATGCAGTTGTCACATTTTTTTTTCATTGCCAAAGCGTTTAACGAGCGACGATAAATTCTCATATGTAAAATAGTGAAACGAACTCATGAAATTCAGTAAACACAATTCATTTTATTTTATTTATTCTAAAAAAACTTTGAGTGTATTACATTAAAAAATTTCAATCTATGCATTTTTGTGTCATCAAAAAAACTTTCATAGTATATTATACAGTATTTGATACTTAATGTTTTCAAAATTTTTAAATAACACCGTCGTGTTTTCTTTTACATTTTATTAAACTTGAGATAATATTTATTTTCATCAAAGATTGTACTTTTTATCTTATTTGTAACTGTATATTAATACTTAGTCACGAATAAAAGATTGAATTAATTTCTATGATAAATTCTGTGTTTTGTTTTTTTCACCTTCATGATCACATCAACTTTCGAGTTTAATAATATTTTTCTTCATTTAGAGTTAAATGTGACAATCGTTATTTATCTAAACTCAACGACTAAAATTGATTTCGATGTGAAAAATTAAAAAATAATTGGAACATATTTAACACTATCAAAAATGCTGTCCAAGCGAGGTGTATAAGAGTGAAAAATTTTAATTTTATAGAAGAAGAAGAGGAGAGGGCTGCATCGGTCTTAGCAGAACGTGAAAACGAAGAGCAGAACAAAGAGGATGAAGAGGCACAGAAACAGCTTCAGGAGCAGGAAGAGCAGCGCCATGAAGACGAGCACAGGACTTATGATGTTGAGGACGGAAGGCAATCGGCGAATTCGGAATCCTCGAGTTGGGCGCCCAATCTCGCATCTCTCGACGAGGACCTTCTTACCAATACCGAATCCAAGGAGCTCGAAATATCTGTAAAAAGCGACAAGGACGACGGCTCGAGCGTGAAAAAATACATTGTCTCCTACGAGTCCAAAGTTATTGAAGAGACCAAAGCAGCTAAGCGTTCTAGAGATCCTAGTCCAGCTGTATCTCAAAGTAATTCATCTCTGTTTGATTTTAACAATACCGATAAATTTGACAATCGATTAGTAAAAATTTAAAAAAAAAACGATATCATTCTAGGGAGCTTCGAAGCGGATCCAAATATAGGTTTACACGATCAACTTGTTCAAGAACTGAAGGTATAACAAGCTCGAGTTTTCTTCGAACTCAGAGAGCTCCCGCACTATTCGTATTTGTCTAGTTTATGATTTATACTATCTTTGACCGGAGTATTCGTCAAACAAAAAGAAAGGAACCGCAGTCGCTGCATTAAGAATTTCTCGAAATTTCAAATGTTCGTTTACTCGGCAAGCGGGCGCAGAAGCATCGAAAAAATGCATAGAAGCCGCACTTAATATACCGAACGTTCAAGTATTTGTAGACTCGGCAAAAATTAATCCGCACGAGCAGCCGATCAAAAACAATGATATAACGTAGGGATCGTTAAGCTCGTTACGTCAAAAGTCGCCCGCGCGCACACGTGATATTCGGCGCGTTTGACGAGAAAGTGTTTTCCCATCAATCCCACGACTCTATGCACATTGCGCGCTTATGCCTATTGTGTATATAATATTATACGAGATATATATACATCGGATCTTTCCGAGAAGGAAAGTAGTGATTCAAAGTGTGACGCGCGGCTCACGACGAGAAGCACACGACGTATACGTATACACGGCGACAAAAGGCCTCGCAACCAAGCTCGTGCACATAATTTATTTCTATATATAGGCCGTTTATAGCAATAAACCGCTCGCTGCTAAATGACGATTGTTCCCATGTGTGTATGGCTTTGGGTCTATTTAACGTTGTCGTTGTCGTTCTTGTTGTTGTTGCATGCTGCAGCACAGGCAAGGGAGAAAGCGATCGCGCGAACTCTGGCAGCCGCAGGCTAGGCAGCTCGAGCTCACTTACGGCCGGCGCTGGAGATGTCCCAATGATTTCTTCAACGACGATATGATTGCCGATGTCCTCTCGTCCCAGGCCGAGGTGATACGGGGCCGAGCCATGGGGTAAGTCCGCCAACACCACCAAACGCACTTGATCCTTGAACGTTTCTTTCTTGTTTTCATCAGGGTGAACTTTAAAAAGTTCGAGAAAGCCAAGGCTCTGCCGAATTACGATCACTTGATGGCTTCGAGCGTCTACAAGATGATTCATAAGATGGAAGTTGAACCGAAGAAAGGAATTCCTGCGCGGCCCTCGAGAGTCGTCGCAGCCGAAGATATCATTGAGAGGGTGGTGAGTGCTCGCGAATCAGCTCTGTACACGCCCGAGTGTCCATTAGCCGCGCGCAATCCCTTTATGCAGCTGCACTTCGACAATCCTCACTTTCATCTGCGCGTCAAATTTATTGACCTTTTTAACGGCGTAATTTTACAAGGCAACAACATTTTTCTACCTCAACAACTGACTCGAATCTTCTCTGCTTATTCCAGAATACGCCTGTATGCGGCATGTCCAACAACACGAGTGTCAGGAGTGATTTCAATTGAGCGGAGAGCCCCCGGGCAAGACGACCAAAGCCTCTGAAACCGACTTCCGACAGTTCAACATACTCTTTTTACTAAAAACAAAATTAGACAAATTGTTATACAGCCTTAAATCATCGTTGGCTTGAATCATAGCTTATAAAAGTTTAACCATAAAATATTTTATCTGTCATTTCAAATTCAATTCATCCGATATAATGTGCAAGTTTTTACTACATTATGTTCATTTTTCGCATCATTACTGAAATGTCATAGCAAAAAAGTAGCGTAATAGTCCTAGAAGTATAATGTTTCATAAAACACGGTCATTCCGATCCTCTGGAAAGATGACTTTTCCTAATGGAAATAATTGACCTCTATTTCTGTGACAAAAAAATGAGCGTAATTTTTTCTTTAATTTTTTGAGCGATTCACTATTTTATATACACGAAAAATATTTAATTGTAACCAACTAAAATAAGAAATTAGACATTTTTAAAAATAAAAGTATCTTTCAATTACCTTGCTGCGTTGTATTTTTTTAAAAGTAAAACTTTTTATTCGTCGATTCATGAGTACCTAATGGCTGGTTAACATTTCTCAAGTCATTTTATGTTTTCATTTAAAATTAAAGTTTAAATTCAGATCAAGGATATCGAATTAAAATAAATTTATAAAAAGGATTGAATTTTTTAAGTAACTTATTAAAATTTTGTTTAAAAATGCGATTTTTTGGTGTTTTGGGATGAAAAATTTAATGCCCTTTTAGAACCCGGGCTCATATTCAAGATTTTATATGTAGTCCACGATTTATGGTTGTTAAAACAAAGAAAAAACGAAACATTTCAGCAAATTATCAACTTCGGTATTTTTTTTCAAAGTTTTAAGGTGAAAAATTCAACATCCGAATATGACCAAATCAGAAATGTCACAGAACTGTGTACTGTGTACACTGTGTTGAAATATCACAGGGAATTTTTGAACATTTTTAAACACACCTTTTCTAATAAAATGGCGTCCATGAAGTAAAGTGTTTATGAAATACTAAAATCCTTTTTTATTTCGAAAATCATTGAGTTTTAGAAAAAAGTCTGTATAAGACAAAAAACCCCTAAAATTAATCAAAGAAATTTTTTTGGAAAATACGGAAAATCTAATTTCCCAAAAATGTCTTTGTAAATTTGAGGGTGTTGTTTGATCAATTCTCAGGGTTTTTTTATTTAACAAACTTGATCCATAAACTCAATGGTTTACGAGACCAAAATGAGTTTGGTTTTTTTATAAGCAATATACTTTAAGCACATACTCCATTATATTGAAAAAAGTGGTCCGGCAAATCTTCCAAAAGATATTTCTAAGATATTTCTGCACTATCATGTTTAGATCCTGAGCATGTCACCACATCGCTTCGAAAATTTTTTCCAAAATCTATGTTTTTTTCAACATTTTATTGAATGAAACATCGATAAGTCACTAAATAATTAATAGCTAAATAGTTCAAGATGAAAAAAATACGGTGAGTTACGAGTTGATTAAGTTGCAATGAAATTTTAGCGAGTCGATCTATTGAAATCATACCATTGATTCGTTTCATCGCCATCAAATTTTAATATCTAAGTAGCAATTATCGGATTCTCGCAATAAAGTGAATTTTCTTATTTACTTTCTAAATTCTCTGCACGTATATCGGTACACTGCGGGCGTTATTAATAAATTCCAATTAACCGCGCAATAATACAAAATAAATGTAGCTGGCATGAGCAGCCTTACGTGCTAAACAATGATAACTAGCGAATATCTCTTGCGGTAGGCTCCGCCACACTTATCTATTATGTTGTTTATAGATCCACTTTTCTTGAGAATTATGAAAATGCATCGAGCAGATCCTGCTTCGAGGGCGCGATGCGAACCTGCACATGCATTCGTTTTAAAGCTTATTTTCGATCCAACAGGTATGATTGTCGAGCCATAAATAACTTTTTCCATTTTTATTAACGTATTTTGCAGTTGGTAAAGTTATGTTAAAGGAACATTAGGAGCTCTGTAAATGTAAATAGTCTGCTGCATCCCGCGCGTGCATTTCATTGCACTACGATCATATTGCTATGTTTCAAATATGCAGCTTGCTATAAAATTTCAGTGGCTCGAGTTACGTTTATCAATTTGATTTCTTTATAAAAAACAGGCACCGATGGAGTGAGAAAAAACATTCGAAAATATATGCATGCTTAGAATGTGTATACAGGTAATTCTAAAGAAAAAGCGAACTTTGTCTGTAGTGGCTTGCACATGCTGTTGACAGTTGAATTAGACCTCCTAAGTTTGCGGCTTTCATATATTCTGTTTATAACTTAATCTTCCATCGGTTTTGGAAATTATTTAATTTATTATTCAAACAAATCCGAAATTCCAGTAAAAAAATCTAAAAAATGTCATTATCATCTCGCAAAAACGCGTTCAAAAATATTTGTCATTGTCTGCACGTATAAAATACAACAATTTTCTAAAGTTGTGTTGTTCAAAAAAACTGTTAATTTTACATGTGTAACTTTTTCACGCTAAAACAACAGTTCTTAAATAACAGACACTATAGAAATGATAAATGTGTATATTAGTGGTGATGTTTTCTCATTGTTTATAATGTACCTACAACTTTTAAAATTCTTAAGGGTTCTACCCTCTCGGTCGTTTTCAAAAAATGGATTTTTTTCAATTCAATTTCGAATTGCCGATACTTGTCATAATCACCACCTAAATTACGGTACAAGAAATTCGAATTTTAAGTCAGTCAAAATTAGGATTGAACGTGAGCTTATGTATGTGGCGCTCAATGGTACTTTAACAGTTTGAACGCGTTTTATGCAAAGTAAAGTTTTTCGATGCCTTGTTGATTAAATTTTAAAATCTACTCGATTCTCATCAAATTTTTACTAGACATTAGTAATGAGTATAACTTTAGTGCATCTAGAACTTTTTCCCACATTTTGACTTTGAAAAATTTTATGGAAAAGATCGGTGTAAATAACCTGTATTTGCGTAATTTTTGGAAATACTGTCACCATTTTGTCAATTTTGCAATAATCAGAAATCTTTCTATATGCGCTATAGCTATAGTCATGAAAAGTGTCTGATGAAAATTTGTCGAGAATCAGTCCAGTAAATTTTGAAATTTCATCATTAGACTAGTCTTCTTTTATTTTTTCGAACACTTTTCGATCAGCTATTAGATTCTTAAATAAAAATAATGGTTTTATGTATTTGGAGATTCAAGTCCACGCTTAATTGCATGCGTGACGATAATGACAACTTTTTCGGACATATTTTTGCCTGATAACCATAACATTTTGTTCCTTTTTTTGACCGGCATTTTCGAATAATTCATCGAATAATTTCCGAAACTGGTGGAAGATTAAGTTATATACAAAATACATGAAAGTCGCAAGGTTAGAAGGTCTAATTCAACAGCCTGTGTAAGCCACGGCAGACAATATGAACTTTTTTGAAAATAACTCATATAATCCACCGCCATTCGTAGATAGCCGCACGCTTTCTTACTTTTTGTCGTTACACTCTTGAACAGCTGCCTCTTGAACATATAATTGAGTTAAAAAGAACTTAACTTGGTTACTGGGATCCAAGTTTTAGTAAGTAATCTTAAGTACGTGATCAAGCATTATCATTAAAAGCTGCAGTTTTTCTTTTTTGGTAAAAATGCTATTCTTAATCCAAATAAAGCTGAGGGTTTGGATTCAGCATCCTCTAAAACCATGGTATGAATTTTTTCTGAAATTTTAACTATTTTTTTCAATTCAACTTTCAAATGACCTTGAAAATGAGTTAGCGACCCTAAAAACCTAATGTCCACTTGGTCCGGTTTCTGGAACTGAACTTTTTAATTTTTGTTCGTGCCTGTGTTGTTATTATTATTATTTTGATTATTATTATTATTTATTTACAGAAAACCTCTACATGCTTTGAAAAATATGTAAATATTTTTACATATGGACCTATACCAGGAAGGAAGAACCTGTATACAGGTTGGTCCTAGTGGCAGTTCGGGGGCGCTGTACAGCGCTCGCAAGGCCAAAAAAAGAAGAAGGTTGGTCCTATGAATGAAAGCATATCCCTTAGTGAAAAATCTCAGCCGAATACAAAAATATAAAATATAGCATGAAATAGTATATTACTGCCCTAGGCCGGGAAAAATAGAAAAGTCCCAGGGCACGTGAAATAAGCGACCGAGGCGAAGCCGAGGTCGATTAGCACGTGCACTGAGGCTTTCTTTTTTCCCGGTATAGGCCAGTATACGATTTTACATACCCCAGGCCCGAAAATAGCAATATCCCGTTTAGCGCAGCGGCCGGGAAATGCTACTTTCGGGCCGCTGGTATGTAAAAATAATTTCTTTTTTATCTTTGATAGAAAAATTGCACTTGCCGACTAATTATCAAACTCTATTATGTTAATCTCCAAAATAAATATATTACCGTCACTTAAAACTAGGGCTGTGCGAGTACTCGAAAAAACTCGACTCGTCGAGTTGTAGTCAGGTACTCACGTTTTTTTCGAGTAATCGAGTTTTTTTCGAGTACTCGCAATGTATAAGTTTCGAGTAAATAAATGATGAATTAACAGTCTCCATAGCAGTGTTGCAAATTTGATCAATTACTACATTAGTAACTGCTAGTTGAATTATTCAATTATCTGCTACTAATCACGTAACAGCCAAATGAATAATTAAGTTGTGACTTTTTAAAATAGTAATTCATAATTGAAGTGTTCACTTACTAGTATTTCGAGTAGTAACTGATAATTGAAATATTCATTTACGAGTTACTTGACTAGTAACCGATAATTGAATTATTCAGTTACCTTTTTCTAAACTAGTAACTGATGGTTAAATTATTCAGTTACCATTGTTTTTTAACTAATTTGAAAATTTCGTTACCAATTATTTCGTTGAATTAGTGATATATTTTCAGCGATTTTAGTTTTATTTACAATCAAAACTTCAGTGTCAAATAATAGAGAGAAAAAAACTGTAATAAACATGAGTAATATAATTCAATTTCTAATGTGAAATTTTACATAATCATGTGAAAAGTGAGTTTTATAATCAATATAGTCACCAGTCACCACAAGAAACTAAGACTAGTGTGTACTAACATTCGAGTGAAACTTATAAAATGTTATGATGAACTTGGCGTATTTTACTATGTGCGGCTATCTGAAATAAGTTAAAATTGTCCTTGTGGGTCTGATATAGAGAAAATGTATATTTAATTGTTGTTTTTTCATTGTTCAAAAAGTTTGAAACGGCCTCAATGATATAAGACTAATTTTATTACATATATTGGGGGATTTTTGTATCATTCAACTCCTGGACAGTTACGTTTCATCTTAAAATTGCCTGTGCCGTAACTTTTCATGTGAACCGTTTGATCAAATGAGC